GGCCGTCTTCAGCTTCAGTCGGCAATGTGACGCTTGATGGTCAGCTTCTTGAACCAGTAGTAGTAGTAGTTGCTATATTCATCGCCTCATCTTTATTTTCGGTGCTGCTTGGATAACTAACGGTACCCGTACAGTATGAGTAAGGGCGGCAGCGGCAGAATTGGGAGTTTTCAAACTAAGAATCTTACCCAGAACTTTGCTGTTCGCTTATCTGAATGTACAGCTAATTATCCCGATTGATTTATACGGAGATTGCAGTGCGATTGATGCCTCTAACAACAGCCGATGGCACCAGTGTACAAGTTCAATGGCCAACACTTTTAGAATAGACAATTCGCCTTGTGGAGCTGCCGACAAGTTGCAGAGCCGGCAAGTTAACTCATGCGGCTAGATCCTCCTTGCATGGTGGGCTGGCATGAAGCGTCGATAGTGTCTTCTCAACCGACATCGTGCTAGCAGTAGACTAAAAAAGCCAACAAGAGGCGACGGCATACTGGTGCTAACAGCAAACACGTCTATCTTGACCGCGGATGCTGGCGACGTGCCGCAGTGTCACCCTCCCAGCCACCTGGATCCCTGCAGCGGTAACGGAAGTGCGTTCCGGGGCAGATACTTGGGGATGAGCGATGCGGTCTGCATCATGGAGGCCGGGTGTGCGACGTACGGAGTTGTGACACTTGAAGTCGAACGCAGGCGTCGCAGCGCGTCCGAGGCACCCATGGGGAAGTGCTGCCGAGTTCATTAACCATACATAATGGTAGCGGTACTCCTAGATGCTGGTATGTGCGGCTGTCGTACCTTTTGATGGCCTGCCAAGGCTCTCGCTGAGAGCTAGGCCGGTCCTTGAGCCGTAGCTTGGCAACATATGGACCAAGATACACGGCGATGAAGCGGTGCCGAACTTTCTGTAGCCAATGCTAGGTATTCGTGGCATTTGGCGGCACCTCTAGAACTTGTACTATGAAGCTGCAAGCATCAGCCGCAGCGCGAAAGGATCTTCCTCCGGGCTCTTACAGGCCATAGTAAAGTAGCGCCTCGGGAGACTATTGGTATTGACTGCACTGTTGTGGTGGAGTGCGGAGCAGCTTTTGCAACAGAGTGGCTGCGGCTCTCCGTGGCCGATACTGCAGTTCGCCTCTCGCCTCTCGCCTTGTCGAGGTAGCAGCCGTTCCCTAGTACCCTTACTCGACGCACTCCGCACGGAATAGGATGACTACCGCTGTTGTCATCAGCACATGCATCTTTACTTTTGTGTGCTTTCTATTTCTCTCCCGGCATCTCGCTGCTACCTCCACCCCTCGGAAGGATTCATATCCAGTCGATCTCGATCATGTGAAAGGAAGTAGTAGTAATCTGGAGCTGCTGGCAGGCTGCTAGTCCGCAAAGAAATTGCGCGGCCCGGGGCTAGGTTGTTCAGCTTTGGGTCTCATTTCTTCCTTGGGTGATTCCAGTGCTTGGTGTCAGCCTATCAGAATGCAGTGAAGTCATCTACTGGGAAACATTAGTCGGCGTCAAGTGGTGATGCTTGTCATGTTGTAACCCTTCATATCAGCGGCTGGCTTTTAGCCGCTGGTACGGAGTAATAGGAGCAGAACAGAGGTGGGTTTCATAACGATAAATGACCGGGACTTACACGTAACCGTAGCAAACCGTAGTCACGGGAGGTCGAGCAGACTCGAGACGATCCACAGTATAGGTACACGCTCTGTACGCACCAGCGGTAGTATTCGTGGGCCCATGCCGGGATATAGGAGCAGACCTGGAGGGGGCAACAAGCTTTTTGGAACCTAGAAGGTTCGGTGAGCTCCTTTCCTCGCTCTCTCGCAAAGAAAGCGGCTCAATTGCCTCGCCTGTTTATCGACACTGCTGGTCCTAGTAAGAGCACTACTCCATATCTGTCACTGGGATGAGGAGTGGGTTAGGCGGTGGGAGCTGGATTCTTGGTAGCGAGGAGTTCGATTGACTCCTCACCAAAATACCGATGTAAGCATTGTCTCGGGTATAATCGAAGCCAGATATTTCAGTACACTGTACCGATCTTGATACTGCCAGCTCGCCCCTCTCAACTGATTACCTGGGCATTGGCGAAGCATCCGGGGGCTGCAGTGCAGTACACATGTACAAGCAGTCGGTAGCACTATATGCAAAATGCAAAATACTACAAGCACAAAGCTGGTGCTCGCATGCAGCTCTCACCGTTATGAGCTGATTCCCCCTGTCACCACGCTACCTTCCGTCGAGCCGGAATTTGAAGCCAGGGTTGTAGTGGTGCCGCGATTAGCTGCGCCTGGCAAGAGAAGTAGAACTACCAGTAGGTAACTGCTACCTTCTTGAAGCACTAGCGGGAGCCGCTCTCGTTCTAAGTATTCCAGTATGCAGACGTGATGATATAACGCCAACATACTGTAGCTGAGCCTGGATTCTAGGAGACAGTGAACCAGCTTGTCTGAAGAGGCATTCTGGCATGTAAGTACCCCACATACGATGCCTACAAGTACTTGTGTGACCTGCGTACAAGTACGGTTGCGTTGAAGACAACCGGGGGGCGAGACAAGTGCTTGCTCATGATGCCGTGATAGCAGATGCGCACTTCAAGTGATACCAAGTAAACAATGCATTGTCTGCTCAGTATCTTCAAGTTGAGTAGCGGTACTAGTATGTCAAGTGTGAAGACCTTCTTTTACTCGTGTTTATCGCTCGCCAATCTGCATCTCCATCGATCTTATCTACAGACAGGCGTTATCGCGGCGTCTCTTGGTGCCGCTTGCTTATGGCGAGAGTGCGGGCACCGGACTAAGAGGCTCCACGAGCCTCAGATGTTAGTGGGACACACTGCGTATTTGGACCTGTAGCTAGGAGAAGCTGTTAGCCGACGACTAGATTGCTGTTTGTGGGTTGTTTGTGGTTTGTGAGGGCGAGAGGTCAAGGATAAGGTAAGCCCACCTCGCTGCCAAGTGCATCAGTTTCTTGGCAAAGCGTAGGTGCTCCATCTTGTGCAGCCCAGAGCAATGGCATTGGATGCACCGTAACTGCATGGGACTGGGAATCAATGGCCCTGTTGGCAGTCATGTGCAAGCAGATATGGAGTAGATGTTGAGATGGATCAAGCTGAGCAGGTAGTTTCACCGAGAACAGCCATGCGGTGTCGTTATCTCGGCGGCACGTGTCTTATCTGGCTTCTGGGCAACGTATGTACATCTTCCAAGTCTGCCCTTGCGCCCCTGACATTGGTAGGTGAGCGCTGGCCAATTTTGCGAGTACCTAATGCTGCTTGGTACGTACTGCGCCAAGGTTTCTCCTGATATGACGAGTAAGTTCGAACACTTGGGTACCTCATCTATTTAAATGAGAGCCATCTAATGCCACGCCTCCATACGCGCGTTTAGATGATGAATGGCGCTGCGGCTGCTAGTGCTGCTACCATCAATATGCGGCGACGTACTTGTAGGGTGTGCCTTGGTATGAGATGGCAATACGACTTCGTACATGTATGTTCTAATAATATGCCGTAGTGAGAGGCCAATCCAATAGGTCTTCAGGGTTGCTCTTGTAGCTTGATACTCGATTGGACCGGGGCAACGGCAATCCGGCCGCCTTGCCGGGCCATGCAACCCTCCAGCCCTCCATCACCAACAAGCATACTAAGGTACTGCAGGTGGTGGTATCGACTGTACATTGGTCCTGACACGGGGCACAGCAGCTAATTCAGCTCTGAGCGAACCGGCAGCTGTCCGTGATGGCTCGCTTACTACTAGTATGGTCCCAAATGTTGCTACCTTGTACGGGGCAATGGGTTCCGCGACTATAATAGCCATCGGTATTTTAGTGCTACTACAACGAACAAGTGTAGTAGGTACATTGGGAGTTAGAGGTAGGCAGACAAGATGATCGATATACGAGTATACATGCTGGGATCAGGAAAGTGATCTATTAGAATAGCTGATATTGTGGTTGTGTACCTAGCTGGTTTGGTTCTGCATCTGCATCTGCGTGCGTCTGCATCTGCAGTGCATATCGCCAATGAGGCGGCCTTTGCCTGAAACAGTTGCCGCTACGCATGTAGGTACTACAGCTACCTCAGGCATTTAGACTCGATGCAGTAGCAGCAGGTATTCCGTCCTCTGCTGCATCTTACATGTACTAGTAGTATTATGTGCTTTGTAAACTCGCCATTACATTAGAGTACCAGTACTTTGCATCTGCTTGGTCATGTTGATACCTACTACGTACCTATGTTGATGCATCGACGTCTGTCTTCATCTCAGCTAGGTTCTTCTGGAGAGGGGTGCTGGTACGCTGTCTCAAGGGCCTTTCTATCTCCATACTGTCATCATCTCCGTAAATCCAATTGATTGGTTGCTGCGCGGTGAAGACTCTGACCAATTGCTGAGGACAAAGCATCTACCCTCAGCCCGAGTTTCTTAGAGGTCATCGTGTGCCTTGCACATGTACCTGTAGGAGGCAGCTCGGGGTAAGGAGCTGCCACTAGCAGTACCTAGCCGAGTAGGTAGTACCTAATTACCCCCTGGTCCTGGCTGGGGCCGACCGCTATATCACAGCACGGTCTGAGCTGCGCAGCAATAATGGACGGCACTGAGGCCGTACCTGTACTCCGTTCACAGGTGCCAAGGGCCCTGCTGGGGCCCGCCCACAAGCCGACGCAGCACTTGGACGGGACCCGCAGGTACCGGTACAAGCAGATGCAGCTCCTGCTTCGTCCTGCGGGAGCTTACCAGAAGGGTACCTGTACCTTGTCTGCAGCAGCACCGCTCTAGACTCTGCTTTGCCTCTGTGGTTGGATATTTTTGCGCCTCGCGCTGCATATCACAAACAACCATCTCCTTCTCCACGACTACCCAAGCTTTCAGCCCACCAGCCTGCAAGCCCTCCAGCCCTCCCTTCTCTCCTGTCGCTTCTCGCTACCGGCCGGGGTCGCGTCCCCTGTTCGCCAGTCCCATGTCGCCGCTCCATAAATTTCTAAATTAAAACAGACCTAGAAAATGGTTCTCTCCGGAGGAGGAGGTCGCGAAGGCGACGAGTCGGCCACCGCTTCGACCATTGCTCCTCATCCTCGATCTAAACCTGCTTCTCCCTCAAGAGCAGCCTCTGGCGAGCTACCGATCACAGCGTCTACCTCCTCAGACCCGACTCCCACTGCCGTCGCCGCCCCTACGCCCCCCTTAGAAGAGCAGAAGGAAGAGCAGAAGCAGGAGCCGCAACAGCAGCAGCAGCAACAACCACAAGAACCACCACAGCTGAGCGAAGAGCAACCGCCGCCGCAGAATCACGAGCCTCAGACACAACCGCCACCTTCTCAGCAGAACGGTACGGGCCGGGAGGCCGAGACAAACACTGCTACCAATACCACCGCGACCCCCGAGTCCGAGTCCGATATGGCGAGCCACCGGCCACCGGCGCTCCATGGCCTACACGCTGGCTATCCCACCAGCTCGTCCGCGTCGCCAATCTATGCTTCCCACGCGGCAGGACTTCCAACCACTCAATACGCCTCGTATCCCGCAGCTACAGCTGCAGCTCAGCCTGACGCATACCGCGTGAGCCCCGTGGGCACTCCTCAGATGTCGTTGCCCAGCATGCGGACTATCGACGCCATGTCGCAGCAATCCGTCCCTCCAATTCCTCACCATTCCATGTCCATGGCCATGAGCATGCCCCTTACTGCCGTCTCGGCGGCCCCTCCATACTTTGCAAGCCACTCGACGCCTCTACCTTCCAACTACGGCTTCTCTCAGGATAGCCTCTCTCGATATCCTCTCCCCCACGATGCTCGACTGATGAACCACCGAGGCCCCAAGAAGGTACGTTTCACAAAGCAGAGGACGCTCTCGGTTCAATTGGACCCGGGGAATTGCAATTGAGCTGTTTTCTACCTGAACTGGAGCTGATATGGTGGCACGTAGGAAATTAAGCGACGAACCAAGACGGGCTGTTTAACGTGCCGCAAGCGACGTATAAAGGTGCGAAGATGCATATCCACCCTCATCCCTTCCCAGGAGCCAATTCAACCCAACTTTACACTTTCATGCGCATTTACCCTTCCAATTATTACTACGATTTTTCTTTCTTTGCGATTTCTTCGTTTGTTGTTTTGCCCTTTGCTTTGCGACAATCTATGCTGGAGCTGCAAGCGGCAGCTTAGGTGGTAGTGCGAGGAAGGGAGAAAAAAAAGCGGCCCCTCCTATCCGAGCTGAAGCTGCCGGCCGAGGGAGCTGAGAAACTTTGAAACTCGTGGCGCGCCTATAAACCCGCCCGAGCGTGAGACTCAGCGCAATCGCACCACTGCAAACCTCTTCTTTATCCCTCTCGCTAGCCATCGACTGCCTCAGCGCATCTTGTCCACCCTTCAGTCTCACCGCCAGTGGCTTGCGACTCGCTTTTTCTCTTTTTTCCTTGCCCTCTGCATCGCCGTCATTTTTTGTTAGCTAGCCTTTTGCCGTCCCTCTCTATGCGCCTGCTACGAAACTTGCACTGACACCTTTCTCTTCTTGCAGTGTGACGAGACGCACCCAACCTGTAACAACTGCAGGAAATCGAAACGCGAGTGTCTGGGATACGACCCCATATTTCGACAGCAAGCCGGTACACCCACCGGGACCAGCGCGCAGCCAGTCTCGAGCAACTTGTCACAACCCTCAGAATCCTCTGCCGTTGCATCTGCGCAGCCAGGGTCTGCGGTTGGACAATCTCCGGTCCAGCGTTTGGTCAACACGTACGGCAGCCAGTCGCCGATGCTGCCAAACGTCTATGCCCCAAGCTCCAATCCTTCTACTCCATCCATCACACCAAGCAACTACAATCCTTTGTCTACACCCACCTCGGCACCAGCCTTGTCTATGAAATCCGACCTTGGTTACAGCTATTCTTCTAATATTGATCACACCGCACGTTCTACAGCCTCCATGTCGACGAACCAGCTATCCCTATCGGGATCCGATAATAGCTATTTACGAGGTGAGACTGGCTTTGCTCCGTGCTGCTTGTCGTAGCTATGGAGGAGAAAAAGATTGAAAGCTGAGCCGGGTCGCTAATCCGCTTGTCGTTTGTGTAGCCAAGAAAATGAGGATCGATGAAATCATTGATCTGTTAGGCCCTCCCGCACCCGCCCAGCAGATAAGCCATACCGAAGAGACCTTCAATGAGATCACAAAGGTCTACCATGAGATGTATGCGAGCGGACTCAGCGCTTTTTTCGAAACAAGCTGGTACTATTTCACTGAGAACGGCAAGATGTCGTTTCCCAAGGATGCCAATCTCATCGAGCACATGGCGACCTTCTTAAAAATCCTCGAGGGTGTCAGAGCCAATGACCATGCCCAGATGGCGTATTCAGGGGTGTTGGAAACCAGAATTGTGTGGGAGTTGGCTTGTACAGCATACCAAATGCCAGATAGGGCGACCAATTCCATGCGCCTCAACTTGCCGCCCGACAATGATGCCATCGAGGCTAGAAACCGCCTTCAAGTGGTTGAGGCCTTGCTCTGCGGCGATGAGCTGCTAAGCAACCCTCTCTCCCCACCAGTAGCAGATGCCGACCACCATCGCGTTCGCCAGTTTGACTTTTGGTACAGCCTGGCCGAGTTTGTGCGTAAGAGGGACAATCCCAACGCGCCTGCAGTCGTCAAGATGAGAGAGGATATTTTGAGCCGGATGCGCCACCTTTTGGACGGTCGCGAGAATCGCGACGTCCTCTATTCTATAGCTGTCGTTCGCGAACTCGCTCCAGACTTCGATGCTGGATACGCTACAACCATTCCGCAGCATTTGGATGAAACAGATCCAAAGAACAGATTGGCTGTCGCCTCCAAATTCATCCTCGACGAATCACAAGTCACTGGCGGCACTACCAACGTCGTCCGCCGGTTCAGCGATATCGCCTCGAGAGCGTTTGTCAATCCTGGAGTAAACATCGCACGAAGAGTATAGCCTCCAATTTATCTTGAATAGACGAGATTATCCGACAGTACTTCTTGCGCCGGCTTTCAAAAAAGCTTTTCAATCAGCCAAATTTGTTTTATCCTTGGTTGCTTCTTTAGCCCGCATCAGCATTCAGCATATCGGCGCACAGGTGTTTGTTCTACTGCATTTGTTGGAGAAACTTTTGCGAATATCAGAGTATCTTACATCAAACTGAGGCAGGACTACAGACCTTGCTATAAACCGTTCTTTTTTTTTCTTTTCCTATTTTGTTTAAAATATTTATCACCTTGAGTCTTCTTCACGGCGTTTGGACACCGGATCAGGAAAGGAAATAGGCATTCTCTGCTCGTTACCAATTCTTTTTGTTGCATTAGTTTCTTTTGTCGGCGGTTCATTTGTTCCAATGTCATATTATACAGCGTGGGCAAAGTCAAGGCAATTCACACTGCCATACTCTGTTGTCCATTTGGCTGTTACATATTGCTCTCTTTGCGCGCCTCCATGTCCCTTTATACATACGAAATGGAGTATAGCCGGCGATGAAGAGGAGCGGAGGAGGATCTTTCGACCTGCGGGAGGAAAAGATACTATAGGACTTGCGCCGACCTTTTGGCGTCCCTCTTTGGGGCAGTTGTTTAGCTGGGCGAGCAAGACGCGGGGAGAGCAAAGGTGGAGATTGAAACGAAGATAGACATTTTCTTTTTCTGTTCAAATTAGAAAGGGAAGGGCTCATTTTTTTTTGAGCACAATGGTCCTGGGATGGGATTATGGTTTGAGGGAGGGGGTAGGTTTATAGAATGGGCGGTCCTGAATACATGGGCTGCATCAGAAGCATCTTTCTGATTGCAAATTAAAAAAACAACAATAATGCTCCGAAACAGCGAGCAAAAAAATTCTCTTTCAAAGTGTCTTTTCTTATTGCATTTCTTTTGTTTTATTTCTTAGTGTTTAATATAGTAATTTGGAACTATTAGGTAGGCATACATATAGACTAGGTACATCATATATATACGCACATATATATTCGTCTCATCTCACCTTCAACGAATCCCATTGACCGATTTCGCTTTTTGTGGTATTTTTCCTTTCCTTTCCTTGTATTTCTCCTAATTTTCTCTCAGCTGAAGGGATGACATTGGTTACTCATCACTTGTCACCAAAATTGCCAAACCAGATACTATCATCTGGTCTCATTCCTGTAGTGACGCCCTCAAGCCCACACATAGCCCTCTCTTGCTCCTTGACAGACCATCCCCTGACAAGGTCACTCCTTACCAGCAGCTGCATCACCATGCCGGATTCGGCGTGCCACATGTTGTGACAATGAAAGGCCCACATACCGGGATTGTCGAGAACGATGCGAATAACAGCCCAGCTATATCCCTCTATCGTAACGGTATCGCGTCGGAGAGGATTGTTCTCCAGGTCGTGCTGCTGGAGAAACGCCGGAAGATCTTCTTCTGAGGGGGGATAGCCGCCGCGGCCTTGGACGAGGACGAAGAATTTGTGGCCGTGGAGATGGAATGGGTGATTGCCGTCGTCGAAATTGTTGATGGCAAAGTCAACGGTGCGAATGCCCTCGGTTTGGATGACAAGCTCCTTTTTGTAGTCGTAGGCGAGGTTATTGACAACGATAGGAGATCCAAGGGAAGTAGCATTTGCAGGTGCGTCGAGAAAGCGATGGAGTGAGGGATGGGTCATGTTTGGATGCCAGGTGGACTGGTTAAAGAATCCGCGTGAGAGACGCCAGTCTCCAATCATGAAGCTGGCGTCGAAACGCATGTATTTGTCTGCGGGTGGTGGATTCATCGAAATGACAGGATGCAGAACGGAGACGTTTAAATCGCGACATTGGACTTCAATGACTTCGGGCCAATCCTTGCTATTTGGGTCTTTGTCTAGTGCTTCATTTTCGGGAGACGTGTAGCGGATCACAGCTCGGGCCTCGGACTGTAGAAGGCTGTTTTTCGTGGTAAAGCAGTGAGTTACCATGCGGGCTCTCATCCAGAAAGCATCGGCAGTGGTGACATTGGTTTCAAGGATAATGCTATAACGCTGTGCTGGGAGGATGTTGAGACGATGAAAAGGCTCAGGAAATACATCGGTGCCGTCGACCTCAGTAATGTAAAAGGGATGTTCGTCCCATTGGATTTGAAACTCGGCAAAGGCTCCGACATTGATAATGCGCAAACGATGTCGCTGACCTGCAGCAAGGTCAAAAACAGGAGCTGTGGCATTGCTGGCGTCACAGTCCCAGTCTTCAAAATCCCGGCAATCACGCATACCACGACCATTGATGAGACCGTTGTCGGGGACAGGCTCATTGTTCTCCATATCTGGTTTGAGATAGTCCATTAGTATCTCTGAAGTAAGGTTATGATAGTGATCTTGAATCATGACAACCCTATCGGAAGTATATTCCAGCTTCTGCAGAGTGGTTCTCTCGTCCTTCGAGTGAACAACGACAGGCCCAACCATGCCATCTGAAGCCTGAGCACTGTGGTGAGCATGGTACCAATATGTGCCTGACTGGTTTTGAACTTGGAACTCGTAAGTGAAGCTTGAGTTGGGAGCAATAGGGCATTGGGTTATGCCAACAGCGCCATCCATAGAATTGGTGCCATTCTGAAAGAGTCCATGAAAGTGTATTGAGGTAGCATTGATAGCTTTGTTGTCAACAATGACGCGAACAGTGTCGCCTTCGTTACACTCAACCAGAGGTCCGGGAAACTGGTTGTTGATGAGTATCATTGGCCGAAAGACGCCATCAGGGTTCAAGCGCCCGTCTACAATCGTCCAGTGGTATTCTCTAACAACAGGGACAGCATCAAAATCCCAAGAGTCTGATAAGATGTATTGCGAAGTATCTCTCAGTTTTGGCATACTTGATATTTCTTCCTCGTGCTGAATGACAATCAGCTTGGGATGGCTTTCACCTGATTCTTCAGATGCATGCTCAGAATCAGGCTCGGCATCAGCCTCATCGTGATCGGTCTCATCTCCAATGGGAGGCTCTCCCAACTCATGGGTGTCCGAAGGCGATTCCTTGGAAAGTGCCTGAAGGCTAAAGGGAACGATGGATAATGCCAAGACAGAGATGGTAACAATGAAAAAGCAAAGGCCCAGCTTCCATACAGACGGCGTGCGTGGTCGAGAAGGACGGAGAGGCGTTGAGCCATGCGAGAGACGAATAAACGGCTGGTGCTCGCTGAACTCCTGATAAGCCTCTTCATCGGGAGCATCAGTCGAGTTTCGCTGTTGACGCAATCCGGCAGCGTCCATTGCACTCACCGTTGACACTTTCAAGGGCGGCGAGCTGCCAGAGCCGATATTGTCATGGTACGGCAAGCTCCGAGTTCGGGCACTGTCAATGCTGTCGCTTTCACCAGAACGAGCCGAGTTCATAGCTCTTCAGCCCGGCATAATTGTCCTATGAGAAGGCAGGATAATGGAGCTATGGACAGCGCTGCAGGACGCAATCGAATCTAACGGTCTGCCGACCCAACCGGGTCAAGCCGAGCAACTGGAGCAGGGCTGGGGCTGATAACGAACCACTTCCAGGAACGGAAGACCGGTTGATGACAGCTCCGGTGTCGAAAACGGCGTAGCTGAAATACGAGTGAAGTTGGCGGACCAGCATGCAAAGAGGCCAGATGGTGGTGGTAGTCCAAATACATGTGACGAGAAAGTGCGGAGGGAACAACGTTTAGGCGTTCGGGAGAGGCGTGTCAGCGGGCGTTGAAACGATTGGCGCGGCAGGGTCCGCTGGGGATGATCAACAGCTTCCTGTAATAACCTTGAGCCAGTTACAGACACAGCTTCTAGAACACGGCGATGTTGAGCAGCAGCTTCTCAGCTCAGATTCGCCGACCTGGAGGTTTGGAGACCTGTAGGTCAAGACAGCTGAGCAGAACCAGAAGCCTCAGCGGATGAGCGGCACACGACGCTCTCAGCGACGGCCGAATCGACAACGCCGGCGACCTCGAGATGCGCCTCTCGAGGGCTTTGTATCCCCCACGTGTCGGACGGCCGACTAGACAAGAGGAGATTTGTGGCGGACCTGCAGCGCAAGCTCCCGATGTTGGGCGCTGCGGCTTTGCTCCATAGTAAGCTGCTAACAGACACGACTAGGTCTGATGCTTCTTAGTGATGTGGATTCCGAGCTCTTGGCTGCCAGACTCGTCTTGACATGCGTGGATAGAGCGCTGTACTACGTCAATCCGTGTAAATTTGACAAGCCACCGTCCCATCTTCTACTCACACAGTTGCAAGCAGGGTTCTTTTGAAGACGCGAGATTTTTTTTTTCCAGCCGGCCAGCATGCCCAACTCTTCCCTGTCGAAATATGTCGCCTCGGTCAACAAATGAGCGGAGGCCATTTACCAAGCAGACCCTAGACTACACTCGGCCTACAGCCTGACTGGTATGGGTGGATAGCATTGCCAGCATCGAGCACATGTCGACGGGGTTCGTGGAGAAGGACCTTTACACGGCCACCACAAGGCGCTGCTAGGTGTGTTGAGAAAAGAGCGGGACCGGAAGGGAGCCCAAGAAAATCGATACTTTGCGTAACATTGCATCGACTGTCTCGGAACGAGGCTCTATTAAACCCGACTGCCCTGCCCCATCTGCGTCTTCCTTTCTTCTCCATCCTCCCTAGCAAAGCTCACCAAGATCGTGACTGAGGAAGAGATTTCAGTTATGCTGTCCACGGTTGTCTCTCTGCTGGCTGCTGCCAGCTTGGCCTCTGCCGGTGTGGCCAAGGAGCCTTGCGCACCCTCTAAGCCCGTCAAGACCACCACTGCCTGGGAGTCGGTCTATACCGCCACCGGCACTGCTGCTGTTGCCGCTGCTGCTGCCACGGCCAAGACCAGCAGCCCGACCAGCCACGTCAAGGGCAAGGCCTTTGACCGCTTCGTGGTCGTCTACTTTGAGAATCAGGACTTTGACAAGGCCGATGGTGACCGTAAGCTGCATTGTGCGAGAAAATATATATAGAGCAATGCTGATGAAACTACAGCCAACTTCACTTTCTTCTCCAAGAGGGGTATCAAGTTGACAAACTACTTTGGCGTCACTCACCCATCGCAGCCCAACTACCTCGCCTCCATTGCTGGCGACTACTTTGGCATGCAGAACGATGACTTGTACGCCACCGACTTTAATGTCTCAACAGTCATCGACCTTCTTGAAGATCGTGGCATTTCTTGGGGTCATTACGAGGAAGACATGCCCTACTCTGGCTACGAGGGTTTCAGCTACGTCAACACCAAGAACGGCGCCAACGACTACGTTCGCAAGCACAACCCTGCTATTCTCGCCAACAGCGTAGCCCACTATGAGCAGCGCCTGTCTCAGATCAAGAACCTGTCTCTCATCGACACTGGCAGGTCCATGTTCCACAAGGACCTCAAGGAGAACAAGCTGCCTCAATGGATGTTCATCACTCCCAACATGACCTCAGATGGACACGACAGCACCGTCGCCATCGCTGGCCAATGGGCCCGCACTTTCCTCGAGCCCCTTCTAAACAACAAGAACTTCATGCAAAACACCCTGGTGCTTCTTACTTGGGACGAAAGCGAGACCTACACTACGCGCAACAATATTCTTGGCATCTTGCTCGGTGACGCTGTCCCCAAGCACCTTGTTGGCACTACCGACAACAACTTTTACAACCACTACTCTGAGATTGCTACCGTCGAGGCCAATTGGGACCTCCACACTCTGGGTCGCTGGGATGTTGGTGCCAATGTCTACGATTGGGTCGCTCAGAAGACTGGTGACCGTCTTCGCAAGTGGCCATCCACCGACACTCTCAACAGCTACTTCTGGAATGTCTCGTATGCCGGAATCTTCAATGAGGATGGTGGCAACCACGAGTACCCCGCCCCCAACCTGAAGCTTGACCACAGCTTCTCTGGCCGCAAAATTCTCCCCTCTATCAAGAAGACTTGGGAGAAGACCAAGCTTGCCTCCTACTACGCCGATACCATTGAGACCGCTGATGGCCTCCACCCTCCCAAGGGCTACACTCCCGTCTCTATCAGCGACTAAGTGTCACTCTTTTTACACTATGACTTTGAAACATATATATAATTATTTATCTTAGCTTTGTATTTAGATATACGATTGTCAAAGTTGGGAATGAAGAATGAATGATAAGGCTTGATAGCTAAACAGGCACTAGCAGAACAAACAGCAAAAAGAAAAAAAAAAACATTACGCACCAATTGGCAGTTGCCTGTCTATAGCAAGGTCCATGATGTTTGTATACGCTACACATGCCTCTCTCTTCATACCTGTATTCAATGATAAACCTCGTCAACTGAGGGCCGAAAAAAAAAGCAAAGAGCGGTCATGGCGAGCTGCTGCCTTATCGGCGCGGCTTAGACTGATTGACTTACATCGGTTTGTGCACGGCGCCACCTCCGGCACTTCAAAAGTCCCAGCTTCCTAGTCGGGCAGCTCTCCAATTTTCTAGCCACCAACGAGAAAAGAAATGCTATCTATCATCCATCGCAGTATCCATCGAGCTGGGTTCCCCTCTTTTCTCCTATTGGTATGGTTATCAATTTGGACTTACGTAAATTGCTTCCAGCTCGTTCTTCTCTTATCAAACGTCTGCGTCGTTGAACAACTGCGCAGGGTATTTCGATTAGGCTACTACTTTGATAGGCGCAATAGGCAAACATTGTCAGATTCAGAAACAAATGTGTAAACAATAAAAAAGAAGAGCAAATCCATCGGGATCCCCGCCAAAGACGCACGTCGAGGTTGGCGGCGCCGCCACCCCACGTCCCTAACCAAGAATCCCTGCCTCTCCAAGAAAAGCTCCCCTTGCCCCAGTCTTGTGCAGCTTCTTTCTCCGCGCCTCCTCCGAATCAGCGTTCATGCGTTTTTAAGCACAGGGTCTTTGGAGGCGCACGTGGGTCGGAATCGAGCATCTGCTTGGAGCAGCCACCCCGTCCAGTGTGCCTGGACCAGCCCTTTTCGCGGCTGGTCGGCAGGAGAACTGTGCCGAAGGGGACCTTTTTTGCTTCCTTTGAATGGAGAAAGAATGCGGAATTTTCCCTTTGAGGTGACAATGACTCCGTCGGTATCCTGACTTGGATTGGTGGCGAGGAGAATAGAGCGTAGAGATGGGGAGTGAGTGGGCTGCGCAGCTGGAATGTTTGTCCCGGGACGCAGATACTACTATTTGTTAAGGCGATGTAACATGCAGACGCAAGGTGTGGACTAAGGACTTCTGGTGTAGGACCGCATGCTCAACTGATCCAGAATTGGAGATCTTGTGCGCCGGCCAAGTGATTGTTCTAAAGCTCGTGCTACTACATACCATCACCGCCAGAACTGAGACGAAGCTCTACCAGAATTGACGTCAAGTCTACTGAGGAGTTCAATATTCAATTGTGCTACCTCCATTTTGTCTCAGACAGCTATCGATAGCCTCTTGGCTGATGCGCTGATTCATCTCTCACACCTATTCTGTACCCTCCCTTTCGCTTTGATCATCCTCTTGTCCATTAAGCAACTATCCCAGAGCTCGTCTCCCTCCAACACCTCTTCGCCTCTCCCGATACACCCACAGCGACCATAATGTCAAAATCAAGAAGCCCTCTCCTCATCCGATTCCTCTCCGACTTCACCCTCGGCTTCTCAGATGGCTTAACAGTGCCCTTTGCCCTCACCGCGGGCCTCAGCTCCCTTGGCCGCACCGACACTGTCATCTATGCTGGTCTGGCTGAACTCTGCGCGGGGAGCATCAGCATGGGCATTGGTGGCTACCTTTCTGCGAAGGACGAATTACCTTCAGACCAGGCGAAAGACCGGGATGGCGACGAGGAAGAGCTCAAAGGCATGCTGCGTCAGGATGCTGGGAGTGATAGCTTGGATGAGAAGAATAAAGATGCGCAAGAAGTGCTTGTGAGGCAGCATTTGGAACCTCTCGCTCTACCGGGTTGGATGGTTGCAGACATCATGTCGACTATTAAAGAGCGCCAGGGCTTATACGATACAGCCCGCCAGGTACAATTTGCACGATCTGAGCTCTCTGCCGGAGAGAGCTCATATAACAACAATCAACTGCTCATTTCGCCAGTCGCTTCCGGTATTTCCATCTCGCTAGGCTACATCATTGGCGGCGCCATTCCTCTACTGCCATACTTATTCGCTGCGACGGTTGGCCTTGGCCTCCGATGGAGTATCGCAGCGTGTCTGGTGGCGTTGATGTCTTTTGGCGCAGGCAAGAGCTGGCTGCTGAGAAGCGGAGATGCATCTAGCAGTTGGATGCGCTGCCTGTGGGAAGGACTGCAGATGATGATTCTGGGCAGCGTGGCTGCGATAGCGTCGGTCTTGTGCGTGTCGTTGCTAGGAGGGGGCGAAAACGAGATGAAGGGTTAAAATACCAAGAGAGATTTTTTCCTTTTCTCTCTCTACCTGGGATTAACGAACATACATGAGTAATTATACAATAATGAGAACTACTGGCGTTGGGGAGTTTGGCCGCAACACACATTGCAGCGCAAGCTATATACTTACATATATCAAAGCTTACAGGTGTCGAATCATTCTTAGTTACACTCTGAAGGCTAGAAGGCGAATTTTCAAAGGACTGCTTTGATTGTCTATTAAATTAATAAAAATTATAATCTTATAAAGAAAAGTCTTTAGTGCACATCAGCGCCTGTTTCAAGAAGTAAGAAGCTATCGTGATGTACGTAAACGGCCTGGCTCGCTTTAGAATAGAGCATGTTTACGGCCGAATAATTCATCAATAGCAGAGCCTAAATAGCTCCTCATACCACTCATCTTTGAGGCCGGGTTCTCCCAAGTAACTACTCTCATGAGTTGGTGGCAATCCGGGTTCTTAAAGATTTTGGCAGGACTCTTGTCACCGGCGGCATTGCAACAAACTTCTTCGTCAACATGCAAACTCTCATCTTCCCTGAAAACTCTTACTATAAGCCCATAAAGGATATCATTGAGGAAAACCCAGAGGAGAATCCCTATGGCCAGAAGCCGGATGCATTTGCACAGGATGTTCTACAACGAGTTGAGAGGGGGGCGCTAGCTATCTTCGCACAACCTTGGGACCTCTCCTACTTTCAAAGGTACCGTCATGCTATTAGCCAAGGTCTTGAGGTGTATCGCTAGTTGAACAGCTGCATGATGGCTTACGTATGAGCGCTTTTGTGAATATTAAAGTTGCGAATTAGCCAAGGGTTGTATACGCGTGTTAGAAGAGCTCCCGTTCATGCGCGCCATGTGAGATGTTGAAGATATTCTATTCGATGTAAAATTTCGAATTGAGTCACACATCAATAGGACTTCAGGTCATACGGAAAGCCTGGTATGTTATTAAACTCCGCTAGATGTATAAATGATCCAGCATAGTCATCTAATATGCGACAACACTCACATAAAACAGCTTCTCGTGACAACTCGCTATTCCAGGCCAAATTTCAGATGGGCAGCTAAGCAGAACAACGCTCACAACTATGATTTAGCGTCCATCCTGTGAACACAACAATTGTGAAGAAGCCGATAGCGTACCATCTACGACTCAATGATGTTATTCTTTTAAGTAGGGTGGCCTGTAAGAATAGGAATTGCAAGTCGGTCAACTGAATAAGCATGCATGTAGTATCCAGTGTCATCCGAGATCTGGATAAATTAATCTGATTAACGCTTGCTACCCGTTCCACGAAGGACAAGCGCTTTAGGACAGGACATTAGGCGCAATCCACCTGCTATTAAACGATGAGAGATTTAGTAAGTCCATCTGTGGAAACTCACTGAGCTCCTCTGAAGCATTAGGCATTTATGGAAGCGCTCATGCATTTATTGCCTAACATGGGAACAATCTTTTCAATAGGTATGACCCTTTTCACAGCATTCCTAACCTCTCTTGTAGCTCGCCGCCTGGGCAGCGGCAGTAAAGAATATAAGCCCGAAAATTACTTATTTAGGTATGCCCTCAGGGAGCAAATCCGAGCTTCATACCATTTTTAAATCTCTCTTATAGCTCGCTGCCTAGGCGCGGCAGTAAAGGATTCAAGCCCGAAAATGAGTCATTTAAGTATGCCGTCAGGGAGAAAACCTGAGCTTCATAGCATTTTTAATCTCTCCCGTAGCTCGCGGCCTAGGGTGCGGCAGTAAAGGATATAAGCCTGAAAACGAGTCATTTAGGCAGATCCGAGCTTCACAGCATTTGTAATCTCTCTCGTAGCTCGTCAACTGGGGGCACCGGTGAAGGATGAGAAAGTGTCAATAATGCAGGTGCGGCGGGATTCGCCGCATTGCAACATCGTTCTAGATTACTTTAAGTATTAATAACGCTCTAAGGTTCTAATCCTCTTCAATTGTGTCAAAGTCTCGCGCAAGAGCCTGGCAACATTATTGTCTTTAATCGCGAATCATACATAACTAATAAAAAGATAGATTAGAGAGAGATCAGCTCGATAAAAATGCAAAAAATGAAGCCAACTCTCAGTGTTGGTGATATTTATAGGAAAAGCCCAACGCGGGGGTCGAACCCGCAACCTTGAGATTGTAATACAGAACGTGTACTTCATAAGAGTCTCACGCTCTACCGATTGAGCTAGCCGGGCAAATCATGTGACGTATAGCCAATCAATGATCACCAAACTGAGCTCGAGGCTTCTGGTTGCAAAAACTGAACTTATTGTGGTATATGACTCTTTACTCTCAAAAGGCTTCGGTTAGACCTATGACTTCTATCTTGAAGGTGCATTGATAAACGTCTGTAAATAGTAACGCCTTCCCAGCACATTTGTAATAGAATTGCGCCTTCTCAATCAGTTATTCCTTCAATTGACAAATTCCGCCTTGATTTGTCAAATGATGTATCCTTTGATTAAATAAGTCTTCTCAAGATGTTCCCAATCAATACAAACTTCTAGGCAACTTCTAGTCCTGTATGACTTGCGTACTGGATTAAATGGATTCCTCTAAGCTTCAAGTTGATATTTTTGACGGTTCACACAAGTTTCGAGAATACAAACACCAGCTCATGCCTCTATCTGAATGCTGTAACGTATGGTTGACGGCCATCCTCTCTTGCTCAGTGATGTGGCTGTACTTAAAACGCCATAATTGTTGCCCAAGACTTTAACTACACAGTAAAGGGAATAAAGCCAATTAGTGTATATTTATCTCGAATGCGCAATGATACGCAGCCTGTAAAAATTGCGTAAAAGTTTTGTATACTTGTTTCTACGAAAGTGTTTTTGGACAAAACTTACATAGTAATAACGGCCATATATAAACGGAGCAGTGATCGTAGCTGTCTCTTGAACGTTGCTATAAATAACCACGTATTGTCTATTTATTACAAAGTTACCTTTCTCAGAACCCGGACTCTATCATAAGACTCTTCCAATGAAGAAGTAGGATGTATCGAGCATGATCAGTAAACAAAGTAGTGTGATTAGTAACTAACAATAATGATCACTAAACAAAAGAAATAGTCTATTCACATTCCTCAAGACTTCATATTCAGTACGAGAGACTTGTACGTCATAAGAAGACGTGGAAAGCTAAACTACGCTTTTCAGAAGGCGTCGACCTCGATATGACGGCTTCAAGCGTCTTGGCTTACAAATAGAAGAATATTGCGTGGTGAACCTGACAATCGAGCTTAGAAATCAGTCAAACAAGGATGTACATAAAGAAGGTACTTCAACACAGAGGAATATAGGCATACTTTAATTCGTATAAATAGAGCTGGCCATTGGCTATCATATGCTGTCACGTTGCTCTGGTATACGACATCCCAAGTTTTACTCCTGCAATCGACCTGAATTTCTCTGGGTAACGGTAAAATGGCTCTAGAATGGGAGAAAAAGGCAGAAGCAAAGCGTCAAGCAATTCTTGACTCCATTCCGCAGAAATGGCGCCTTGATAGGATCCCTTCTGCAGAGGAACAGAAAGACGTTACAGACGAGTATATTCGACAGTTTCTCAACAGTAAAGAAATTGAGATTACTGAAACCGATGTTGGAGGTATTGCGAAACAAATTGCAGCAGGAAACTGGACTTCTGTTGAAGTGACTGAGGCGTTTTGCCATCGAGCATCTCTTGCCCACCAACTGGTATGGAATGCTTCATCAACTATTAGTTATAACTTCATGTACTAAAGAACACTAGGTAAACTGCGTGCACGAATTCTTTTTCGACGCCGCTATCGAATCGGCCAGAGCCCTCGACGCTTACTTTGCTAAGCACAAGAAGACAATTGGGTTGCTCCATGGTGTACCCATTTCTCTTAAAGATCAACTTCATGTCAAAGGAGTCGAGACGACCATGGGGTATGTTGGCTGGATTGGTACATTCCAAGGAATTAAAGATGATCCAAGAAGGGGAACATTTGAAAGTGAAATAGTCAGAGAACTTCGCAATCTCGGCGCTGTTTTCTACTGCAAGACGAGCTGCCCCCAAACATTGATGTCCGGCGAGACTTTCAATAACATTATTGAGTATACATGGAATCCGAAGAATCGCTTTCTATGCTCAGGCGGCAGTTCTGGCGGCGAAGGCGCCCTAATCCGCTTAAAAGGCTCTCCGGGTGGGCTTGGAACAGACATCGCCGGCTCAATCAGAATGCCCGCCGCATTTAGCGGAACATATGGTATTAAGCCAACGTGGGACCGGTTGCCTAGAAGAGGAGTAGCAACCTCTGTATATGGTCAGAATACCGTTTCGTCTTCCATCGGACCAATGGCTACAACTGCGGCGGGAACTAAACTGCTCTTCCAAGCAATATTGTCCCAGCAACCATGGTTATACGATCCTCGGGTTGTTGACATGCCATGGCGCGATACATTGGAAGCAGAAACCAAGGAACTCACAAAAGTGACCTCGAAAGGGCCACTTGTGTTTGGGGTCCTGAAAACTGATGGAATTGTCAACCCTCAGCCCCCTGTCGCTCGCGCCATCTCGATACTCACGGCGGCTCTCACAAAAGCTGGACATAGAGTCGTTGAATGGACGCCGCCAGCTAATTCTCATAAGGCGCTTATGGGTGTTTTGGTGAATTCATGGCAATATGACGGAGGAAAGCAGGTTCATGACGCTTTCGCTCTATCGGGAGAAAAGATCCATCCACAGATACTGCGACTGTTTGGAACCTCGCCAAAGGAGCCATTGGACGGTATTCAAATTGCAGCAAACAACATTGAGAGACGTCGTTTACAAAGCGAATACATGGATTACTGGAACTCTACTATTGAGATAACTGGTACGGGTCGACCCGTCGATGGCTTCATTAGTCCAGTCGCACCTTTTGCGGCCGCAAGGCCTCAAAAGTATAGATATTACGGCTACAGTGCATTTGTCAATGTATTGAACTATACGAGTGTCAATGTACCCGTCACTCTTGCGGATCAGAACATTGACAAGTATGATCCAGGTTATACTCCTTTGAACGAGGTTGACGGAGCTACTATGGAAGACTACGATGCAGAATTATATGATGGAGCGCACGTTGGCTTACAGATTGTAGGGAGGAGTTATACCGAAGAGAAGATGCTTGTCATTGCTGAGTATGTAAGCGAATTGTTATCTCAAGAGCATACTTAGATGACGAAATAGCTGAGTCGGACATTTTAACAAGTCAATTCTTTTTAAAACAAATAATACAATTCAATGTGCCTTTTGAGGCTCGCCAAAATGTCGCCGCCCATGTGCCTATCAAGTGTTCTTGACGCTTCTGTCACAAAGGCCAGAAGCTCCAAGGATGCACCTCTGATTGGATGCGTTCTGCATTGAAAGTAATTTGCCTTTGTACCTGCTCTCTGCCAATTTTAACGTATTCTATTCGCTACGTGGCTAATTTCCGAGACGTAGAGTCTTCGGCTGGGGAGCATAGCAGCTCGCGTTTTTGTTCAACTGCGGCTTAGTTGCCTTCGTTCCATCTTCAACTCTTGTTGTAAGTGATTGTAACTCAGGTTTGGCTGTTCAGCGTGCATGTGCATACCTCTCTGAGCAGTTCGGACAGTGATAGAATACAGTAGTTCCTTCATCAGCGCTTCTCAATTGAAGCGCCGTGTATCGAACTTCCTTCGCGCCACATTTTGGGCATGTTTCCTTAGTCGTAGGCCAAGTATCTACGAATGACATGCCCTGTAATTGCCGTGTCGTCTGTCGCTTCTGGCGAAGCTCAGATGGAAATTTGTTAGTCGATGAAGTCGTCGCTACACCTAATGAAAATATATCTGGGGTACGCCAGTAAACGTAGTCAATACTCCACGTAGATCAATCTAGGTGCAGGCAATGAGCTTACTCTTGTTCATGGAGCCACAACAATCGCATCGAATAATTGAAATGGGAGAGATGTCGAGAGTATTTCCGCATGGGCCGCAAAATTGATCACCATCCTTACGTATTGGGAGGGATCTGAAGACGAAACTGACAAATTGATTTAATGATGAGGCAGACAAACGAAATTCTCAAGCACCCGTGCAAACGCCAGCACGTGGTTTGGTGAGGCCTCAGCATGGGCCATGGAAACTACCTACATGTAACTACTTGAATGTAGATCATTGACCGTGCGCGTCTGTGGTTGCGAGATGAATAAAGCATCGGTGAGATCCAGGATGCGTTCAGTCACCGGTTGTTTCGCTGTTGCAGTGATAGGACAGAGGCCATTCCCAATATTGCGCTGCTACAACATATGTAAAAAATATTGCGTTGATGTTCTCAATATTGCATCGTGAATTGCAACTCAGAACTAACAATGCTATCAATTCCACATTCTTTCAAGAATCGCTTCCTGACATCAACTTGCGGACCATATTCATGAAACGCCTCCTGTACTCCATTGGGTCCGCTGTAATACTCATTGGACCTTTTTTGGCATAGATGTTGAATGTTTTGACAAGCCCTGACAGTATCCTCGGCTGCAACATGTGTCTGGCCCAGAGGTAATCTATTATAACGATACGATATATCCATTTACCGTCAATGGATGTTACCCCATTTCTCCAAGTCTCTGTATTATTGCTGCTAGCAGCTAGTTGTGTATCATCGCTTGCGGCAAACTTCGTACTTGACTGAGACTTTAAATGTTGGCCAGGACCAGGAAGTCTAACCAGAAACAGAGAATAGTCAACCACATTCGAATTCGCGAGAAATTCCGTGTCTGTGTTCAATAGGTTGAAAAGTTGATCCGCCATTTGCGCTGAGACCCGTAGTCGGCTGGGCATTTGATCAACCAACTTGTTTTTCACATTTTGAGATGACAAACTACCGCCGGCGATATCGCGCTCTGGGAAGAAATAATTGTCTGGCTTTAGATCATAGGTACTCCATTGAGCTCTAGCATCTTCACTCTCCTCTTTCTCTTTTCCGTGTAACAAATTCTCCATGACAACAAGATGCGTTGCTGAGAGACCCAGGATTCTGTTCAAGTTTGATCCTGGAACGTAGAGCATATCCGTGACGCGGACTAGAAGACTGCCAGGATAAGCCGTCATATGGGCCACATAAGGCCGAAATAATTCGTGCATGAAGAAGCGGTATTCGAATCGGCGATCTAGTGACTTGACGATATATTTCCCGTTGCTAGTCATAAGAAACGTCGAGCCGCTATATCCTAGATCTCCAACCGGAATAAGTTCCGCTTCCCAATCATGTCTCCGTCGTGACCGTGAGCGATCTGGCAAACTCTGATAAAACGATGTCGAATATTCGTGTTCTTCAATCATCCAGACATCATGTCTCAATGTCAAGAAGTCAGAAGAACAGTATCGTAAATATTCAAAGTCGAATATGGGCGGGAAAATGCTCGTTAAACAGAAAAAGAAGCTGGCCAAGCACTGGACAGCCTGATTTCTTCTTGAAGTGTCATGCTCTACAGGCTCTGAAACGTCGCCCAAGGCACGAGCAACAGCGGTACAGATGTTGCGCGTCCAAGTCCGCATCTTTAGTGTACCAGTTGTTCGCATGGGTATACAACAATTGGTATGAGTTATGTTTTCGCCGTTATGCACATCGCGCAATTGGCGAAGATTGGCTCTTGGAGTGGTCCCAATGAAAACAAGAGCAGGGAAGTTTATATAGTAGAGATACGGCTAAAAGCAAATTGACGTCATTACACGCATGCAATTCAGTTTCGAGCACTGTTAAGAGACGACCCAGAAAACCTCCAATCACTGGTTTTTCTCCGAGTAATTTAAGGGATCTCTTGGCGAGCGATCGAATTGTCCGTCAAATTTGTGGCGTTGGTTGCCTTGTCTTTTGGGTACATGTGTATATAGTCACTTGCATGAATTCGTAGCAGCGTGTAACATGGGAGCATTGAGAGTATAATTAAAGCTTAACGCTAAAATGACAATTCCAACCCGCACCCTGTAAATAAGATGCAGATAGCTCTGTTACGGCAAAATATTCCAAACAAAGGTTCCTCAATCTATAAACTCAACTACATTGCATTACCGAGCATGCGGGTCAAGGACTGCATGGCCGCTTTCAGGTACTCCTCCATGGACATTTTCTCCTTGGGTTTCGAGTCAAATACTTCAACAGAAAGCCAGCCTCTGAAGCCAGTTCGTAGTACAGAGTTTAGAAAGCCTTGAATCGGCAGATACCCTCCATCAAAGGGTAGTGGGCGATAATCATGACTCCATACCGATCTCACTCGCTCCTCCGTGTTACGCAGAGGCGGCTCCATTCTATATGCATCTGAAATCTGAAGTAAGAAAATTGCATCTCCAGGAACAGTCTCTTCCAGTTGCTTCAGACTTTTTTGCCAACGGTCGCCAAGCTCAGCTAGGCTAACATCTTCGATATAACCTGAGTCTGTAGATGGATCGCCATATTCTCCACCAGCTGATTGGAAGGTGTCTAGACAAAGGCCAATGTTTTTTCGATCAGCTTTGTGCGATATCTCCAAAACGTGTTTCCACGTTAAGGCATATGTTGCCCAGCACCAGTTCTCATAAGCAAGTCGAAAACCTTTCTCTGCTAGCAGGTCTGCTAACTGCTGCAAATCTGCGGCATGCTCGTCAAAGGAAGATGATATATCCGGGGCATCTGATGAGCCAACCTAGAGATAGTTAGCCATCATTGCATCCTGATCATTCATCTCTGAGATGCGCATACTTGTAGCATATCGGTGCCTAAAGACTCCATAATTCTTATCCATCCTTTGGCGCGCGTAAATGCCTCCTCTCTCTCTTTTGCATGTGTATCTTTATTCCACCCCTCAAATCGTGAAAACGGTTGCAGCATGAGAATAACAAGGCCAAGTTGATCGGTTAGAATTCGAATCTTCTTAGCTACGTCTGAAAGTGTATCGTAATCATCTTCTTGAATTTCCTTTCCCTCGATATCGCGGCCGTATGCCACTATATCTGGCATAGACATTTCTATTCCATCGAATCCGGCGTTGCGAATGGCCTCTAGTTTTTGAGGAAGTTTCGCGTCATAGTAAGGAGGGATGCTGCATGACGCAAAAGAAGTAGGAATACTGTGGCCTTGATATCCGATGCCCATGGTGACGATATGCTATATTCCTCGAGTGAAGAGTCTCGACTAAGTGACTTGTACTCTGATTAGAATTGTACTTCTAATAGAACAGCTTGAAATACTTAAAACTTCATTGTCATTTACAGGATATATAACGTCATGCTGATGCTTGCAGCGTTGTCACCACAATTGCGTCATTCAATTAGCACAACACAGCTGTGATTGATGTAGCTTTCAAGTGGCAATTCTCATGAATATGTGAATTAAATTGATGCGTCGTCCGACAGTCGCGCCATTTTGTTTTTTGGTGTTTCCAATAATTTTGCCGCTGTGGCTTAATAATTTTGCCGCTGTGGCTTAATTGTTTACCTTGTCTTGCCTATCTTTGAGCGAGCAGCAACCATGGGCGCTCAATCAGATGTAACCATGAAGTTCAAGCAAATTGGCATTGTCGGTGCAGGGAACATGGGCTCTATGATGGGCTTCGCCTTTTCCGAGCTCGGCCTCGACGTGTCTATTTGGGATGCCAAGAGCGCGAATGTCGACGATTTTATGAAGCAAGTTGACCAAGCCGAGGGCCTGACAGGGAATATTACCGGATTTCACGACATATCAAAGTTTACAGCTAGTTTGGGTCAGAATGGTGGCCGAAAAGTGTTCCTTTTTTCTATAACACATGGCGCGCCAGCCGATGAAGTTCTGGAGAAGATCAAGCCAGAGCTGCGCAAGGGTGATATCATTTTGGATGGCGGAAACGAGCATTATCGAAATACCGAGAGGAGACAAAAAGAGTGTCAGGACATTGGCGTGGATTGGATCGGAACGGGAGTTTCTGGCGGTTATCAGTCTGCTCGACATGGGCCAAGTATGTCCCCTGGAGGAAATGCTGCGGCACTGAAAGAAGTCATGCCGCTGCTAGAACTATATGCGGCGAAGGATCCGAAATCTGGCGCTCCATGCGTATCGAATATCGGACCCGGCGGCTCAGGACACTTTGTCAAGATGGTCCATAACGGTATCGAAGTTGGTATGCTCTCCGCTCTCTGCGAGGCTTGGGCGTTTCTAAACAGCGGGTTGGGGCTTGACTACGATGAGATTGGTGAAATATTTGCAAAATGGAACGACAACGGCGAATTACATACCAATTTCCTCGTCAGAATTGCTTCTGAGATTTGCAAGACGAGAAAACCGACAGATGGCAAAACAGCGGGACAAAAAGGTGGCCACGTTCTCGATGACGTCCTCGACAAAGTCGTACAGGATGACGATGGCTCTGAAGGAACGCCCACATGGTCAATTGAGGAATCGGCAATGAGGCATGTATCTTGTCCGACGCTCGCAGCGGGATTTTATCTGCGTGTGGCCTCAGGAAATCGCGAAGAACGGCTACAGATCGCCGACACGTTCTCTATTCCCAAACCAAAGCCTATTCAAGATATCAAGGATAAAGACCAGATGGTTGAAGACCTCCGTCAGGCCATCTACTGTGCTTTCCTGGCCTCCTACTGCCAAGGACTGGAACTCATTGCGCGGGCATCTAATGACGAAGGCTGGGGCATCGATTTGTCTGAGTGCATTCGTATATGGCGAGCAGGGTGCATCATTCAGTCTGAGTTCATCGCCGATTTGCTTGAGCCACTTCTGAAAGAGAATAAGTCGCTCACAAACATCAAGCTGGAAAGCTCTGTCGGGCGGGAGTTGCAATGCAGCTATTCAGCCCTGAAAGAAATTGTCTCTCGAGGAATTGCAGCCGACCATTACTTGCCCGCGCTTACTGCCACACTTGAGTACGTCAAGTACACCACAGGCAAAATGCTGCCCACAAAGTTTATGGAGGCCCAAATGGATTATTTTGGGGCGCACTCATACAATAAGCCGGGCGTACGAGGCGAAGATCCCGGTCCGGTCGCGAAAGGCCCGCATCATTACGAGTGGAAGCCAGCTTAAAAGCTTTGCACGGCAATTGATCATTATGCTTGATTCAAAAGGTAGATTTTAAATTGCACGGCCAGACCATTGTATAGATATGCATGTGAAGTTTAGATCGAAGACGGAAGTAGCCGATGCGAAGCTCAGTTGTCATCTATACTCTGCATTAAATGACCCACACCCGGAGTAACAACTCCAGCTTTCTGCAATTTCATGACATAGAAAAACACCGGCTTTATCTGTAAATTCGCCTCATTGCCAAGCTGTAACATTGAGGCGCACGTATCATAGATATTACCTTTTTGCTACTTCAAACTGTATCGTTGACCTCATACAAAACTGGATCCACCATGACGAAACGTACACATCATTCACGTTGTTGTGCGTGTCACGATTAGGTTGACGGAGATATCATGAGTTTATGTTATAATTCTATTATAGCATGGGGACCTACTATATCGCAGCCATTCTATTTCACTACCTCATTTTTTCATCGCTCCTGGAGGCATCAATTACTATCCGAAATTTGATCAGCACATTCGCCCACCATGACATCGCAGTTCAAAGATGGTACGGCATTCTGTTAACACGTTGAAGACAATTTCGCTAATAGCAGCATGTGAAAAGAGAAAAACATCCCTGTTTCTAAGCAGGAATTTCCGGGCTTGGACAAAGATATGCCCGATCCCAAACCCGTTCGCGACGAGCTGCCGGATGCAGATGGAAGAACCGAAACTTACAAGGCAGCAGATAAGCTTGTAGGCAAAAGAGCACTCATAACTGGCGGTGACAGTGGCATTGGAGCTGCTACTGCTGTATTGTTTGCAAGGGAAGGTGCTGTAGTGACGATTATTTATCTTCCTGAAGAAGAGCAAGACGCGCAAGACACTAAGAAGCAGGTTGAGTCTCTTGGGAGTGACTGTTATCTATTCGCCACGGATCTTGCCAAAAAAGAAAATTGCCAGGATGCTGTCAATTTTGCCTTGGAGAAGATGGGTGGAATTGACATTCTCTTCAACAATGCGGCGTGTAAGCTATTGTTTTTGGACGATGAAAAATTGCATGCGCTGACTGTCTCTGGTAGATCAAATGATGGTTGAAGATATACTCGATTTGCCAGACGAGCAATGGATTCATACATTCAACATCAACATGCACTCATATTTTTTCATGGCAAAGTATGCCATCAAGCACATGAAGCGCGGCGCTGTAATTATCAACAACGCCTCTATTAATGCATACATCGGCCGGCCAGACTTGCTGGATTACACCTCTACCAAGGGAGGGATCATTTCCTTCACAAGAGGGTTGAGCAACCAATACATCTCAAAAGGCATCCGAGTTAACGCTGTCGCCCCTGGGCCAGGTAAGCATATATGCGCATATATGTCGAGAGCTGTTTGTGCCGTGCTGACAAGAACTGTAGTGTGGACTCCGTTGATTCCTGCGACAATGAATGAAAAGGCTCAGAAGGAATTCACCAGTCCTATGGGTCGACCAGCCCAGCCCAGTGAAATCGCCAGCTGTGTCGTCTTTCTCTCTTCGATGGACAGCTCTTGTATCAGCGGACAGACTATACACTGCAATGGAGGAGTTGTGGTGAATGGCTGAATAGAAAGCGTAACCAATCGGAGGATTTGCTTAGTTAATGACCAATGAGAGTCTTCTGTCTGTTCATTTTGAGAGTAATTGCTCTTTTATTGCCTTCCCGCGGGCCTAATAATCGGTGACTTGACAATGGTAGAGAGATGTGGACTATCTAGCCAGTCTACCCTAAAAAATCCTGGGCAGTGACGATCATTCAACTCGAAACCAATAAGCAGCTGAGAGCTCAATTGTAGTCCAATGTGACTTGTTGATATGTTATTCTCCATATAATTGTTAAAAATCGCCAAACTGGGTCAATTATCGTTGGCCTTAACGCTATCTCTGGGGAAATGAGCTAAGGAAGCTCCAATTAATTGCAATGAGAACTTTACTGACGTCAACCGCAGATCACCAAGGCCACAGCGATTGCCTACGAAATATTTCATTATCACGATAAATTGCAAGCTGAGTAAGTGTTATTTGTCCAGAAGGATGCTGCTGCTTACACAGTGGTCCCACCTTTGCCGGCGATTGTGGCAAAGACCCAGTGGTGAGGTCATCATGATATGTCGTTTTGCATAGATCCTGTCAATGACGGCGCGATCTCACTACTAATTGTATGCTTCTGTTGCCACGGCATATTCCGAGTCAGTCAAAAGAGACATGAAAATCTTATTTACGAGAACCTTATCCATGAGATTCGCTGTTCTTTTTCCCAAGACCGCTATTTCTACCTATTGCTCAGACTACGATCAATTTACACCTGGCTGAAGAGAAAGTAACAACACAATCATGGCAAGCGTATCACGACTGTTCCAGTTAAGCGGAACCTGCAACAACTATCCATGGGGGAAAAAAGGGCACCAATCGCTCGCTGCCGAACTCTGCAAAAAGACACCTGGAACCGACTTCACCATAAAAGATGACGAGTATTACTCCGAGATGTGGTTTGGCGACTACCCAGACTTTCCCGCGAGAGATCTGGAAACAGGTCGACCGCTTGCCGACCTCTTGAAATCCAACGAGGAAAAATTGCTAGGGCCATACTCAATGGAGAAGTTTGGAAATAATGTTCCGTTTCTACCAAAGGTAAATTGGGCTTGTGTTGCGGCAAGAACAGTTGTCTAATATATACATTACAGATCCTTTCAATAGGCAAAGCTCTGCCGTTACAAATTCACCCAAACAAATCACTTGCAGCCAAACTCCACGAGAAAGATCCCGAAAAATTCTCAGACACCAATCACAAGCCAGAGATTGCAGTGGCACTGTCGCGATTCGAGCTGTTTGCTGGCTGGAGAGAATTGAACCAAATTTCCCCCATGTTCAATATACCAAGTCTGCGGCGCTTCGTGCCTGAAGAGACGAATGCGTGGGACGAGGAAACTCTACGAAATGTTGTTCGCGAATTGTTGAAGGCAGATGAACAGACTATCCAGAAGATTGAAGAGGACCTGAAGCGACAGTCTCTAGAAGACCTTCAGAAACTTGGCTACCCAAGCCAAACTTTTGAGTTGCTTCAACGCTTGCAATCTCAATATTCAGCCACGGATCCAGGGCTGTTGGTTGCAATTCTATGCATGAAATTCTTCGTACTGGAGCCTGGTGAAGCAATGTTCATTCCAGCTGATGGTATTCATTGCTATTTGTCAGGAGATATTGTGGAGTGCATGGCTCGCTCAAACAACATGCTCGCCAGTGGTCTTTGCCCTGTTGCCGACCGCGATAGTGCTGATCTCTTTTCCGAAACCCTTAAGATCGACTCAAGTACGCAAGCAGATAATCTGAGGTTGACGGCAAAGGCAGGAAAAGATGGGTATACAACGGTATATTCACCACCCATTGGCGAGTTTGACGTGGTTCGTGTCGACATGCCTGCTGGAAAGGAGGACTCCGTTTGGAATCATAAAGGCCCGACTCTAGCCATTGCGCTTTCTGGGGAGGGTACCATTCAAGGCGATGGAAAAGAGCTTGCTGTCAAACCCGGGTTTATTTTCTTCATTGCAGCAGAGACGTCCACGAAGCTGCGGGCTGATTCTGACTTGCAAATTTACGCTGCTGCGTTACGTTGAATTGAAGTTACAAACTCATAATCTAGACAATAAAAACTTTTTGAATTTTAGACTTGTGTCATATGCGAAGAATCACCAGGTTGTTTGATTGGAGTATTTTTGCTTCCGTTGCTATCTTCTATATCCTCAATAATGCCAATCCTTTTCTGCCATGTCTTCTCGCACTTTGTAGTTAAGCTCCGCCTGCTTCAAAATTTCCATATCAATCTCAGCAATAAAGAAATTCTCTGAGCTGTCCCAAATCCCATCGACAGCGCCTACAAATGGCAAAGCGACCTGCGATAGTCCGACAAACGTGTGCGAAGGCCCACCGGCATTTGCAAACACAACGGCGCAAGTGTTTTCAAAGCAACGCGATGTGATCATAGTGTTTAAAACTAGACTTTCATAGTTGGGATTCAATCCTAGCCCATAGGCGTGGGATTCGTCGAGCGTCCAGCAGGTGGGCACGATGATGATGTCTGCGCCGTCTTTCACCAATTGGCGAAAAGCTTCTGGGAAAGCAAGATCCCAGCAGATCAAAAGTCCTACTTTTCCCAAAGGCGTAGATATTGCGGAATGTTTTTCCCAGCCACGAGATTGGTGGGAGCGCTCGGTGTGCCAGAGGTTTTTCTTCCTATAAGATCCCAGAATTTCGCCCTCGTGAGAAATAAAGTACGAAGTGTTAAATAGTTGATAGTCTCCGTCTAGGTCGTTTAATGTTCTATTGCCAGAGGATTGAGCGGCAGCTGGATGTCGCTCAACAAACGTTCCTGGGACAAGACAAACGCTAAGCTCTCGAGCTAGGACGCAATACTGATCCAGATATTTCTTGTATTGAGAAGCTTGCTGAATATAAATAGGGTCTTCAGGTACATAACCATTCAAATGGTATCTATAAAACAGTAAGTGAAAACACAATGATGAGATAAATAGAGGAAGAGGGGGGGAAAATATGTTAATGAACAAACAGTAATGTGATAGGATACTCGGATACGCACTCTGGCAAAACAACTAGCTGAGCTCCTTGTTCAGCTGCTTGGCGGATGAATGCACAAGCCTTTGTAAAGTTGCCCTCTATATCGAGGGGCTATGCGATGCTTTCGGTTAGTACGTAAAACAATTGGCAATGGAAGAGTTTGACATACTTTCGAGTGCAACTGAATGACCGCGACTCTGATCTTTGTCGACATGGCCATGGACTGTAGCCACTCTACACGATAATGCGCTATATGGGATTTACGCTTCTATATGTTGCGTATGTAATTGACTATATGTTGCGTATATAATTGAACCGGGGCGTCAAAACTTATCTAGGATACTGCCACCGTAAGTTTTATTTGCTCGGAACTGCCATCTCACCATTAAATGACGGGGTCCATCAAGCTAGTAATGCAGAGGCATTTTCGCCCGCACTATACATTTAGATCGGTTAGTTGGTGCCACGCTTAAGCGTAGCGTACAGATGCAATCGGTATCAATGAGGGCGAGTTGGACTTCCAAAAAGCGAGTTGGCTGTTTTACTAAAAGCAATTCTATCTGTTACTTCCTTTATACCATGTTTTTTTTATCTACTCGGAATTCAACGAATGAATTGGTTCACAAAGTCCGCCCCTAGTCCAACTTTCTCGTAATGCTCCTTGGCCTTCTGTATCTTGCTGAAGACATCCTCAACGCCCACAGGATTGCCATCAACGTCAACGTAGATATAAGCGCCAGTGACGTGAAACATGGTCACCATTTCCTCCACGTCCTCTGGGACCTCTAATGTATGGATGTCACCCGGTGGCTCAAAGGCATAGCTTCCTTGCTCTGCCCACCAAGGGTGCTCGAGATAGTGCCATCTGCCCTTTAATACCGTGGCGTGCACAGGGCCAGCGTGGCGGTGTCGTGACAGGATTCCAGATTTGCGGACTCTTAGAAGATTGACAAAGTAACCCTGGCTGACGGAGAACAACAATGGCCGGAACCAAACTTGGTCGGATTGAGGAACCCAAAACCGCTCGTCGCAGTTGAGCGTTAAGACGTCGGGAACAACTTGGTCTTCAAGAATATTTGGGAGAGGTTGGCCGCGATAGGCGAGGGCATGCTGGTCTGGAGGAGCGGAAGAAGTCATTGTGTGTATGTGTTGATGGCTCTAAAGGTGGCATGGAAGTAATGACAGCCATTGATTTGTGACAAACAGCTTGAAGTTATACCACGCCAGAACAGAGGCCAAGGTGGCCAGAGTCTTGCTCCTGACCATGGCTACAAATTCTAAGACCCAAACTGTGAGCCATTACTTCAGCTTGGTGAGACAAAGATGAGGCTAGATCCGGAGAATATTGTTAATACGGTGGACACCCGGAACTATTCATACACGCGGACTGGCGCTCCGGGCGCCGGGCGCTTCAGGCGCGGGGCAGCACTCCCAACACAACATACGAAGAAATAAAAACCCCACCAACATCTTAGCTCTTGGTTTCGCTACTAAATGATGATGGCTGCGCTAGATGGAGCGCGAGCGGCGCTTCGCTGGCGCCGCTACCAGAGAGACTCCGATGTGAAATCTCCACTGCATGACCCCCATTTATTGGAACGATTCCAAATGAAACGCCTTCTTTCGTAGGTGAATCTATAGCTTGATATTAGTGCGAGCGAATTGCAGAAAAGTTATCAAAACAGGTCTTCCATCGCTGATTGAGACCTCTACGTGTCTTGACTTGACAGGGAGTCGTTACCACTTACACATTTGCACCACAGTCACCATGGAAGCACCGGACTGGTGGCGTGACGCAGTCGTCTACCAGATTTATCCTGTGTCGTTCAAAGATACTACCGGGAATGGGAAAGGAGACCTCAACGGCATCACCTCCAAGTTGCCGTATCTAAAAGATCTTGGCGTGGAGGTGGTATGGCTCTCTCCGGTATATGCATCGCCCATGGTGGACATGGGATACGACATCTCCAACTATCGAGAAATACATCCAGATTTTGGAACTATGGAAGACTGGGAGCGCATGACCAAAGAAGCTCATCGCATAGGGCTGAAAGTGGTTATGGATCTGGTTGTCAACCATACCTCAGATCAACACGAGTGGTTCCAGGACGCTAAAGATGGAGGCTCGAAGAAAGATTGGTATATCTGGCGAGGGAAGAATAAAGAGGGAAAGGAACCTAACAACTGGGGCGCCATTTTTGGTGGCTCATGCTGGGAGTGGAACGACAAACTAAAAGAGTACTATTTACACGTTTTTGACGTGTCGCAGCCTGACCTCAACTGGGAGAATCCGGCAGTTCGAGATGCAGTATGGGATGTGATGCGATTCTGGCTGGACAAGGGCTGCGATGGATTTAGAATGGATGTCATCAACTGCATCTCAAAGACACCAGGTTTTCCAGACGCGCCAGTTGCCGATCCTCAAAGCATGTATCAGTACGGACTGATACATCGCTTTAACGGGCCAAAAGTGGCAGACTACCTGCTTGAGATGCATGACAAAGTCTTGCAATATTACCCCAATGCCTTTACAGTTGGTGAAGCCCCAGGAGTCAAGAGTGCAGAGCAGGCGCTTCCGTTGGTTCAAAATGGTGTTCCGCTTCAGGTATGTTCTCTTATCTCTCATTGTTAGATACCAACGAATATGCATTAATAAGTCCATGTAGATGTTATTTCACTTTGAACACATGTATATCGACCACCAACCGGGCAAAACGTGCTTCAACTACAAGCCATGGAAGCTTACGGAACTAAAGGATGTTCTCGGCAAATTTATGGAGTTTAATGAAGCCAACGGCGGGTGGGACAGCCTCTACTTGGAGAATCATGACCAACCACGAATTATTAGTCGATGGGCAAATGACGGCAAATATCGTGACGCATCGGCCAAGATGCTAGCAATCTTCCATGCTACTGGTAGAGGTACCCTATTTATATACCAAGGGCAAGAAATCGGCATGGCCAACCCAGCGGCCTGGACCTTCGACGAGCTTCGGGACCTGGAAGAGATTCAATATTATAAGGCTATTGAAGCCAGTAATGGGGATACCAAAGACGCGCTGAAGCAGATTCAGCGGATTGGACGAGATAACTCTCGGACCCCAATGCAATGGAGCGCAGATACCAATGCAGGCTTCACTTCCGGTACACCATGGATAAAAGTTAACCAAGATTACGAAGAATGGAACGTCGAGGCCGAACAAGCAAGTTCCGATATCAGCGTGTTAAAGTTCTGGAAATCTTTACTTACGATCAGAAAAGACCATAATGGTTTGGTGCGGGGAGCATTCCAGATGATAGACTATGAGAATCAGAGCGTCTATGCCTATACTAGAAGAAATGCCACCGAGCAATACCTAGTGGTGTGTTCGTTTTCTGAAGAGGAGGTGAAATGGGTGTGTCCTGTCAATCGTGGCAATCTGTTGCTTGGGAATTATCCGTCGCAGGAGATTGAGGAAGATGATACGTTGACGCTGAGGCCCTATGAGGGGCGGCTCTATTATCTACCAGCAATGCAACATTTATAGTCTAGCTTTGGAGTATGTTGAATAAGCAGTCTTGGGAGCAGCCATTGAAGTACCAAATATTGCTAGTCTTGGCTAGATGTTCGTTGACGATGACCCGAAGAGGTAAATTTGCACGGGTCGTGTTAGGATATGCTATTGGGATAACGGACTGTTTATAGTATGTCACGGAATAGTAGTACATACAATATGTTTTGTTTCCCTTCTTTATTATACTAAGTTGTTCACGCAATTGCCTCTATTTTAATTCTGTGCTGTGGTTTAAATAAATAAGACGCTAATAGTTTGTATAAAAACCCTTTAATTCTTAACCTGCTAGTTGGTATCTCTAGTGAGTAGTTCTTAGCTAACTATCGAAACCTAGAATAGTCATAATTATGCAGCCTAGCTGTGGAATCCATTGGTCCCAAAGCGAAGTGCATGCTCCTCAGACACAACAAATATCGCGGTCTTGAGAAGTTGCACAATGGCTTTGATCTCATCCTCTTTCACAATGTATGGTGGCGCTAGAATAACCAGTTCCACATCAATCTTTCCCGTCTTACCCAAATTTCCAAGAATATTTAAGCCCAGCTCTGCTGCGACTTCGACAATACGATTGGAGAAATTGTGCTCTGCGAGGAACGGGGTCTTGGTGTTAGGATCTCGCATAAACTCGACAGCCCAAAACAGTCCTCTGCCACGAATGTCTCCTACATGAGCGAGATGGCCAATCTCCTCGTTCAACTCCGTTTCGAGGAAGTCGCCCATTCGTACCACTTGTTCAAGAATATTCTCTCGCTTAATGATTTTCTGCACAGCAAGGGCAGCAGCGCAGGCTGTTGGGTGAGCTTGGAAGGTATGGCCATGAGCGAGGACCATGGTTCCTCTAGCTAAGCCGTCGAATACTTTTCGATTCAACAATACTCCAGACAGAGGCACGAAGCCTCCACCTAAAGCCTTGCCGATCATCTGAATGTCTGGTCCGCTGATGCCTTCCTGTTCCCAAGCATGCATAGTTCCCGTCTTTCCCATGCCGCACATGATCTATTCGATGTTAGAGTCATCTGTAACTGATAATTGTAGGGATACAAACCTCATCAAGTATTAGTAGAGCTCCGTATTTATCACAGATCTCGCGTACGGCTTTGAAATACCCAGGCACCGGAGGGACGCATCCGAGAGTCGTCCCACTGACCGTCTCAGCCACGAATGCGGCCACCGTGTCGGGCCCTAGGCGCAAGAACTCGTCTTCTAGCTGTAATTTCAACCTTTCGACATACTGTTCGTTCGACTCAGATAATCCCTTTGCCCTATAGCTGTAGCATGGATCAACGAAGCTGACGTTATTCGAGATCCAGGGCTGATAATAGGCGCGACGAGATTCATGGCCAGAGACACTCAGTGCGCCTAATGTATTTCCGTGGTAGCTTTGCTTCCTTGCAATGAAGTTGGTTCTTTTAGGCTGCCCGACTTCACAAAAGTATTGAGTTGCCAGTTTTAACGCTGCGTCTGTAGCTTCACTGCCAGAGTTGACAAAGATAGCCTTTACCAAACCGCCAGGCGCATCCTTCAAGATTTCAGTGGCAAGAGATTCAGCAGCCTCGCAGGTGTGTCTACTCCCGGAATAGACATAGGCAATCTTGTCTAGCTGTTCAATGATAGCTTGTGTGACTTCAGGCTGATGATGCCCCAAGACTGAAACGGAAGGACCAGCAGAAGCATCGTATACAATCTTTCCAGACTCTAGAGTAAACGAGATGCCAGAGCCGGATACAATCTTTTGCGGCTCATACGCTAATGCGCGATGAAGTACATGTGATTTTGCAACAGATGGATTGAGCGGCATGTTGGAGATGAGGAGTGAGGAAAAAGGTACCAGCTCAAATTGTGTAAGTGAATGATGATGAAGGGGCTTAGACAGCTGCACTCTTATTCTCTCCGCGATCATGTTTACTTTAAGTTCCCTTCAAGTTCTCTTACAGGCCCTTTTACTCTGTTCGTATTACAATCACTTACCCACGATTTCCCTTTCCAGTTGCATCGCATCGCACATCTCATATAGGCTAGAGTCAGCATAATATTTTGGCCTGACTAGCCTGGAACCGTAGACTATTTGTAGCTAGTGGCGCCGAGCGCTTATGGCGCACGACTCAGTAGCGCCTTGATATGAATCTTGGAGAACCGAAGACGGAGTGGAACAAAAGATCAATGTAGAGGATTATGAAAGATAAGACTTGTTGTCGAGCTAGCTGCCTACGAGAGGCGCTTGACCCCAACTATTAGCTTTAGTTCTATCCGGAGGCAAGTCTGGGGAAGAAGTATGCGAGGGGTGTTGTAAACCTTCATTTTGACTCGATAAGCAATGCGCGATTGACATTAAGAATGGAAGGCCGGCGTACATAAAGTTGCGTTCATCTTCTCTATGAATATCTTCATGATATCTCTGCGACAACAGAAACTATAACTGCAATCCTTATTGTTCAATTTATCTTCAATTGTATCGACCTAAAGAGCATGGTCTCGAATCCTCCATCATGGGAGAAGAAATTCACGTTGCTCAATCCGAAAAAGTCAACCACGATGTAGACTTGAATGATGTGGCCATAGCCAAGCAAGCTCAAGATGCTCGTGCGATTGAACACAATCTGACTCTCAAAGAGGTCTTCCGTCATTACCACCGTGCCATTGGATGGTCCTTTCTCTTCAGCTTAGGAGTTATCATGGCCGGTTTTGACCCTCAATTGATTGGCACGTTGATAGCGATCCCAAGATTCCAGCACGACTTTGGCGTTGAGCTTGCTGATGGATCGTTTGTTGTTCAAGCAAAGTGGCAGTCAGCGTTCAATCTTGGCGTCCCCGTTGGACAAGTGCTTGGGTCCTTCGGTGTTGGATGGCCCTTGGAGAAATTTGGGCGTCGATGGACTCTTGCAGTTTGCTGCTGCATTACCCTCATTACCATTGCACTACAAACTTCTGCTCAAAACAGACCTCAGATTCTCATTGCCGAGCTCATCAACGGCGTGGTTCTCGGTGCCTACCCAGTCATTGCGCCCACGTACATCTCAGAAGTCACTCCTGTGGTGTTTCGCGGTATTGCAGCAGCGTTTGTCAACTTGTCATTTGTCATTGGCCAACTTGTGGCCAGTGGTGTTTTAGCTGGCTGCCAAACCCGCGACGATCGATGGGCGTACGATATACCTTTTGCAACTCAGCTCATCTTCCCCATTATCATTCTGGCCCTGCTACCGTTTTGTCCGGAGAGCCCATGGTGGTTGGTCCGTAGAGGCGAACTACAGAAAGCCGAGCGATCACTCAAGCGTCTTACAAGCGAATCCGTCGATACGAGCATATTACTTGCACACATACAGCTTACCACATCTATTGAAGAAGCAGAGACCGATACTGCCCGCTTCATTGACTGCTTCAAAAAGACGGATCTTCGGCGAACAATCATCTGCATCATGGTTTATGCCATCCAGCCACTAGTTGCCAACTTTCTGGTCATCGGATACGCCGTTTACTTCTTCGAACTCGCGGGCCTCGCGGCCAATGACTCTTTTGATCTTGGCGTAGGGCTGCTTGGCGTTGGATTTGTGGGCACAATCCTTTCCTGGTTTCTCCTCAGTCGATTTGGTCGCCGTACAATCTATAACCAAGGCTTTAGCATTCTTGCTATTATCGTTCTTTTGGTGGGCGTCCTTGACGTTGTTCCTGGATACGGCACAACGAACCATAGTGTCGTCTGGGCCCAGTGTTCTATGATGGTCATCTACAATTTCTTTTACGACTTGACAATCGGCCCACTCTGTTTCGTCTACTTGTCAGAGGTTTCGTCTGCGAAATTGCGTGACAAAACCATCGCTATTGCAACTACAATCAACGCGCTGATTAATGTTGCTTGTGCTGTGGGCATTCCTTACGCCATTAATCCGGATCAGGGCAACCTGCGTGGCAAACTTGCTTTTGTATTCTTAGGCGCATCGTTACCATGCCTCGTCTGGTGCTTTCTCGCACTGCCTGAAACTAAAGGTCGGACGTTCGAGGAATTGGACATCATGTTTCAGAGGAAAGTTCCAACTAGGAAATTTGCCACTTACAAGTTCTCAGAGCATATGGAGGAGGATTAGGATAGTGCAGCTAGGCATTAATGGTTACAAAGCCTCTTAACAAGTCGATTATCTTCAAGCTACTATTATGTACCGCTAATTGCCAAACTAATAAATTTGATTCGAGCAGAATGAACTAAAATAATGACTTCGCTCAATACCATTCCGTTTTGCCAAGCCTTTACAAGTATTGCCAGCATCGTATCCCATTAATTTCCACCTATATCGATAAGTTGATCCAGTATGTTCACGACTCAAGATAACGCCAACTCCCAATGCCTCCGCTGAATGATATCAAGCCAATCCAACTCGTAGCCTGTAATCGGTCCAGTAATGCTAGTATGCTGTAACCATAACTCTTCCAGGACCGACAGTGCCGACGCAGCATTTTGGAAATGTCGATATGTTGCGATATGATGCAGCCTCTCGCGTACAAAACTCATCGTTGACTTACATCGAGTCTCTCCTCCAGCCATAAAGAGAGGGAAGAGTGATGTGCATTCTGGTAAGCAGCCCAGCGGCATTTGTTCCAGATGAAATATGATGGAAGTGACTTCGCTCGCCATCTTGTTTTCAAGCTCAGAGCCATTTACCGAGAATCGGCGTCGCATCATGCGGTACAGATGTATGAGAGCCGCGCTTCTATATGCCTCTGCAAGGCTGGTTAGGCATTGATTGTCTGACTCAGGGCATTTCCAATCCTTAAGCTCAGACTCAATCTTATATGCTTGAGGAAAGAAGTCTTCTGTCGAGGAAACCGGTGATTCGTAGGTGCTATGAGGAGACGAAGACATAGAATCAGAATCACTTGAGGGTGTCGATGCTTCTAAAGAGCGGATAATGTCGCCATTCAGAGAGCTAATCCTGGAAATCAGGACTAAAGGCTCAGATGCCAGCCCAACATAGGAGTCGACTTCATTCATTGGTTGTGGGATCCAATATCGGCCGGGTATTAGAGGCTCGCGATCCAATGTTACGCTCATCAGGATATCATGATATGCGAAGTTTCGCAAAAGCCAGCGAATCTCATATGCTGGACTTCTACGGCACCCATCCGAGGTTGGTGAGAGCCAGTTATGCCTTATAATATGCGCTGCGCCCACCAAATGGTTGCGCCACTCTGCAGTGTCGCCCAAAACAGCCGACATAGAGCAGAAGACAAGGCAACAGGCGAGCGAGACTTCTGGAGATTCACTATTTAGTAAGCTCGCTGTAAAGGACTGAAGAGCGGTAGATCTATGCTCAAGAGCTTTGATCCGGTAAGTATCGTCGCAAAGAGACAGATGCGATGATGACCATGCGATCAACATGTCAAGCAGCGCTTTCTCTTCGATTGCCATGGGTAACAGCACTGCTTGACGTTATTCACTGCATAGCATTGATGAAGGTAAGTACAGGAGACAGTGACAGCGTACCAGAGAGGAATCCGTTATTCTCCAGATTGGTAGTTAGCATAGTGTTGAATGTCTGGACGTAGTATCTGAGCGCTAACTTGCGATCCAGTGATCGACGAGCCAGCTCAGGCGCGTCACTTTGAAGAAATTGAATAGGAGCGGGTGCAATTGGAATCGTCAGAGGCACAGAGGGATGATTTGGCATTCGAAGCCGTAGAGACACCGAATCTGATGAAGGAGAGGCGTCATCTGCAATCTGGCGGGGACCCTGCCAGTGACAAACCAGGTTGAGACGAGCACAATGACCACAAACATTGCGAACTCCATCGCACCGCTTCTTTCTATACGTTTCCCCCCTCTATGTCAGAAGTTAAGCATCAACCCGTAGTCTGGGGGGGACTGTACCTTCGGCGGCATGTTAAGCATCCTGTTCTGTTGCGCCTTCGCGGGATGTACTCTTCAGGCTGGCTCTGGGTGGCCAAAGTATCTGGCTTAGGACTTTGTAGATACTGAGCCATGAGAGGTGATGCCTTAGAATGCCTGATCTCCCCACGATTTGTAGAATCTGAATCCATCTGTCAATTTGGGGGGTTCCGATCGGAAGGTTAGTCTGCTTTACTCCGTAATGCTTATCGCCTTAGTCGGAACCCCGCATAGTTAGAGCGACGTTAACGCGGAGTAGGCTAGACGAACTGACTCAAGGCTAATAGTGTAAGGCAATTACCGGAGGGCATTGATAACCAGTGTTTTCCGAGAGATTCCCGATAATGATTAGAGATTGGCCTGGGAGTTACTGAGAGTAAACAGAATACAGTTGGCTTTGGAACAACCCCCACATCCAAAAATACATAGTCAATCTACGCAAATGGTAACGATTCACATAACAGCTTTATTGGCTAAGATAAACTAACGAGTGCGGATGTAGCTGAGCTAATAGATTTTAATGCCATTTCAGCACTTGGGTGATTGACATAAAAATCTGCAAAATCTCTGAATTAAAGAGAGTGGGCTGCAATGAGGGGGGCCAGGAAGATAATTTCCACATAAGCCACCGGAATAACATATGGAATTCCTTATCTGGTCAACGATTGATTTCTCCCAGAAGCCTTCCTTCTAAAACATCAGGTATGAAATCAGATGTCTTGGAGGATATTGTGAACATGGAGGGTGTCGGCGTAGTTCTTCAGGTGGATGATCTTGCCGTTGTTATCGAATTGGAAAGTCATCACTGATTCGTGGTTGAAAGGCTTGCCTAATTACTAATCAGCACTTTGAGCCCTTGGTTAATACTCATGGAGAAACGGACCTGTGATGGTCGTTGCAGTAGCCTTAATCACAGCGGCAGCCCAGTCACTCTCTGGGCCACCTCCAATCACTTGTAAGACTTGACAGTCGTGAGGCTTGGAGTAATCGATAACGTTGGGAATATCAGAAAGGCCACCATCAACTATCTCTCCCTTGATAGTTTCAGCACCTTTCAATTGAGTAGCGTGCGGGAACTCATGGCCGTTGATGTGAAATTCAACGTTGTCGTGGAAGTGATTAGTTATATGTCCGGGCTGCTGAAGCTTTCCCGAGTTCCCTGCCTTTTCAGCAATATCCTGGGCGATATGAACCTCGAGAAGGTTTCGAATCTCTTGAGCGCTGGGAGCCATTGAAAGTATAGCTAATTTGCTTTAGAAATTATTTAAAGGGAGGATGTTGTAGTTTGAGTGTATGATTGCTGATGGAGAGTGAAAAAGAAAGGGAGCGTACTTCAGAGACGCGGCATGCCCATTATATAAGTTGCAATTCACTCAGACATATGTTACGTCAACAACTTTGTAAAATGCACCTTGTCATGGTTTGTACACTTGAATTCCTAATAAAAAAAGTCTATGACCTGTCATAAGCTATCACAAGACAAAACTGAATCACAAGATACCATTGATAAGAACAACAGCAAATCAAATGATAAATTCTAACTTAGTTCAAGATGAAGTGTACATTAGAGCTCTTATTTTCTGTTATTTGTTGTTATTACACTACACTAGAACGGGATACGCTTTATTGTATGTGTCGTAATATTTTGAAAATGCGGAGCCTATATCGGGTTTAGTATCATGCAATTTGATCTACAAGTGTCAACAAATCGATATCAAGACGTCTGTTATTATACTTATTTGAGGGGTATTACTTTTAAAACGGAGACACGACATGTTCACTCCGCTCTGGGTATTTTATTTCAACCTAAAGAAAGCACTGATCACGCATTAATTGTTTTCAGCTGTGATAATGCAGTTGTTCTTTTCCCCATCCAGATAAAGCCGCTTCTTCCGGCAACCTTAGGCTTGCTCTTGGCAGCTTCCTTTCTTTACGGATATGATTCATGCAGTGGTGGTAGTGTTTACCCCTCTCACTAATCACTAGTATGTCTTCATGTTTGTCCTTTCAGCTATGGTGCTATTTCTACTTCTTACCTTATTAGTCTATGAAGGAGCTGTTTGCCTGGCTCATGACGAGCTGAAAGATGGACCAGGAATTTAATTTCGAGTCTGCCTTGCCATGGAGGTGGTTTAGGGCGAGCAATGGGGCTGGCCACAATGCCGCAGATGCCGTAACTAATGTGAGGCTCTCGTAATCATTCGCGGCTTTGGGTCTCTGAACTGAAAGGCAGAAACTTGAATGGGAGGGCTACTCATAATGGAGCATGCATATGCATAGGTGCCTACATGCATACTCCACACCGACATTAGCCTGGCATGACTTCTATCGCTACACATCTTGATATCCAATCTCACACCCTTTGGGTGTATACTGTTTGTAAGCTATTGCAAGTCTGGAAAGTCATACCAGACAAAGCCTATACATTTGTTAGTCAAAGATTACATGGTGTTTCCAGATGAGAAGTGGCAACATCCTCACTGTTGAGCATGTCTATGTATGCGCTGCATAATTGAAGCAAGCATTACGACAGAAATTGAGAGGTTTGCTGTATTATAGGTCAAATAAAAGACGAAACAATTAATCAGCAAAATGCGATAAGATGGGCATCATATATGTATTGGCGCTGACCGTCTCGACGTTACATTTCAAAGAACAGAGTTGATCACCTTTCCTGCCACATAACTCTCAAGCGTCTCCTTGATACTTAGTTGTAGATTTTCCAAGCATGTGCCTCCATACCATGCAACATGTGGTGAGAGTGTCAAGTTGCTAGGACAATCTCGAATGAGCTGGCAGCCCTCCTTAGTCGCTGGCTCATTTACAAAGACATCTGTGGCAGCAGCGTATATCCATTTTTCTTTCAATGCCCTGAGGAGCGCTGCCTCGTTCATGACACCTCCGCGTGCCACGTTAACTACAATGCTATCTGGTCTCATAGCCCGAAGCTCGGGTTCTGAAATCATGTTACTCGATTCTTCGTCGAGCGGACACGCGAGTAACAGCACTGTACAAGTTTTCACTACCTCTTCGAACGGCACCCTTCCGGGCCTTACTTTACTAGCCGCTGTGGACTTTCTCTCAGCGATCAATACCAGCATCCCTAGTGCCTTTCCTATAGCCTCCGTATATTTTCCTAAGTCTCAATTAGTAAATGAATGTCGCTCACATTTGCAATCTTTTGCTCGTAGTACTTACCTATGGCCCCATAACCGACAATTCCCAATATCTCATGCCTCATAACTCGTGGTAGCTGCGGGTACAAGTGGAACACATTCTTTTCTCGAGGCCAGGCCTCAGCCTCGAGTGTAACGCGGTGCAAGTCAACAACCTGGCGCTTGGCAGCCATATATAAGGCAAAGGCATGCTCAGCAACAGACTCAGCGTTGGCACCGGGTGCATTGCATATCGTGATGCCGCGAGCCCGGCATGCTTTCTTATCAGCAATGTCGGTGCCAGTAGTCATGAAGGCGACCAGCTCCAGGCGGAAGCAAGCGGCAACAATGCAGGCCGAGATGGGCACACGCGATGTGATTATGATGGTGGCATCGCGAACGCGCTCGATAGTTTGATCTTCACCAATAGTATTATGATACTCGACGTACTCGTGCGTGAAGTCGAATTTAGGGACCGGGCACGTATAGGCGTCTAGACAAACGACTTTATGAAGCTCATCACTTCGACGAGGTGAGAGCGAGCCCATGGTTGCTGCCGCCCTCAAAAGTGTCAAATATTCTCAGAGAGAGAATGTTAGACACAGAGCCCGCCTGGTGGCAGTATAGAGTGGTAGGCTGGCTAGTGGTTTATACCCGTCAAATTGATAATCGCCCACTGCAAGTACCAATCTGAGTGAGAAGGGGATTCGCAAATCTTGATCAGAACAGATATAGTTCACACATCTACTCGCCAGAATTTACGTTAAGATGAGATGAAAACCCATTTGATATGTCGGTCGAAAGGGTTGTTAAGATATTCCTACACAGCTACATTATAACCACGCCCGGAGTGAAGTGGCATACGACAGGGCTTATAGCGTGGGGGTATGTAGTCGTGCCTACATGTACTTCGGGATATGATAAGTTAGATTTTCCGCCGTCGAATTCTTGGCGAAGGAATAAGCCACCATCCCGCGCGCCATCCTTGTTGTGCCGCTATATATTCAGCCAGCCACTTAGTAGCTGAATCAACGTTAAAGCAACCCTCAAAGAATTACTAGTAGCAAGCTGAGTAGGCGTTTTGACCCCGCTATCGCTGTCAGCCCTTCATTTGGGCTCTGATTCAACTGCCACTGTCAGCCAACGGCCCGTCCCCGTGTGGAGTTGGAGGTGTGGAGCGAGCCATTTATAAATCTTATTGTCTACATGTATGTTCACCTCCATGCCGATATAGGTAATATTAAGCTATATATGTGGATATTACTGTATGTAGATAATTCTCAATCTGTTGACGTTGGCATAATGCAACTAATTGGGAAAAAGAAATACTCAATTGCTTCGTGTTATACCATAATTTGACTTTTTTTACTTCTCCATTGTATATAGGCCCATTGACTGTGTAAATTACTCACAACTGGTGGTAATTATAGTCTAGAAAGAGAATCAGTTGCGTCAATAAACCAAAAATATTTGGTTAGCGTCAGCAGCTTCTTAGTACACCACCTCTTGTAGCAGCTTGTGATAATCAGCCTATGGCAGATACACCGAAGTCCTTCGACAATACAGATAAAGTTGACACTATATTAACTAGCAACATACAGCCTTCAAAAACTATTTGAAGAGTTACTATCTCAACAATACAATGCAACATTAAAACACGTAACAGTACTGCATAACGAAAATCTGAACTGGAGCAGAAATATCTGGAATCATCAAGCTAGACACAGCTTACTCACACCAAGTATCTATTTCAATTGATCCAACATTACATCCCGCGATAACATGGATGTCGAGCATCAAAACCAGACAGCTACACCACCCTTGATGTTTGGTGATGCTGATAATCACTGTGACGACCTTTACGAGCAGGTAATGGTTCGTTATGAGTTGACTCGAGATAAGATCGAGACTCTTCTGCCATGCACATCCTTCCAACTTGATGTTATGGATTGTGCTGCTACTAACGGGAAACGCGCCATTGGCCATGTCATTTACGAGATCCCAAGAAGCGTTGATACCCAGCGGCTGGCCGCAGCCTGGAAGGAGGTTGTTCGCCAGACGCCGGCCTTAAGGACATGCATATACACATCAAAAGCCGGAGATTCTTTCCAGGTTGTGCTAGCAGAGAGCTTCATTTCGTGGATGCATTCTACATACATGGATACGCAAGAGGCTATTATACAAGATGAAACAGCTATTGCTATGATGGGGCCGCGCTGCAATCGATACGTCGTTGTCGATGACCTTGAAAAAAGCCAAAGACTGCTCATCTGGACATTTAACTATGCTCTACTTGATAGTAGCTTACAACAACGAGTCCTTCAACGGGTTCTCACGGCCTACGAGGGCGGGAAAATCCAATACTCCAACTGGCTTGAAACGTCAGTGAGCCTTCAAGCTGGGAACTCGGAACGCGCGGCTCGGTTCTGGCAACAACATTTTGATAGCTTGGATGCCTCTGTATTTCCTCCTCTGCCTTCTCATCTGGCGATGCCAAATCCCAATTCATTTGCAGAGCACCGTATCTCATATTTGGGCCCAGCTCAACAAAAGTGGCCCGCCACTATCGTCTGCCGAGCCGCGCTTGCGGCTCTCCTATCTCGTTTCGCGCACTCTTCAGAGGCACTTTTTGGTGTTGTGATGAAGCGGTCTCACAAACCTGAAGAGCAAGTCGAGGGCCTGACACAAACAGTAGTACCCATACGCGTGCATTGCGCTCTTAACCAATCTGCACTGGAAGTCATAGAGGCAATCACTGCCCACGACCATGCAATGCACGAGTTTGGACAGGCTGGTCTCCGCAGCATCCGCTGCATTGGTGATAATGAGTCTGCCGCCTGTGACTTCCAGACGGTCCTTCTGGTCACTGATAGTGATGCTCCGCAACCACCTAGTTGCGAGATTCTTCAAATCATAGAAGAATCGAATAAGTTTGGGCCCTGCGCCAATCGTGCCCTTCTACTCAGCTGCCAGATGGCTAGTGACTCGGCGTTGCTGGTGGCACATTACGACCAGAGTGTGATTGATGCTCCTCAAATGAATCGTTTCTTGAGGCAGTTAGGATCCTTCATTCAGCAATTTCAACAGAGTGTGGAACATTATCCTCTAGTGAGACACCTGGATGCCGTAACGGAAGAGGACCAGGCAGAGATCGCGGCCTGGAACTCTGAACGCTTACAGACACAAGATGCCTTGATCCACGATGTGATATTCAAGAGGACTGCCAACGCCACAGATAGTACAGCAGTTTCTGCGTGGGATGGAGAGTGGACTTACTCTGAGCTCGACAGTGTATCATCGCGTCTCGCCGCATACATCCAATCTCTCGACCTAGGCCAAGCACAGGCAATCTTGCCACTCTGCTTTGAGAAGTCAAAATGGATCATAGCTAGCATACTTGCTGTACTTAAAGCTGGTCGGGCCTTTACACTCATCGACCCATGCGATCCGCCGGCAAGGATGGTCCAGGTCTGTCGACAAACTGGCGCAAAAGTCGCTCTCACCTCCGGACTTCACAGCAGAACTTTAAGCACTGCCATTGACCGCTGTATTGTGATCAACGAGGATCTTCTTCAATCACTGTCCCGCAATGAAGATCAGCTGAAACCAACGGTGAAGCCGCAAGACTTGGCCTATTGCATTTTTACGTCTGGAAGCACAGGGGAACCAAAAGGCATAATGATTGAACATTGTGGATTTGTGTCCTGCGCTATTAAATTTGGCCCCGCGTTGGGAATCAATCCCCATACCCGCGCTCTTCAATTCGCGTCGTACGCGTTTGGTGCGTGCCTAGTGGAAATCGTGACGGTTCTGATGCATGGCGGCTGCGTCTGTATTCCTTCCGATGACGATCGAATGAATAATGTCCCAGATTTCATCAGAAGAAGCAATATCAACTGGGTTATACTGACTCCTTCGTATATTGGCACGCTTCAACCTGAAAACGTCTCCGGGCTGCAAACACTGGTGTTGGTTGGGGAACCGATATCCGCATCTATCAGAGATATCTGGGCCCCTCGAGTTCAGCTCTTGCACGCTTACGGCCAGAGTGAGAGCTCAACTATATGCAGCGTTACAAGAGTCACTCCATTCACCCTTGAGCCGAACAATATTGGTCGCGCCGTGGGCGCTCGATCTTGGATCGTTGATCCAAATGATACCACTAAGCTTGCTCCAATTGGTTGCGTTGGCGAGCTGGTAATTGAAAGTCCAGGAATAGCGCGCGAGTATATCCTTGCTCTACCGCCGGATGAGTCGCCTTTCTTCGTGACGACTCCAGCCTGGTATCCTTCTGGGCAACTCTCTGGTGCCTTCAAATTCTACAGAACCGGAGATCTCGTCCGCTATAGATCTGACGGCACTGTTGTCTGTCTTGGACGCAAAGATTCGCAGGTTAAAATTCGAGGGCAACGTGTGGAAATCAGCGAAGTGGAAGCCCGCCTGCGACAACAGCTACCCAGTCACATCATGCCCGTGGCTGAAGCTGTCAGAACGTCGGAGCTTTCCAGTGGCAAAACTTTGATTGCATTTTTGATAGGATCGTCGTGCGACGAAGAGAACAGCGTCTTTGTTGCGCCTCTAGCAGATACTCACATCCTCGATCACAGTGCTACGAAAAAGATAAACGTGACGTTGCGGCAGGTTCTTCCCCAGTATTCAGTTCCATCTTACTATATTGGCATGAGAACTTTGCCTCGTACAGCCACTGGGAAGGCAGATAGAAAAAAACTTCGGTCTATTGCTGGCAAACAATTGAGCCAGCTGGCTCAAAATATCATCTCTCAGCCCAGAGAACAGTCTGGGCCACCGGCAACTATGACGGAGGTAAAACTCAGAGAGCTTTGGTACCGAGGCTTAAACGTCGACTTCAATCCCAAAAACGACGGAGCAAGCTTCTTTGAGCTGGGCGGAGATTCTATTGCTGCGATCAGGATGGTGAATATGGCTAGGCTCGCCGGCATATCCCTAAAAGTCTCCGACATATTCCAAAACCCTACGTTTGCCGATCTCCTAGATGTAATCGGACAAGATTCGACGCCGTATGTTTCTATTCCACGTACCACCTATGCCAAACCTGTGGAACAGTCATTTGCTCAAGGCCGCCTATGGTTCTTGGACCAGCTAGAACTCGGCGCTTCGTGGTATTTATTACCATACGCCGTTCGCATGCGTGGGCCGCTGCAAATCGACGCGCTCAGAGTTGCTCTGCTAGCCCTAGAACAGCGGCACGAAACTCTACGGACAACGTTTGAGGAACAGGACGGTGTTGGGTTTCAAGTCGTCCATGCAAGCATCTTTCAGGAGCTGAAGATGGTGGACTTGTCAGCCGGCGATCAAAACGAAAGCTATCTGCAGCTGCTACAACAAGAGCAGACGACTCCATTTGATCTCACATCCGAAGCGGGATGGAGGGTATCACTCATACAGCTTGGGGAAAACGACCATGTGCTTTCCATTGTCATGCATCATATAATCTCCGACGGCTGGTCTACTGACATTTTACGTCGCGAACTGGCCCAGTTTTATGCCGCCGCTCTCCTGGATCATGACCCTCTGTCGATGGTGAAACCCCTCCCAATCAATTATCGCGATTTTTCAGCGTGGCAAAAGCAGCAAGAGCAAGTGGCCCAACACCAAAAACAGTTGGAATACTGGACCGACCAGCTCGAGAACAGCTCTCCAGCAGAATTCCCAACTGATTTCCCCCGGCCAGCTATACTGTCCGGCAAGGCAGGCTACGTGCCTGTTACCATCGAGGGCGATCTGTATATGAATCTTCGAGAATTCTGTCGGGTGAAGCAAATGACTCCCTTTACCGTGCTACTGGCGGCATTTCGAGCCGCCCATTATCGACTTACTGGGACTGAAGACGCTGTCATTGGCACACCCATCGCTAACCGCAACCGGCGGGAGATTGAGAATATCATCGGCTTCTTCGTCAATACTCAGTGTATGCGAATTACTGTTGACGACAACGAGACATTTGAAAGCCTAGTACGACAGGTCCGGCTGACGACGACAGCAGCGTTTGAGCACCAGGATGTCCCCTTTGACCGCGTCGTTTCGGGACTACTACCTGGTTCGAGGGACTTGTCTCGGAACCCGCTGGCACAGCTTATGTTTGCAGTCCATTCTCAACAAGACTTTGGCAATTTCGAATTAGAGGGCCTCGAAGCAGAACCCCTGTTGAACCAGGTCTATACTAGATTCGATATAGAGTTTCATCTATTTCAAGAGACAAACAAATTAAAAGGCAATTTAGTTTTCGCGGCAGATCTATTCAAACTTGAGAATATCCGCAATGTAGCCAGCGTATTCTTCGAGATACTACGTCAAGGTCTCGCTAAGCCTCATACCCCAATTGCAGTTATCCCGTTTACCGATGGTATCATGCAACTACGCAGTATGGGTCTACTTGATATCGAGAAGACCGGATATCCACGCGATGCAAGCATAATTGACGTCTTCCGCACTCAAGTGAATGCTTGCCCACACTCTTTTGCCATTGTCGACTCGACATCTCGACTCACCTACGCTGAGTTAGACCATCAATCCGACCAGATCGCGATTTGGCTTCACCAGCGTCGCATGACACCTGAAACCTTGATCGGGGTGCTAGCACCGCGCTCATGCGAGACAGTTGTTGCTTTTTTCGGCATTCTGAAAGCGAATCTCGCATATCTACCACTAGACGTTAATTCTCCTGCCGCTCGCCTAAAAGCGATTCTATCTACCTTGTCCCAGCACAAGCTAGTCCTACTCGGCTCTGATGAGACTGCTCCGGAGAGTCAGCTACCTGGTCTGGAGTTTACAAGAATCAGCGACATATTGATGGAACGTCGTGATGTGAATGACATGATTCGCCATGCAGATCAAAACTCGCCGGGCCCATCAGCGACAAGCCTTGCATATGTGATCTTCACATCCGGGTCAAGTGGCGAGCCTAAAGGCGTTATGATTGAGCATCGAAGCGTTGTAAGACTTGTCAGGGATACTGTGGTAACATCCAGATTCCCGGTCACGGTAAAAGTGGCACATCTATCCAACATCGCTTTTGACGCCGCTACTTGGGAGATTTTTGCGGCGCTCCTGAATGGTGGAACACTGGTCTGTATTGATTATATGACCATTCTAGACAGAAAGGAACTCGAGGCTGTGTTCGTTCGAGAACAAGTCAGCGCGGCCCTGTTTTCACCGGCATTGCTTAAACAGTGTCTGGCCAGCATTCCTTCGACATTAACTGGGCTTAAGGTCCTTGTTATAGGTGGTGATAGGCTCGATGGCCAGGATGCAATCGCCGCACAAGCACTTGTCCGGGCTGGCATCTATAACGCGTATGGCCCGACGGAAAACGGAGTGATCAGCACTGTTTATACCATCGACAAGAGCGACTCGTTCATTAATGGGGTCCCAATTGGCAGGCCCATAAGCAACTCTGGGGCCTATATCATGGATAGTTGTCGGCAGATCGTCCCTATCGGTGTCGTGGGAGAGCTTGTTGTCACCGGGGATGGACTCGCTCGAGGATACACCGATCCAAGTCTAGATACAGGCCGTTTTGTCCAAGTCGAAATCGATGGCCGCGTCGTGAGAGCATATCGAACTGGTGATCGAGGGCGATACCGCGCAGGAGATGGCCAAATTGAATTCCTCGGGCGTATGGACCGGCAAGTCAAGATTCGAGGCCATCGCATTGAGCCAGCCGAAATAGAACGTGCCATCCTCAGTCAACACTCAGTCCGAGATGCCGTCGTAGTCATTCGGGATCATGAGAGCCAAGAGCAAGACATGGTGGGTTTTGCTGTTGTGACCCAGGAAATCGACCACACGGCCGAAAAAGAGGAAGCTGGCAGCCAAGTCGACGGATGGAAGGACTTTTTCGAAAGCAACACCTATGCCGATATTGATACCATCGGTCAATCTGCTATTGGCAATGATTTCAAGGGCTGGACGTCTATGTACGACGGAAATGAGATTGACAAGACTGAGATGCACGCGTGGCTTGACGACACCATGCACACGCTTCTTGATGGCCAGGCACCAGGCCACGTACTCGAGATTGGCACTGGTAGCGGCATGATCTTGTTCAATCTTGGCGCTGGGCTGCAAAGCTACGTAGGGCTTGAACCATCAAAGTCAGCGGCCACGTTTGTTACCAAGGTGATCAAGTCCATACCAGCTCTCGATGGAAGAGCCAAAGTACACGTCGGTTCAGCGACAGACGTAGGTCAACTGGGTGAAATCCATCCAGAATTGGTCGTACTCAACTCGGTAGTTCAGTATTTTCCCTCGTCTGAATACTTAGAACAGCTTGTGGACACTCTAGTTAGAATGCCGGGCGTCAAACGAATCTTCTTTGGTGACATACGATCGCTCGCAACAAACAAACATTTTCTCGCCGCTCGAGCGTTGCATGCATTGGGCGACAAGTCGACTAAAGTCGCTGTACGGCAAAAGATGACGGAAATGGAAGAACGTGAAGAAGAGCTGCTTGTTGACCCGGCCTTCTTTACGATGCTTGGAAAGCGACATCCCAATCACATCAGGCACGTTGAGATCCTTCCGAAGAAGATGCAGGCCTCAAACGAGCTCAGTGCATACCGGTATGCGGCAATAATACACATGCATGGCTCAGAGGAGCACTACCTGTCTATGTATCAGATCAACCTGAATGAATGGATCGACTTTCAAGAATCACGCATGAACCAACATACTCTTCTCAGCCTCTTGAAGGACTCGACAGATGCTCTGACCGTTGCTGTTGGCAATATCCCGTATAGCAAAACGATTTTAGAGCGACATCTAGTTGACTCTCTCGACGCAGAATTTGGAGAGAGTGAGGCTCAAAATCTGCGGGATGGCGCCGCCTGGATCTCAGCCGTCCGTGCTGACGCCGAAAGCTGCTCATCCCTCTCTGCGACAGATCTTGTGCGTCTTGGCCAAGAGGCCGGCTTTCGTGTTGAGGTCAGTGCAGCACGGCAATGGTCTCAAAGTGGCGCACTGGATGCTGTCTTCCACCGCTATGAGTTACGTGCCCAAAAGGGGGGGCGTGCTCTGATCCGCTTCCCGACTGATAACCAAGTTCAAAGATTGGCCAGTCTTACGAACCGGCCGCTACGGAGGCTGCAGAGTCGTCGAGTTGCATCACAGATTCGCGAGCAGCTGCAGTCACTGCTACCATCGTACATGGTCCCGTCTCACATTGTGGTGATAGACCAGATGCCTCTCAATGCCAATGGCAAGGTTGACAGAAAAGATCTTGCGCGAAGAGCTCAAGGAGTAGTTCAGAAACCACGGGAAAAGGTTCAACAGGTGCTTCCACTCAACGAAATAGAGGTCGTACTGTGTGAAGAATTTGCAGAGATATTCGGTATTCAAGTCGGCATCACAGATCACTTCTTCAAACTTGGCGGCCACTCTCTCTTGGCAACAAAACTCACTGCGCGTATCGGCCGTCGGCTGGATACCCGCGTATCTGTGAAGGACATATTTGATCAGCCTGTCATTGCTGATCTCGCAGCTACCATACGCCGGGAATTAGCGTTACACAGCTCTACAACTATATCGTCGTACAGTGGACATGGGAGGCAGATGGTATCTGCACGGATAGCCCCCCGAAATGAGATGGAAACTGTCCTATGCGAGGAATTTTCTCATGTGCTCGGCATCGACGTTGGCATTACCGATCACTTCTTTGACCTTGGCGGACATTCTCTGATGGCCACAAAGCTCGCTTCCCGTATCAGCCGCCGACTAAACACACCTGTATCTGTCAAAGATATCTTTGACCAGCCAGTCCCCGTCCATCTCGCGGCAAAGATTGAGCTTGCTCAGTCAGCGGCCTACGAAGTGGCCAACGGTGTACAGACCGCTAGCAGCACTTCATTCCAGCTACTTGCTCTGGAACATCCGCTAACATTCATCGAAAATGAAATTTTACCTCAGCTTGGGTATTCTCACTGTACAATCCAAGACATCTATCCTGCTACGCAGATGCAGCGACTCTTCCTCTTTAATCCCACAACGGGCCATCCACGAACGCCCACACCGTTTTACATAGATTTCCCGTCAGATTCTGATTGTCTACGTCTAGAGACGGCTTGTAAATCTCTTGTCGAGCATATCGATATTTTCAGGACGATATTCTTGGAAGTGGCAGATGAGCTCTATCAAATAGTCTTGAAGCATCTTGATCTGGCCATTGAGATGATTGAAACAGAAGAAAATATCAACAGCGCAACCCGTGCATTCCTGGATATGGATCTAAAACAGCCTATTCGCCTAGGACAACCGCTAATACGTGTTACCATTCTGAAGGCGCAAGCATCGCCACTAAGAGTGATACTCCGAATGTCCCATGCCTTGTATGACGGTTTGAGTTTGGAGCACATTGTACGCTCTCTTCATGTTCTATACAGCAGCGAAAATCTTCCAACCTTGCCCCAGTTTTCTCAGTATATGCAGCATATAGCCGACAGCCGCAAAGATGGTTATGATTTCTGGCGTTCTGTTCTGCATAGTTCGACGATGACTGTCATTAAAGATGTCAGCAGCATTACTCACCAACAAGTCGTATCCACTGGGACTTATCACGCATCAAAGGTCATTAGCGTCCCTCTCCAGGCTAACGCAGACAACAGTATCACACCCGCAACAGTTTTTACCACTGCCTGTGCTTTAATGCTATCAAAAGAAGCCAAGTCGAACGATGTGGTCTTTGGTCGAATTGTGTCCGGACGACAAAGCTTGCCTATAACCTGCCAAAATATTATTGGTCCTTGCACTAATGAAATACCAGTGCGCGCCTACATACAACAGGATACAGACCGGAAAATACTGCTTCGCAAGATGCAAGATCAATATCTCAGTAGCTTGCCTTTCGAGACTCTAGGGTTCGACAACATCAAGAAAAATTGCACAGACTGGCCAAAAGCAATCACAAACTATAGTTGTTGCATCGCATACCAGAATTTTGACTACCACCCTGATAGTCAAATAGATGAACAGCGAGTTCAGATAGGAGTTTTATCGCAAGAGATAGATGTCACAAAAGAAGTGCCTTTGCACGATCTAGTCATATCAGGAGAGGCTGAGCTCGACAGCCCTTACCTACATATTACTGTGGCTGCTAGCAGGCAAGTTTGTGAAGAGGGAAGGGTTACGCATATGCTCGGAGAGCTTTGCAAAGAGATCAATGCCCTATATCTGGCTTTGTGAGATCTTTAGATCACAATTACCAAGCAAGTCAAGAAAAAGCCTTACTAGCCTCATTACGAAGTGTTATTTAGACCAATAGATCAATTGAGCACACCTATATCAGCTAGAAGAGATAATGAACTCATTAGATTTGAGCCCCAAAAACCCAAACAGCCTAATCGAAGCAGGTCGGAAATGGGAGATTAAGAAAATGCAACGCTCCCGAAAAATGTGTAGAGCCTCTGTCAGAATAGAGCTATTTTCACCCGATATAATATACGGGAATTATTCATCTCCTTTTTTCTATTCTAAATGCAAGTGTGTATACCACGAGTCTAACACAATATGCTAATGAGTGCAGAGCTTCGGAGTAGATCCAAATCTAGAAGCAAAAGCAGTGGGGCATCGCGCCTTTGATCATCAGATAAGATATGCCAATGATCAAAAGTGGCTCTTAGCACGCCGAGAGCTGAAGAATGTTGCTTAATTATCTCCGAATCTAGCATTAGCACCGGATATACTTTGAGCTTATCAGATCGTATCAGGTGAGTGCCAAACTTTTCTTGATATGACGCATTACGAAGCGCCTTTTCTTCTTTATGATCGCCTTCATTTGCGAAATTATTGCTAAGAAGATATTTTTGTTTCTAGTAAATACAAACACTGTACTTCTTCGTTTATGTAGAGAGCGAGAAGACTTTTAAACGTTAAAAGTGTTGTTGAAAGTTACTGGTGAGGATAAGAAGCTTCTGTACAAAAGGCGCGCATACATCAGTACAAGTCTGTCTTCAATTACTTCCTAGGTTGTTTCAATTACCCACTGCGGATAAAAATCTCAGAGTTCCTTTTTGTTGCTATTAATTTAGATCCTGGCTTTTCTCCGAAGCCCGACACGTTGTAGACTATAAAGCCGTCCCTTGACGCTCCATGGGAACGAAACTCAGCATCCATGATACAATAGAGTGTGGGTATACCTTCCACCCAAGACCATATCGACAGTTTATAGAATATCGAGAGACAGTCGCGAATTCATTCTAATTGGTATCTGATATTTACGGACAAGCGATGGAGAAGAGCGAAATTTCTCAAAGTTCAACATCACACCAAAATGCGGCCAAAATGCCACAAAAAGACTATCCCATTATCGAGAACTTCATTGATGAGGAGAATTCGACTTCCAATACTCAAGAAAAGTCCTTCTCGGTTCTATTTTTATTCATTTGGGCCGGTCTGTTCCTTTTAGCAATCGCCGTGAGCCTAGCAGGGCAAACCATTATTTCTTACCAGCCATATGCCCTTTCCGAGTTTAATGCTCATTCTATGTTATCCGTAATTGGTACCGTCCAATATATATTGTAAGTACAAATATTGTGATTATCCTTCATCCAAAAGCTTATAGATTAGATACGCAATTGTGAAGCCGGCCTTGGCAAGAACAGCGAATATATGGGGGCTCCTTGAAGCATTCAGCATATCGATAGTAGCCATTTTGATTGGCTTTGCCATTAATGCAGCTTCGCAGAACTTGGGAAGCTTGACGGCAGGGCAAATATTCTATACAATTGGCCAGGTTGGCATACAATTCTTGCAACAATTATTGATCGCCGATATTACTACGTTGGAAAACCGTTCTATACTCGGAAGTCTAGTTTTATGCCCGACTATCTTTACCTCCTGGATTGGAGCTCCAATTGTTAGCGCAATGGTTCCTGAAAAATGGAGATGGTAAGAACTCTTCATAAATCACGTCAAACAAAGAGCGTACTGACATATGAAAGGGGATACGGCATGTGGTCCGACTCAACAACTCAATTGCTTGGTGACAAATAGAGTGGCTAATACATAGAACAGGGCAATCATATTTCCGGCTGTATCAATGCCACTATTAATTTCACTTTGGCTACACTCACAACGGAGTAAGAAAACCGAGAAAAACGTTGTGAGCAGCGAAATAAAAAGTGTTTCTGCGTTATGGTCACGCCTCGATGTCATTGGACATATACTCCTTACAGCCAGCTTAACACTTGTTCTGCTACCAATGACACTCTCTACATACCCTTTCCAGTCATGGACTTCGCCCGCCAAGCTATCAATGATTATCATCGGAGGATGTTGCTTTGTCGCTTTCACGGTTTATGAGATTTACGTCTCATCTCATCCAATCGTTTCATTCAAATTGGCAAAGGATCGGACTGTTGCAGCTGGTTGCATCATACAATTCGTACTCTACTTGAGTTACTATATCTGGGCGCCCTATTTCTTCTCATTTATAGTCATTGTTAACAATCAGTCAGCGAAAGCGGCAACAAATATCACTGCCTCTCAAGCAGTCGCGACAGCTGTCATCGGATTGCTTGCGGCTTTCATCATCAAGGTAACAGGCGTTTACAGATGGGCTATTCTGCTGGGAATGATATTGAAGTTGATTGGCGCGGGGCTGATGCTCAGATACTCTAATATGAGTGCAAGCATCGTTCAGATAATATTTGGGCAGTTGATATCGGGGGCCGGGACAGGGATGATCTCCATTATTGCACAAACGGCTGTTCAAGCGGTAACACAGCCTGAAGGTATGAAGCCCCTCTTAAGTTCATGCTCAGAACACATTAATAACTAATTGGCAAACCTTTTGATGCAGATGTGGCTTCAGTAACAACCTTGTACGAAGTTTTCGGGGCTATTGGAGGAGCTATTGGCAACGCTTTATCCGGTATCATCTGGACCGCTCTCCTCCTCCCACGACTACGCATTAACCTTCCGGCTGCAGCGCAGTCGGCGGCTACTGAGATAAAGAATTCCTTCGTAGTGGCCTCATCATATTCTCCCGGAAGTCCGGAAAGGATCGCTATTGATAAGAGTTACACTGAAGTTATGCACGTCCTTCTCATTCTAGCGTTGGCAGTATTGTCGGTGCCGTTCTTCGCAATGTTTGCGATGAAGGATGTGAATCTAAAGAAGAACGGATAAATCTGATAGCATATTGAGTGATGCCATGGGCTTTCAATGATAATTTGCTGATAAAGACTTAGAATTAGCCTGCAATCTACTGTTCTAATATTTAGCTACCTGAACATTGTTCTTAAGTCCTTTTTTTGACAGTGAAATCTTAAATTCCCGGCATATGTATTGCAGTCATTCTAATGACCTTGAATCCTTAATATCTGATTCTTATACTTCTTTAAGTAAAGTCCCATCTGGAGATTAAAAGCGTAGCTCTCATATGTCACATATTGCTATCTGAGGGGTTTGTTTTACGATAAATCTTCGTAAGCAGCTTTATAAGCATTCGTATGGGACATTAGTTCGCTGTTTAACCCGTTTCTCGTTGTCGAACAGAGGCAAGATATTGATGTAGACAATCGAACAACTGGAATCGACCTATTGAGAAATTTTGATGTTCCCATACCGGCTCTCTGCCATATTGTTCCTTATTAGCTAGCTCAATGTTTATGATACACACGAAACTTATCTTGCATGAAGTCTTCGGACATTTCAAAATCAGGTCAAAATAATAAACCGATCTATATACCCGAGGAGAATTCCGTTCGGCAAATTGGGCGGCAAATGATTGAGTATAGGAATCACAGACAAACAGATACCATGCAGTGGAATATACCTGTCCTATTCGGTTTGTGAGATACAGATATTGAATTACAAAGTGCTTATTTTACCAGATTACCATCTTATAAGTCGTTGCATTGACTCTCAAACTCTTTTTGTCGTTCCACTAGGGTTCCAAGGACATGTTGTTAAAATCTTACCATGGCTAAACTTATTCATGACATGTTGAGTATAATTACCGACCCCCCGCATCGTTGATCACGGCCAGCGAGACTCGCATTCGCCCCATACGAGAAAAAGTCAATATTCCACCAATAGAGTTACTGGAACATGCAGACATCTTGCTTTGTTCTAACTCATAGTATGATAGATGCTCAGCCACCTTCCTCAATAAGACTATGGCGATGTAGCATACACAGGCAAGCTACTTATACGAACTCTTCTGCATACTAGGTCGGATGTGATATGGCAAATAGTCCGTTTACGCCCAGATGCAGAAGCAAATCAGAGTGGACTTGAGTAATTGATAAGTTCTTCGGAAAGCGACATTGTGATTGACTACAAGAAGACTTTTAAAGATTGGCACTTGGCTGAATGCCTTCGTCCACGAGGTGACTGTTGTATAAAATCTCTTGTATTCTCCTCATTCAGAAATCACATCAGCCGCGTATTATCGTATCTTCTTACTTGTTCTTGAATATACTCTTAGGATGGGTAATATCAGAGCCTTGTTGGCCACGGCTGCCTTGGTTCTACTAGTCTCGGGAGATTCTACAACGATCCGGGATGGCAGATATCGAGCCAATGTGGGCAAACCAGGGACTAAAGCGATTGTTCCAAGATCCTTCATTGTTGAGTTGGACCCAAACACAGTTTCGAGCAGCCCAGCAGCACACCTTTCCAAGTATAGTAGTGTCTCATATACACTACGCCATGAGTTCAACAGCTCCGAGATATTTTATGGCTTGTCCATCACACTGCCGGATGGGACGAGTCCCAATGATTTGAAGAGTGTACCAGGTGTTTCCAGCATTTCGCCCGTACATATTGTGCCCCGTCCTGCGCCCGCTAATGGTACTTACTCGGGGCCTTTGTCAACTCCCAAGTCCAACACCAGTATTCCGCATGTAACAGGCACCTCTGATATCACCCACACACTGAAGATGGGCAACGTCGACAAGCTACATTCTCAAGGTATTAAGGGCCAAGGAATCAAGATTGCCGTGATTGATACGGGCGTTGACTACACGCACCCCTCCTTGGGAGGTGGGTTTGGCCCAGGCAATAAAATAGCCTTCGGGACGGATCTTGTGGGCGACGCCTACACTGGCGCAAACACCCCAGTGCCTGATGACGACCCTCTGGCTACTTGCACCACGGGTTTCCACGGCACTCACGTTTCAGGAATAATCGGCGCTGTCGATGCTCCTGGGACCGGGTTTGGTCTGGTGGGCGTTGCACCGGAGGCCACACTGGGAATGTACCGTGTCTTTGGTTGCGAAGGAAATGCTGGCACGGATGTTATTATCGATGCGATTCAGAAGGCATCTGGAGAGGGCGTCGACATCATTACTATGTCCATTGGCTCCCTAGTGTACTACGAAGCCAACAGCCCCTACACAACCGCGGTCCAAAATGCCATCGCCAAAGGTATCGTTGTCATCGCTTCGGCAGGTAACGATGGCCAGTATGGCCCCTTCGCCGTATCTGCACCCGCCGTGGACCCAGGAGTGGTGTCTGTAGGAAGTATTGAGAATGACATATATCCAGCTGTGTATCATGCAGAAGATAGCAGCGGGCACACTATCAACTACTTGTCTACCATATCTTTTACCGCAACCGATGCCTTCACCATCTACCCCTTAGGTCTTGGCCTTACAGTGCCTCCGGACACACCACTTGGATGTTTCTTTGATGCTTGGACTGCTGCCACAGCACCCGGTGCTATACAAGACCCAGAGCATACCGCTATATTTCTTCCAGGAAGCGACCTCTGCCCGCTCGGTGACTTTATAGATCAGATTCCGCAGACCAATGTGACTCGAATTATCATCTCTGCATCTGATGCTGATCAGCCTGTCATTTACAATCCCCCAGGGCTTGCTAACAACATCACAATTATACTGCTTGATGTCCCATCATCGCAACTCGTTGGCAAAGGAGTCTCTGATGCGCAGGCTGCTGGCAAAAATTATACTCTGTTATTTAAAGACAAGAATGTCTATGATGCCTCCAGCCCTGAGGGCGGCTCAGTTGACTTCTTTTCCACTATTGGTCCTTCCATTGAAGGAAGTCTTCAACCGTCACTCTCAGCCCCTGGCGGTAGTATTTTGTCCACTTATCCAGTCAGTGGTGGCGGATACGGCGTATTCTCTGGTACTTCTCAAGCGGCGCCATTTGCAGCCGGCTGCTTCGCATTGCTCAAGTCTGCCCGCCCCGAACTCTCATCCACTGAAATGGTCTCAATAATGCAGTCGACATCAAGGCCATTGGCCAGTCAGAGTGATGTCCAAGTGCTTTCATCAACTGGACAACAGGGTGGTGGACTCATTGACTGCTTCTCTGCTGTCCAGGCTGAATCGATTGTGACGCCCTCTCAACTTAGCTTGGGGGATACTCCCTCTCCCAAGTCGCAAACCTTGAGCGTCAGGAATCTTTCAAAAAAATCCAGCAAGTCGTTCACTGTCTCACATGACCCAGCGGCTTACATACGCCTGGTTACGAACCTAACTGGGGGAGACTTTTATTGGTACGAACAGTTTGCGCTCCATAATGAGAAGAAATACGCTGGGGCATCTTTCTCGTACACACAGTTTGTTCTAGCTCCAGGCCAGTCTATCGACTTGGAAGTCAAGCTATCGCCACCAAAAGAAAACGCAGACTTGGAGATCACACTGCCGACTTACTCAGGCTTCGTGCGAATTGAAGAATCTAGCGTCAAACACACAGTCCCTTACATCGGATTACCGTATTCGCGTTACAGCGCCAAAGATATTCTCCCAGCCAACCTTACCGCCGCATTTGGGGAAGATTTACCTGCAGCTTTTGACAACAATCTCCACGAGCCCGACGTGGACTTTAGGGTATTTCAGCTACAGGATCCAACCGGTACTTCCCCAATATCCGACATTGGGTTTCCCTATATATCTTTTTTCATCTCGCAGCCATCAATTTACACTCGTGCTGACTTGGTGCCCATCAACACTACCTTTGTGCCGACCCGTTATGGTTTCAATACGTCCATAATCTTCGATCCAAACGAAAACCCGCCAAAGCTACCTCTTGGCAAGGGATTCTTCGGTGTGCCATCCTATATCAACTTGGGAGAATGGGCTAGCACAAGTACAGTACCTGACGGCCCTAGTGCTGATGAAGATGTGACTTTTGCTCCTGGGCCGTATCTTTTTGCAAGCTACGCAGTTGTCACCGGTATAGGTTACACAGGACCTGGGGGCACACGCGGGTTGAACATCACAGGAGGAGATTATCGCGTGCTGCTTCGAAGCCTGAGATATGGTGGCGACATTAATAACCCTAAAGACTATATCTCGTGGCTAGGGCCCGTGATGAGGATTCTTCCATTCGTGCCCTCTAACTAAAGAAAGAAGTGCTTACAAAATACCGTGTATCAGCTGGATAGCGTATAGGTTGCTTCCCCGGTTCAATTACTGATATATACAATGAACTTGCTTTTGAAGCCCTTTTTTTTTAGTTAAATAGTTATGCAAACTAGATTGCAATGCCAAGCTACCAGCTGTTAAAAGCCACGCAGTCTTCAACCTCTTATTCATTTTGTCAAAAATAGCCATTTGAGAAAATAGATAAAAAAAACGAGTTTACAAATAGTCCCAGCTTTCTTCCCCGTTGTTCCATACAACGAAGTAATTCTCTAGCTCGAGTTTCTGAATGACAAAAGCACGAAATCGGCTATGAATCCTGCCAGCAGTCGAAGAGTCTTCAAATCCTGCAAGTGTAAATGCACTCCCTTAACTCATCACGGCTACTTAGACTACTTAGACTGCGTCATGTTATTTCAAAACTCACTGTCACCAGTAAAATTGACTTGCCCACTTTTCCTTTGGCAATAACAAACTAATATCGCGAGACAAAAATTCGCAGTACTGCTGACATAATATAGGCCAAAGGTCACATATTGGCGCTTTTCCGAGTAGTGGATTTGGCGCGCTATCCGAGTTGCGGAGGCCTTATGGAGGTGTCTAATGTTCTGAGTCCCTCTTGTATGAACTTGGCCTTGAAACGACAGTTCGGCCATCGAGTAACCTAATTCTTGATACTGTGTTGCCACAGTAAGGTTTAATTACGGCAAGTACATCCTAATTCAAGACAAAGAAGCCAATTATGGCCCCTACAGCCAATAAAGCCCTCAATGGCCACAAATTGCTTGTGCTCCTTGGAGTGACTGGGCCACCAAAGATACTCCTCGGAACCACATTCCAGCCCGAATGGATCGCAGAACTCAAAGAACTATTCTCAGGTCTGGAAATAATTACTGTTGAGGGATGTATATGGAATACGCCAGCATTCGAAGAGAAGTTTCCAGAGAAAGAATGGAAGGACGTTACTATCCTCGTTACTGGAAATGCTTTACCTGCAGCACATATTGCTCCGAAGTTGGAGTATGTACAGATCCAGAGCGCCGGAGCAAATCATATCCTCCAAAATCCTCTGTTTAGCGATACAGATGTTGCTCTTTGTACGGCTAGCGGTGTGCACGGGTACGTTTTCTCACGGATTGACTGGAGTATTGAGTGCTAACACACCGTCAAGACCGCAGATAGCTGAATGGGTAGTAACCACATTTCTAGCTTTCCAACATCAAAGTCAAACATGTCTCAAAAGATACGTAACTTGATAACAACTAACAAGTTATATAGTTCCCCAATACATCGACTTTCAGCGCCAAAAAACGTGGCACAAGTTGGACGATCCGGTCCATGATGCAGTTGGACAGCGAGTGTGAGTTAAGGTCTGCTATTACCATGACATAATGAGTCTAACTTAGTCTACAGTGGTATTCTTGGCTACGGCGCCGTCGGTCGTCAGATTGCTCGTGTCGTGAAAGCACTGGGTATGGACATTCACGCCTGTAATTTACATCCACGTCTTACGCCCGAGTCGCGTAAAGATGAAACATATACGCCAGCAGGCCTTGGTGATCCAGAAGGCGCCTTCCCCAGCAAATGGTTCTCCGCTGAAAATACAGAAGGGTTACATGAGTTCCTTGGCTCTGGTCTTGATCTGCTCGTCATCACCATCCCACTTACAGAAAAGTCCCGTGGTATCATCTCAATGAGAGAGCTAGCTTTGCTTGCTAAAAAGAAGGCCTTCGTTTCAAACATCGGAAGAGGAGAAGTCGTCGTTACGGATGATCTAATCGATGCACTTGAGGAGGGAACAATCCGCGGGGCCGCACTCGATGTGACGGATCCTGAGCCTTTGCCAGATGGCCACCGACTATGGGGTACAAAAAATCTCTTTATCTCACCGCACGTCAGTGGAAACTCTAGTAGTTATGCCCGAAGAGTTTTTGAGGTCCTCAAATACAACCTCATCCGGATGAGTGAAGGGAAGGAGCTCACAAACAAAGTAGATAAAAGCAAAGGATATTAGGATAGCTGATTCATCCAATCATGTACTGATATACATTTATATAATTGAACAAATCCTTAGCGGCTACAGCTTTTGCCTGAACGCCTTGACTGTGCTCTACCATTGCAGCTAAAATCTGACCAAGCTAGTCTACTCTACATTTGAATTGAATAGTGTCTACAGATAGCTTACGAGACAGAAGCACTACTATACAGATATCTCATGGATATAGGTATACAGAATAAAACTATGAAAAAGCTATTGAAAGTTTTAGACCGATCGCCACGGAATAGAATGACAGTTCATGCATTATATCGGCAAATTAAATAAGATACGTTGGTTGGTCGTCGCTTTTGTTTTGTATCGTCACGGCTTCGCTTTCTCCTCCAGTTGTTTGCTGAACTGTATCCACTGTACTTCTTAGAGATGCCATTGTGCCAAACTTACAAAACCATCTATCCATCAAGATAATAAGGATTGAATGACTAGTTTTGACACAATCGCACACAACACCTGAGGTGTCATTGACTTTTCACATATAGCCAGGGCGCAAGCTGCCTGTTTTGAACTGGCTTCAATGTTTAGTCATGGCTGTTAATATTCCAAAGCGCTAATGTGAGATTGTATAAGCGTTAATCGTGTGCTTGCAGCATTCGGTGGCGTGATTGCTCTGTGATCTGCAGTTGAAGATTGAAGCCAACTTGTTGACCGTTATCGGTGGTAGCAAGTGGGTATGCAGTGTTTAGTGCAAATACCGATATCCAAAATATGGCAAAGTGAGGCTATCACCTTGTTGGCATCACAAGCCTTTGTAGCTGAATCTCAAGCGAAAAACAGCCATACAACTCTGAATTATGGCTGCAGCTGGTGTTGCAAGACCTCTTCAACCCGCATCTAGCGAGGTAATGGGTGAGCCGATAGGAGTGGCATCGCAAAAAAAGGCAACCCTTTTCGATCCACTCCAGCATCTGTGCTACAACCATCCCACATCAACAATCAGTCTTGACGACTTGGGCCTCGACTTCCCGCAAGCCAGTTCACGAACAGCCATCACTGCACCGTTTCCACTCCTGACTTCCGCCGGAGTTCGTGAGCTGCGTGCCGATATCTTTCGCCCCGAGATTGTCGGCGAGTATGGCTCATGGAAGTATCCCGGTGTCTACCGCATTCGTGGTTACGGACAAGCTGCGCCGTTTGCCTATTCCATGTGGCGAAGTCCTGAGGTGCTAAAGGCATGCTCAGATGCAGCAGGTGTAGATTTGGATGTCATCATGGACTATGAGATTGGACAACTCAACGTACAACTGCCAAAGCACGTGGACAAAAGCAGTGCCATTACAGACAACCTGCCTCCTCCAGAGCCGCCAAAAGCAAGTGACGATGACCTTGAACCGGAAGAAGAGGGAGCAGATCTCAAAGATCTTGTTTCTGCATGGCATCACGATTCGTATCCATGGGTCTGCGTTCTAATGCTCTCTGATCCAATTGGGATGTCAGGAGGCGAGACGGCCTTGCGCAAAGGCGACGGCGGTATCTTGAAGATGAGGCAGCCCGGCATGGGATATGCCGTGATGATGCAAGGCAGCATGGTCTCGCACGCTGCGCTGCGCACTCTCGGCAGCGGCGAGCGCATTACTTTTGTTGTCTCGATGCGTCCGCGTGATCCATTGCTGCCAGACACCAGCACGTTGCGTACCGTCAAGCCTATCAGCAACAACGATGAACTTTTCAGGCAATGGACAGGTTATCGTTTTGATGTTGTAGCCAAACGCCTGGCCAAGATGCGCGAGACGCTGCAGGCTGAGGGAAGGCCGGCTGCCGAGACTCATCGACTGACGAAGGAGTGGGTGCAGGCGCAGATTGAGTATCTGCAAACCACAGTAGATGAGATGGATCTGAACGATTATATAGCTCCAAATTTTAAATAGCATGTATCTAAATATCACGTTTGTAAAGTAGACAACGACGGTAAGGGTAAATGCTCTACAACAGGCAATGTACATATATATGATGCAACGAAGCAATCATAAACCGAGCAGAATGAGCCATTGCATTGGCAATATCGGTTCTTCTTTTGTATTCTAAGACTTTTTGTTTATTCATTTCAAGTCTAAGCATATCTCAGGCGTTGACCAATTTCCAACTTTGCTGCCTTGTCCAGGATAGCCGTCCCAAGCGCAATATCGCTGAGACTTAGGCCGCGGTGCCAGAACAATATCGTCTCATCATCCCTTTCTCTGCCCTTCTTCGCCCCCGCCACAATCTGGCCCATCTCAGCATGGAGATTCTCCTCTGTCAGCTTGTCGTTGTCCACATGCTGCCGCAAGGCTCCCAGCGGCAGGCCCTTACGACACTGACCCCAATCGTCCACAACCATCTTGTCCATGATATCCGTCAGTGAGAGCTCCAGAGCACTCATTGTACCATAGGGCATCACCAGCGCACCCTTTTTGATCCAGCTCGTCTTGAGCAGAGGTTCTGGCGCTGGCAATCGTGATGCCTCAACGACGATATCTGCTCCTACAATGGTTTCTTCCCAATTGTCCAGCACACGTATCGGCCTTCCCAGCTCCTTCTCTAGACGCGCACCCAATGCTTCACGACTCTCCTTGCGCTTGGAGTGAATTCGGATTTCGTCAAATTGGAAGAGGCTGGCCAGGAGACGGATGTTCCAGTAAGAGCTGCCTCTTGCGCCAATATGTCCCAAGATTTTGGGCTTACTAGGCGCCAGATATTTTGCGCCTATTGCTGTAACTGCACCGGTGCGCATATCTGTAATAGACGTTGCATCTATTACCGCTCGGGGCTTGCCAGTCTCGGGATCGAACAGGTTCAGGATTCCAAACTCGGAGGGCAAGCCATGCTTGTAATTATCGACAAAATCGCCAACAATCTTGACACCCGCTGCATTTAGAGGGTGAACGACCCCGCGTAAAACATTGAAATGGCCTTTGGCTGAATCCCGCGGCACGAGATGCACTCGGGGCTCAATCACTGTCTCCTTGCGGCCCTGCGCATCAAGAGCCGTTTCAATGGCCCCGAGAATCTCTTCATCTGTGAGCTTCAACTCCGCAATGTCTAAGCCGTTGAGGTATGTGATGTAAATGGGCTCTGTCGTCGGCGACATCTTTGTTGCTATTGATTAGGCCGTCTTATGACTTTATGAGCGGGCAGCGTAAGCACGGCTCTGTAAGTCAGGATATGTAGCTTTTTATACAGCTGTAATCGAGTGAAGTATCATTGAGATTTTCATCAAATACAAAACATATTTCCTGGTGCCGATTAATAACGGTATAGTAATACGTAGTGGCATTGCGTGCTCTTCACTGCTGGCATCTCCGCTCCGTAATCGGCAAATTCTTGTACGGCGATCAAGAGGTGGAGTAAAGCACTGTATAATCTCCGCGCTACGAGGCCTACAACTACCAAACAAAGATCTTATGTTCGCTAGAGCATCTATTATTAGCTTACAACAGTGAGAGTTTCCCCAACAGGATGGTGCATAGCTCTCTCTTTGGCCTGGCCCAAGTAGCTAGTTATGCTAGTGGGTGGTATCATTGGTGAATAATAGCTTTTGTGTAGTCAAAGAGTTGTAGTCCGCTTGGAACACATATACTCGCAGCAGCGAATTGCTTGAGCAACGATGCAAGATCCTTTGAAAATAATAACATTTTGTATCATTGAATTGCACAAGTCATCATAACGCTGCTCGTCGGGGAAATCTTAAAGAAAAAAATGCCATCATGTCATAGACGGACATGGCCCTTTGAGTAGAACCGTTTCTATGAAGTAGCGAAGGTAAGCTTCCGAGATATCCTTCTTTAAACTGTCCTAGGCATTTGATTCGGTTATAATAGGAGAAGCTATCTTTCTACGTTAACAACTGTCATTGAGACTTATTGATTATATAGGCTTATGGCAGGTTTCTGCGTCTCTGTAGTGACTGCAGATGTCAGAACTTCTTGTTCCTTAGCCTGCAGCCATAAAAGGGATGGCGACGGGCCAACAACTCCTGGCGCTCCAGGCAGTGTCCTCGAAATCTCGGCAAGGAGATCGATACACACTTCATTGCCAAACCGCAAGCTGACAAAATCGTATTCCGCTTCAAGTTGACGCAACAACGCTGCCAAAGCAGGCGTAACACTTCCATCACGGGTCTTTGCGGTAAGATAGGCATGCATTCCAGCAATCCCTTCGCCTGCGCCTTTCTTGCCAACCTCTGCGATAGCACTTTCGCCATCCGGAAGATGAGCCACCGCTTCTGAAAAGGCCTTGACATGACGATCTGGAATACGCTCCTTTCGCATCCCGTGACGATCGTTGCCGCCAAATCGGAACCGGCGCGAGAGTGAGCGGACGTAGCGATCGGTGTGGTGGCCAAGGTCTCGAAATCCAGAGATGCCGTAAGGCTCAGGTTTGAGCAACAAACAATTTCCACGGTATTTATCATTTTTTACAGAAATAAAAAGCACGTGTCGGTGGTTGTTTGCGAGTGGTGGCAAAGCGCCATCTACTACGAGATCAATTCCTCCAGTACAGCCCGGTGCGCTGTGGCGCCTGAGATGGCTACTGGTTCGCAGACTGCCAATACTTGAGAAGAAGGCAGAAAGCCGACCATGAGGATCAAGGCAGAGAAAAGCGCCAGACAGAAAGGCTTGGTTGCGTTCAGCTGCCAGTGAAGTGAGATACCAAATGATGCCAGTGACTAGGCGTCCACGAATCGTAGGGTGAACTTGGCTAGCTGCAATGCGTCGAAGCTCGTCAGGCGAGAGCGAAGAAGTCATGATGGCCCGTACATCTTCGGCGCCCTGTGCTACATATGTTCGAATCTCAGCTTCGCGCGCTGAAAAGCCAGTGGCAGCGAGATATTTGGTGAAGTCGTCGATTTCCATGTAATTATGGTGTATGGCAAAGCCCTCTTAACGTTGGCGATAGCTACGGTGAGAGGAGAAATCGTAAGGAGTACCCAAGCTGAACAGAGCTCTGGAGTTCACTCTGAGGTTTGTGAGCGGGGATACTGCAGATATACATGTGCCTCCAGCCTATTGGTTCAGATACGACGATACACGTAATTAGCAGTGCAACAAATACCATTGGTGGGTGGCTACATACGTACAGAAGCAGACCCCGCGATGACAAGACATAGTTGGAGAAAAAGGGACCTTGCTGGCACTGAAGATGAACACGGTGAGCGATGCAGGGAGCAATCTAGTTCTAAGATTGTGAGACATATGATGAAAGCTACTGGCATCAGAGAGATTGATTGATTTCAGAATTATCACGGACTTACTGCTCGAGTGATGAGCATTCACTGCAAACCTTTTTATAGTGGCTATTACGCCAAAACAGTGCTTGCGGCTGATGCTCTAGTAATTGCATTTCAAAACAAGCAGACAAAGATATGGTTTCTCCATTACATAACAGAACACATGCCCCTCTTCTCAAGAGCGCTGATCCTCTCTGTCAGCGACTTAACAGCCTCTTCATTCATCCTCCTCTCATCTGAAAGAGTCTTCTCCATGTCTTTCAGCATCTTCTTATAATGCTGTTCAAGAGCCGATACAGCAGCCTTGTTCTCTTCAGCCGAAGTCCGCAAAAGCATCTCCTTCATCTCAGTGAGTTCTTTCTGGTGCTGCTCCTTCATCCGACTGAGCTCAGCCATGATCTCCTTTCCTGCAGCAGTGTCTTTGAGCGCTTTGTTGTCTTTCCCCATCTCTTCTTGCAGCTGTAGGTAAAACGGTTTGTTGTCTACAAACATGGACGCGATTTCCTTGGCAGACTCGGCGGATCCATCGTGTCGAGAATAAATTGCGCCAAATGCCATCAAAACATTCCAAAATTTGCCTTTGAGTTCCTGTTCACGCTTCTGACCCTCTTCTGGCGCGACTCTATCCCACATGCTGGTTGTCAGGACCACATTCTTGAGGTTTTTCTCGCCCGTCAGTTTGCGGAACATGTCGAGGTTTTTTGTGGCATGATGGGTGACACGATTATCCGAGATGGGGTGGAGGTATATGATTCCCGATAGGCGTAGCTCCTTGGAATATCCAGCTGCTAGGTAGTCCGCAATCATTTCAAGAACTTCGGTGTCTGAGAGATAGGTATCTGAGAACCCCGGGGTATCAACGAAACGGACTGTGTGGCCGTCGATGACGGTCTCGACAATCTGTATCTCTTGGGTGCCTATTGATGCATTTAGTTAGCAGATAAGCAATGTCAGTGCCTGGAGTACCAAGACACTCGTACATGAAGTAAGATCATGACCGATCTTGAGATCTTTTCGCCCGGTCGCATTTGAAATGAACGTTGTCTTTCCTGAGCCGGTCATACTGTATCAATGGTAAGATTGTGTTCTGAATGTGATTTAAGCATATGAAATGCATCTTACCCCATTACAGCGATCAAGACATCGTCTTTGGTACTCAGCTTCTTGTACAGTGATTTACCATACTTTAGGCCTGGGACATCGCCGAAGTAACTCGAGAGATTGCCGTCTTTCCCCTGAGAATTAAAAATTGAGGGAATAGTTCCATCAAGAAAATAACTTTGAGATTGCTCAGCAGCGGCATCATCATCCGAATTCAGCCTTGAAGGCGCTGGCTTTGGGCTTCGTGGGAGGCGACTTATGAGTTCGGGCGTCTGGTAAGAGGCTGCGGGACCGTCAGAGGTGGCCGAGTTGATCATGGCAAAATCATCGTCAGAGACGTCAGGCGTATCGACTCTCGCCATTCTGTAGAAAGTTGATGTTTATGAAGCGTGGGAAAGTATTTTGATGAGATTTTCTCAACAACGCTGGATGGATTAAGAACTTCATTTTGGGCTTCAATAGTGAGGTGGCGCGGCCTCCTACAGCGTTACGTCACCACTAACAGGCGATGCGCTGATCTGATTCGACGACGCTGTGAACAATTTCGTGCCTGAGGTATAATGAAACAAAGGGGCTCTTAGGCTGCAAGATTTGTAAATGTTTCATTTAGAAAATAATATCTTCCATTCAAATGTTATTTACTAAACATGTAGAGGCAAATTACTCCGTGCAGTTGCAGTTGGTGGTCAATCCTCGGTAGAAGCTACGCAGTGAATGCTCGTGTTCAATATGCATTGAATGGTTTGATATCCTTCTATATAAGACCAAAAATAAGATCCATATATGTGGTATCAATGATAGCTGTAAAAACTTCACAATGATTATCTACAGCACAGATCTAGGGTTCAATTTCGCGGGAGATGGTTAGCTAAAGAAGTGACTATAAATAAATACACAGGAGCACGTATGAACATGTAACCTTTTCCGAATGGATAGATAGTTGTAACAAGGTTGTGTCGCTGAATGAATTGTATGCTTCACGATTCTAGCGACTCCATAGGCCCTGTTTCGTCTAGTATTAGTGAGGCATGCATGCAGCGTTAGTGGACGTTGGAATTCGGAGCACTAACATATAGTCCAGGTAAAAGAGACACAGCGCCGTTAGCTACCGCAATATGGAGCATATGCGCAATCAACGACTACCTTGATATCTAGCTTTCAATAAACAAATGAACAATCATGTTCAGAAACGGTGATGAGTCCTAGGGATACCAAAATAGATCCAGTGATTCCTAGCTATCATGACTGAAATCACCAATGTATAACAGCGCCTCGAATATCACAGGTTGGCTAGCCCTCTCTATTATGCACTAATATCCATAGGGTGAAAAAGTAGTAATTGGTAGATGGAGGAATCAAAGTCACCAATAAATTTTGTACTGGTACTGATAAAGATCGAACAAACAGCAATATCTCTATATACTGCTAGAACTAGATACAACAAAGCCGAAAAATAGTATTCGATTCTCCACAGAGTTTAGACTGACGAGACAGCCCTGGGTACAGCCTGCACAATCGACCTATTTCGTTGTGAGCCAAGATCCAAGCCATACTCTAGAAAGAAGCGGTCATACCATATTTACAGCCAAGAAGTTTTAATTTTGGACCGCTTTCCATGATCCAATTGGTTGTTCGTAATAGGGACTAGACAACATGGAGCATTGAGCAGTATCGTCGACGCCAAAACAGTCCACAGAACAACCAGAATCCTGACAGAATACAATTGACTGGCCAGCGATGGACATGGCACTTCCTCCAATGGAATACCAACCCTGACCAGAGACATCATGGCAATAACTGTCAAAAGTATCCCCAGAGGTGCTGGCGACCTTGCTCCCAATACAGCCAATCTCTGACCAGGCTGTAAATTCATAGTTCGCATAAGCCACGGCGCTGAAGAAAAGAGCCAGAGCGACCTTCATGGTTGCTAAGATGAATCAAGATAATTGTATGAATGGCAGAATAGCTTATGATTGAAATGGTTGCGCGAAACTGGTAAACTGATGCCTGGCTGAGATGGCTTGGACATTTCATGCGAGGTCTCTCTCTCTATATACAAATCTGATCATCGAATCGGCTTTTATTCTAAAGATAATTCCGTCCTACCGGAATACAAAATAGAATAAAATTTGTATCACCACCTGTCAAAGACGGTTAGTCAATGCAGATCAACCTTCGCTAGGGAATTTACGATCGAGATGCAGGCTCTTGGTGTCTATCCAGTGGACATAACCCAAAAAAACAAGCTGTAAAGCTGACAATATGCCTTCATTCGTGAAATGAAAACGTCTTGTAGACAACGAAATGTTGATATAGCGGTGTGTGCAATAGGAAAATTATGTGCCGATTGTTGTTTCGCCCTATTATGTTTCGCTACTAGTACTGCTTGCTAACTGATGTGTAAGTTACAAGTGACTATTTTCTGACATCCGACAGGCCTGAGAGCCGACAAGCCGACCTACAGTACTATCGTGATCAGACTATCTTCTTAACAAGGTTACTTCATTCAGATATACACCTCGTAAGAGGATAGCTGAATTGGGAAAGATCAACGTATGCTGATCGAGAATCGTCTTACCTTCCAAAATAGGTGCTATAGACAAGTCAATAGATGCAATCAAATATCACTGGGAATCGTCATGATGAAGTGTCAACAATGTCTCGTGTCCAACATCAGTCAGGCAGGCATATGGCCCTCATTGATCGGTCATGCATGAATTCTCGGGAGATAGAACTTTGAGGCTAAAACGTTTTGTATTGGTAATTGTTGATAAATAGACTTACTTTCCATAAGAATAGGTGGATATGTCCGAGCGATAGTCAACACGGACATTAATTCGGCTATCGCAACTACAGCCTATTATAGCAAGATAGATGATGAATACTTGGGTGACGGCAGTTCTTCTATTATCTACCCTAACCTCTACCTTTACAACTAAGAACATTAGAGATCTCTCGAAGCATATACGCAAAGCAAAATAGCTTCTTATATTTCCAAGTGCTTAAGCTTTGCTCTATCACTCGTCAAGGCGATATCCGCACTGCTTTAAAAAAGTTTGTCAGCTAAGTAGTGTGCCAACATACCTAGCCGTTTGGATACATCTAAATCGCTGAGATCGTAGCCCGCGGACTTTGCTCATACAGCGTCTTCAGCCAGTTTCCGAGTTGTGCGTGCAGCGGCCATGCTACCAACAAATCTACTTGATCAGGCATGGTTCGAGTTCTCTTCAGAAGTATCAAATGAAAGTGGCAGGACAGTGTAGAAAGCCACAAACTTGTCGCTTCTATGAATGCATTTTTAATCTCCTCCGCGATGGACATTCTTTGCATACACTTAGGTCGTAATGATAACTAAAGCTCTCATCCAAGCTGATAAGATCTATGACGGTAACTGTAACCTCTCTCGATGACTGAAGCTGAATTCTTGAATTTCTTCGAGAACTTGGCATAGTCATGGAAAACATATTGAAAGATCGGAAAGTCGTCAAATTTGGCCCCTTCGACGAGTAAGCCGTATCTGACCTTTGCCAATCTGGTTTCAGCTAACCCACGATTTGACTCGCGCACTGGAAAGCGTTCTAAAACTGTGTTGGAGATGTTTCCTATCGATTTGCTCAGTATTTTGTCTTGGCCTGTAGTATATAGAACGGGGCCAGTTTCTATCCATCATTTGCTGCGCTGACAATGGCAGTTGTCATCTTCAGAAACCGTTTTATTTAATGTAAAGATTCGTATAATAAGTTTCGCTCCTTTTTGGGGATGTGGATATGAATATCAGCAGTTAGCAGGAAAGGCTCCCCACAATCTCTTTACGCCAGCTGCTTCAACATTGACTGCAAATTATTAAATATCAGCTCAAAGATCGTCTTTATTAATATCTAGTGAGTAGGCTAAATGGATAGAACCCGAGCTAGGCAGCGGGCGGATAAAGATATAGCCACGAAGAAAATACTTCTAACGAGCTCCGTAAAGGCGACTGCCCCTCCATGACTGGCTTAATCGCTTCCGAGTCTTCTAACAAAGGCCTTACGTCGTCACAATACTGTATCAGGCAAGCCCTCTTACAATAATAGACAATTCCTTATTCTGGCCAGGCGTAATTATTGCTTACCTAATTCATTTTGCTAGCTATGGCAGCTTCCAAGGCCGAGGTCTATCATCGTGACCCTCTCTCCAAGGTGTGTATGTCGCCATATCACGACATTCGATTGGCAGCGGCTACCAAGACCAGCTGACAGCATTCAATCCCGTAACAAGCGAATGATGAGCATCTCCGCGGGAAGCGCTCTATTACTATATCCTTCACATAAGAGACTTTTAGAATTTGCCAGTCTGTAATTTGTTTCCTAGAAGTGAGCAGATATTATCCGGTAGTCGTTCAGCGCTTATCAATGGTAATCCGGCATTCTCGCAGTATTCCGTAGCGAGCGCGCAGGTTGACAGATCCACAGACCCTTATTCAAAGTGCATTTTATGTTTAAGATAAGCATCAATATAGTTTCATTTTTTTTTTGAGACTTTTATATTTATTCTCACAGTTTTGGCGTACTGAATATGCTTGGTGGGCAATTACGGTAATCGTTTATGTTTTTCTTCAAGGGTGCCCTTACAGCCCTTGGTATTGGCGACCTTGATGTTGAGCCATATCTCAAGGTTATCTTGAATTGCCGCTTGTGTCCTATCTGTATTGCAGGTCATATTTTCAACCGCCATCTTAGATTCGCTAAATCGATTTGTTCTATGGAGGAACTTTATGAGATTCCCCGCCACTCGCATTTGTTGTACCAAATAGCGCAATCGAGGGTCTTTTTGAGCTGATGGCGCAATTCATCATCGCACGCGGCACATTGCGGGGAGATGAAGCAGCTTTAAACGTGCAGCTAAATGCAAAGTCCATCAACCTGGTTATTCTAGCACGCAATCATAGCGCATTATTAAAGATGCCAAGCATGCGGAATTATAAGTAAAGTCATGAGGGGGCTTATCATTATATGTTGTCAGCTTCTCCTTGGACGATATATCGATTTTCTTTTTGTAGCTACCCGAGCACAGTGGAAGCCATTGGCAGATTTGCGTGGATTGGAATTTGCCATAGAGGGTCTTTCTGGCTGAGTTGTTACGCTCCCGACTCATTTCCAACATGGCGGTGGATAGGAAAGACATCGCCATTTTTACTAGCACTGAAGAAGTACCTTCTAGTATCATTGGGTCTACCACTCCCAGCGAGGCTCAGCTCCTCAGTGGTATTCCAGCATCAGAGGAAGGCGGATATGACGAGAAGAAAAATCCATTCAGAGACCCAGCCGTTGCTCAGCACTGGAGAGATGTGTACGAAAAGTCACAGTACGAGTGTCGGCATGTATTTGACCCGTCGCTGACTTGGTCTGAAGAAGAGGAGCGCCGCCTCGTGAGGAAGTTGGATTGGCGGATTTGCCTCTGGGCCGTGCGTCAATACTTCATAAGTACCGTTAATGGCTACTTAGGATGTTGCTAACAACCTTCATGAGGTACATAGTGTGTCATGTTTTTTGGCCTCCAAGTCGATCGTGGAAACCTTGCACAGGCTGTGTCGGATAATATGCTGGATGACTTGGGATTGACCACAAACGGTAAATACACACCTCTGGTATCACCATGCCATAAGATGAATCTACTTCTAACGAGGATGAAGATTATAACTACGGCAATAGTGTATTCAGAATTGCTTTCCTATGTGCTGAACTTCCATCGCAGCTCGTCTCGAAGATGGTTGGCCCAGACCGGTGGATTCCTGTACAGATGGTCTTATGGTCTATTGTTGCGATTTCGCAGTGCGCTTTGACCGGCCGTGCAAGCTTTCTCTGTACACGGAGTCTTCTAGGCTTTTTGGAGGTTTGCTACTGACTCTACTATCGCATCATCATCTGAGTTCTTAGGCTGACCGACAATACTAGGGAGGATTTATTCCTGACATCGTTCTTTGGCTATCTTACTTTTATACGTCCCGCGAGCTGCCAGTCCGCCTCAGTTACTTTTGGACGTCTCTATCCGTCACTGGAATTGCTACTTCATTACTCGCTTTTGCCCTGTTACACCTCCGCGGTGTTCACGGCTGGGCTGGCTGGCGATGGCTGTTCCTCGTTGAAGGGCTCATCACCCTTGTTGTTGGGCTTGCTTCTTTCTTCCTAATGCCAGCTTCTGCTGTGCAGACTAAGACATGGTTCCGCCCCAAAGGCTGGTTTACCGACCGCGAGGTCTCTATTGTTGTGAACAGAGTCCTGAGAGATGATCCTTCCAAGGGAGATATGCACAACCGCGAAGCCATTACACCAAAACGACTATGGGAGACGCTAAAGGATTTCGATCTTTGGCCGATTTACATCCTTGGAGTTGTCGTCTTTATACCTCCTAGTCCACCTGGGACATATATTACCCTCACACTAAGGAAAATAGGATTTGACCCGTTCACCACTAACTTGTTGACAATTCCATCTGTAAGTGTTGCCAAGAACAATTTAGTCGCAGACGGGCGATCAATGTCCATGCGATTAACCTGACTTTTTTTTAGAACATATTCCATATTATCAATCTCATTTTAATCACTCGAATATCGGAATGGCTAAATGAGCGTGCTTTGGTGTCCATGATACAAGTTCTTTGGACACTTCCGTGCGTTATTGCCTTGCGTTGGTGGCCTGGTGTTATGGTTGACCAATGGGGCACGTACGCTCTCGTTACGGTTTTGACATCGTACCCGTATTGCCGTAAGTTGCAGATACGCAGTTCTCTTTTCACGAATACTGCTAACTCTTTTGTCCTGTAGATGCTATCTTAGTTGGTTGGACATCGAAGAATTCTAACAATGTGGGTACACGCTCAGTATCGGCTGCGATATACAATGTAAGACATGCTTCGAGGCCCAGAAACTTACTTACTTCAACGGCTGTTTACTAATTCCTATATTTTGTCAGATGTGTGTTCAAGTTGGCAGCATCATATCTGCGTACATTTACGTGGAAAGTGATGCTCCGCTCTACCACCGCGGCAACTTTAATCTCTTCATTATCAATATACTTGGAATTGTACTCTTCCTTCTCGCGAAGGTTTATTATATCTTCCGAAATAAGCAGCGCGAGAAGACCTGGAACTCAATGAGCGAAGAAGCGAGGAAGGAATATGCCGCCAATCAGAATATTCAGGGCAGTAAGAGATTAGATTTTAGATTTGCCCACTAAAGATGGAATATCGCGTATGCGCCCCGCATGAAGGACAACACAGCTTGCGACACAATGATATACACTTACCTAAAATACTGATTCATTCAAATAATACTTGTGCCGATCAATCTCCACTGATTCCAACAAAAAGAGCATTTAGGAATAATTAAAGAGGCAAATCTATAACACCGGGTATATCAATGCTGTAGCGAGATAGTTCTACTTCGTGTGCCAGGCAGTTTTGATCACTGTTCACCGTACTTTTTATGGACTGAATAGGTATAAACCAGGGCACATGTGTTCATAAGACAGCAATCTGCCGCAACCTAAATTTTTACTGCTACCATACCATACCAAGATCTCAGTCCTTTATTGCTTCTAATTAATTTAACCTTACTAGCAGCGGCCCGACCCGTATGGGCTATGTTGCGCCCCACTAAGCGCAAGTCGAGCTATCCCATAAACCATCAACAGCTTTAACTGCTCTACCTCAAAGTAAAGACAGACTTTTACGAGGAATTGTTTACAATTGGTTTCTACAGATGTTGAGTGTGGGTATTGCATATAGAAAGTACCAACATACGCCATTGAGGTATATTATGACCTGTAGAGAAACCGCATTTGAGGAAGAGCCTACAGATGTAGAGCAAGAAAATACAGAACGGTTCGAGGAGCCACGATTGCGGGGCAGTGAATAACGAAAGATCCAGCGGCATACACCACATATAAACATTTGCAGCGTACAAAGCTACATAACACTCAGGTAGAAGAAGGCTGAAAGTCATGCCTATTCTCTCAAATCAACTTCTAGGCATATGGACTAATGCAAATGTGGTAGCAAAATAGACTGACCCTCCAAATCGTGCGAATATTTAACGCTTGAACAGACTGTAGAGAGAACATATATTAGACGTGAAAAGCTATTGGAAATAACAAGAGTTGCTGTTGCATCGCACCTCGAGGATCGCGATCTCACAAAGCCTAGATATTACCGTTCGTTTTTTTGCGGTTGGTTGACTAGGCACAGCCAACGTGATATAATAACTGCATAATAGCAATAAATTTCTTTGAGTTTTTATTATTCATCTATATGTTGCATTTATCTGACTGAGGCTCAGTCACAAATTCATGATGCATCAATCCCGGCAGATGGGTCAATATATAAAGGCAAGAAGTAGACCGACCAATCAAAATGTACCATTTCTATATTGATTGGGTTGCTTTGAATGATTGGGCTGCGAGGGGCAGTGTTCTCTGCATAAGGCGTACTTCCGATCAGCCTCATTGCTTTTCCCAGGCACCTTTTCCCCAACACATCTCTTTGAACCATTGTATGCTAGGAATAATCTTGTCGTTGGACTATTGTTATTTGCCCCTGTCTTTACAGTCCGCTCCCATGTCCTGCTTGATTTGCAAGCGACTGTTTGTTGACGCATTATTTTATGTATATTTATCTACCCAATCGACGAAATTTTGACGCGAAAGCGCTACAAGGCGCGCGAGAACGCGGCTCTAGCTAACACCTCCATTTCGCTTCGAAGCCCGATCTACGACCCTATTATTTCTTCAGCGATCATGGCTTCTCCGAGAAATATATTGGATCCTGCCGCCTATACAGTCGCCTGGTTTGCTCCGCTCGAGATTGAGGCCCGGGCTGCGCTGCACCTCTTGGATAACAGGCACAATGGCAGCTTCCCTATGGCTCCCGGAAATGATTATGTCTTCCAAGCCGGCGATGCATGTGGGCATAACGTTATTATTGCAACTTTTCCCGCCGGTCAAAAATATGGCACTGGATCTGCTGCTTCTCTTGCGAGCCAGGTCAAGAACTTTTTCCCAAACCTTTGGTTCGGTTTGCTTGTTGGTGTCGCAGCGGGTCTTCCGAATCTCTCGCTACATCCGCCGCTCGATATCCGTCTTGGCGATGTTCTTGTTGGTTTGGCCACGGGTAATAGCGCTGGACTCATAGCCTACGATCTAGGAAAAGAAACAAGCAACGACGGGTTTCAGCTTCTAAATCATGGTTATGCATTGGCCAACACAGCAACTGTAGTCAGATCAGCCATTACCAGCATAAAACTAAAAGAGCCGAATGATACGAACCTATTTTTACCATATTACAAAAGTATACAGAATAAAGAGCATTCTTCCGGTACTTTTAATGATCCTGGACAAGATACGGATGCTCTTTATCAGTTCGATAAAGATGGGATTGAGCGTTTGGTCCAGCGAGGGCAAAGGCCAGATTCCAAGCGGACACGAGTATGGTACGGATCAATAGGCTCAGGGGAAAAGTTGATGAAGAATGCTCAGAAACGCGATAAGCTAAGGGACAAATACGGCCTTATTGGACTTGAGATGGAAGCAGCCGGAACTATGGACTGCATTCCCGTTGGCGTCATCCGAGGAGTTTGTGATTATGGAGATGAACATAAAAATAAAGACTGGCAGCCATACGCTGCCGCCATGGCTGCTGCCTATGCCAAAGCGATTTTGGCTGAAATCCCGCCCGACGATGGTAAGCTCGTGTTGTGACAGATTATTTACTCCGCCCTACCTAGCCTAACCTCTTGATTCAGTGCCAGAACGAATAATTATGAGCGCCGGCCGTAAGCGCAGACGAGATGAAGAGCATTTGGACTCTGTTTCGGATAGACACTGGAAACCTTACAATGCAGAACCTAGCACTGCCGTCGGACAGACGCCTAAGGCAGCTACAGATGTCAGCCACGTTATCGACGCCGATACAAAACAGTCGTTGATAGATCAGCTCTATTTTGACAAGATTGACGAGCGTGTAACATATCTAACAGCCGCCCAGAGAGGAACCTGTCGCTGGTTCCTTGATAAGCCCGAATACACATCCTGGCACAACATGGCACAACAGCCGGATCACGGTGGTCTGCTTTGGATCAAGGGTAATCCAGGCACTGGAAAGTCAACATTGATGAAGTTTCTTTTTGAAGAAGCCAAGCTGAGCGCAAATGGAGCTTCGTCACAAATCATCCTTTCTTTCTTCTTTCTTGCATGGGGCACCGTCGACGAGAAGTCAACGACGGGACTATACCGCTCTCTTCTCCATCAACTCTTTGAAAAGATTCCTGAGACGAAAGACAGTTTGGAATGGATGACCGTTGATGGCGCCAAGACTGTCCAACGGAATAGATGGCAAGATGCATCTTTAAAGCAAACGTTGGCACACGCTGTTCAGAAACTTGGCAGTAGGTCGCTAACAATATTCGTGGACGCTCTTAATGAGTGCAATCAGGACCAAGTTGCTGATATGGTTTCATTTTTTGGGGAACTATGTGACAGTACAAATAAAAGGCAACTTTCGTTGCGAGTATGTTTTTCCAGTTGGCATTACCCAACAGTGACCATACAACATGGAATTGAGGTTATCTTGGAGGACGAAACTGGGCATACAGACGATATTCAGCAGTATATCAAGTCAAAGCTCAGAATACCCAGGTCGAATAAAGCTGACCCGCTTCGATACGACTCACTTCGGCAGGAAATTCTCACGAAATCTTCTGGAATCTTTCTCTGGGTTGTCTTGGTTCTTGACATTCTTAATAAGGAATGTTCTAGAAGCGCAATGTCTATCAAAATGATGCGTGGCCGTCTTAAAGAAATTCCACCAAGGTTAAACGACTTGTTTCAGATGATTCTTACACAAGATGGTGACAATGGTGATCAGCTAAAAGCTTGTCTAAAATGGATCCTCTTCGCGTCTCGCCCACTCAAGCCACCGGAGCTCTATTTCGCTGTCCAGTTCAAGTGCGATAAAGAATGCTCAGGTAAATGGGATAAAGACAATATAGGACTAGATAGGATGAAGGCTTTCGTAAGGAGCTCATCGAAGGGTCTAGCTGAAGTTACACGAAATCGGGCTTCTGAAGTTCAGTTTATCCATGAATCTGTTCGAGACTTCTTATTAGGAAGTTACGGCAAACAGTGGTCCGAAGAGCCTAGCAATTTGACCGGTCATAGCCACGACTTTCTAAAGGATTGTTGCTTAGCTCAACTAATGTCTCAAGATATTCATTTGCCGAAATTTATACCAAAGGCTTCCGAAGCGGCAGAATTGAGAAGCTCGGTCAACCTAGATTTTCCATTTCTAGAATACGCAGTTCTGAATCTTTTTCATCATGCCAACGCATCTCAAAACCAAGGCATAGAGCAACAGGGTTTCCTCAAAAATTTTCCTCTCCAACGATGGATACTCATCAACAACGCCCTTGAAAAATATGGTATCCGACGATATACAGAATCAACAAGACTACTTTATATCTTTTCAGAGAAGAACTTGCCAGATCTAATTAATATTCTTCCTGAGAAAAACTATTTCGAGGTTGGTGATGAGCGTTATGGCACGCCAATTTTTGCGGCGCTGGCCAACAACAGTCGCGAAGTGGTGAAAGCATTTTTGAGATCTCAAGAGAAAAGTTTACCGCAAGGATCCGCGTTTCACGACCTATATAAAGAATACTGCAGACACGAAAACTTCAAGACCAATCTTGGACAGAGCTACGTTTTCAGACGGGCTCACGGTGTTTTGTATAGTCTTATCAAATATGCCGATGAATTATTCGTTATGGCATATCTGTCTTCTTTCGGAAAAACAGACTTGGACTCAAAGATTATTGATGCCCAGATGACGATCCTGTACGCTGCTGAGAAAGGTTATACGGCCACTATCAAGGCTTTGCTTACGCATGAGAATGTTGACATAAATGTTCAGGATGCATATGGCAGGACGCCATTATCTTACGCTGCTGAGAGTGGCCATGAATCTGTCATTAGGGCTCTGCTTTCATATGATGGCATTGATATACATACCAAAGACACGTTTGGCGAGACTCCACTATCGTGGGCTACTAAAGGAGGTCATAAAAACATTGTTAATCTACTACTTCATACCAAAGCAATGAGCGCAGCGGGCTCCACGTATATTAACAAATCTGTTCTTTTTGATCCCAAATCTCCGAAGATTTCTGTTCAACATGGGGCAGCTGATAGTTCAAAACCTACCGGCGAAGATTTACGGAATACGAGTATAAAAAGCGAAGTCCATTCAGACTCTATGATTTCTTTTCTTGGATTAGAGTCTCTCCCGAACTACAGTGTAACGACTCTTAATCAGATCAGCCCGTATGACATCGGGAAAAAAAAAAATACAAGTCACATACAGGATGACCAACTCTTACAGCCAGAGAGACTTCAAGACTTCGATTGTACTCTTAATTCGAATTTATCTCTCTCCTTCGCTCATGAAATACCTGGCAATAGCTCCAACAATTCTCTCATGCCTAGGAATTCTGCTCCTGTCCCTAACATCCTTGACATAGCTGGTAATCATTCCCACGCCAATATGATACCAAGATTATCTCTCTCACAAGAAACATCACCTTGTCCTCAAAACCCAGATATCTCCGGCACCGAGGTTAATGATCCAACAATGGCCAACTCATATTTTACGGGTCTTTCTAAAATAAAGATAAAATACTACGTTAATGAAATTGCTGAAGGCCTTTTAGAGCGCCTGACTCTCAGAGAATTAGATGATCAGAGTATACGGCGAATTTCAGCTATTTTGCCAAGGCTATGGAAAAGTCTCGCTTTAAACTTACTCCACGGACGGCCGTCTGAAGCGCAACGTACAATTGTGGTTTTTGTTTATGACTACAGATAGTGAGTCAAAGACTGTTTACAATATTATTCATCATCAAATACTAATTTTGAAGTGATATTACTAAATGCTTCAGAGATAAATGTACAGCTCTGTTAGTTGGCGAATATACGCCACCACTAGCAGAAAAAATGGACAACTGGTTTGAGGCTACAAATGGATTAGAAGATCGGCTACAGGAATCGAAACGTGACATGGGCTCAGAAGTCTCGACCCCTAGGTACGAAGTTGATGAAAAGTTTCACGAAACAAGCATTTTAGAATTTAAAGAGTCTAAAACATTGCTTTTCAACAACCCAGGATTTGAATGGTTATCAGGTCGTCTTCACAGAGAGTTATTCCTCTCACGACCAAAGCCAGATTTGATGGACAATTTGAGAAAGGACATTGTTACTGATCTATTTTTGAGACTTGATGGAAGCAAAGAAATGCCGATCCAAAGAGTAAAAGCCGTTTATCATATTGATTGGAGTCCCTTTGCATTCTTCGACGCTCAAGGCTATGATGATTCATATGGTTCGATGCTTGACCATGTTATCACGCTCACAGGATCCCACGTCGATGCTAACGGGTATCGAAATTCTTCAAATTATACAAAACTTACTATCCACCAATCGTACTAATAAAGTTACTCGTTAGTAAACATATTTTAAGAGTTTATAAGCAGTTAAGAAGCGATTACTAACATATTCTAGGTAATGTTCTAGATGGAACAACGCTTTGGGCCTCGATAGTTGACTCTAAAATTGTTATTGAGGCTCTGGGAGTTCCGGACATCGTGGCAGAAATAGGCGAGCAAATAGCATGGATCGGTGCTGCACTGCAGCCATCCCCTTTCCCAAATGAGGCGGTGTACTGTGTCCCGTTTCTTGACAAAAAGATTCTTGTGGCCGATACATATGAACACGAGGACCTTCAAAGCTTGCAGTGCTTTATTGCATTCAGATTTAAAAAGTGCGAAACAACATATGTCGAATCAATTGGACAGTGCTGGCACGATATGTTCAAAGGGCCCGTCATTGTACCAGGATTTCCGATACCACAAAAATCAGAGACCAATACAGGTTTGGAGATGCCGCTTAACATGATGGCGGCCCTAGTCAAGACGCGATATGTCAACGCATTTGGTTCCAAAGTATTTGTGAAAGGGTTTTCAAGCATGCTGGTGCCCACCAAACGATTCGATAACGTTCTGGTCTGGCATTATATGTATAATAAGCGTCCAGATGATCACATATCTTACCTGGATTGGAACCTTGGCCATACAGATGTCAAGATGTCTGAGCTAGAGTCTACTCGTCACGTTATCGGATGGTGCTCGGAAGCAGTTGCTACAGCTGGTAATTCTTTTCAAAATGATGTCATTTTAGTAAGCTCTATAACTAATGAATATTTAACTAGGTACTCTAGCAGCAACATATTCCGTTAAGAAATCGGGGCTTCCATTTTCACGTTGTGGTGTTGCCTTAGAGAAGTTTGAGATAACAGCCGGTAAATATATTTCAGGAACAGCAAAATTCAGGATTGGCAACAGAGAAAAGCCTGTTCACCTTTCTCTATCAGCCTATTTGGAGAAGATTCAGTGGATATCTTCAAGATACTTCATCATGTGGGATGACGGAGATAAGAGAGGTTGGCTAGTAGACGGTGCTCGTGCTTTGCTTCATACTCTCCGGGCTTCGCTTGTGCATTATAAACGTGCGTTTGGCTCAGCATTCCTTTTAGATCCTGTTGAGTTGACTGATGGCTATGGTCAAGATCAAACTGGTTCGGCGAAAAGCGTGTTAGCAGACCAGGGGAATCGGGATTTAAAATTGTATGTGGATAGAACCGAAGCCTACGACGAAGCAATAAGCGATGGACAGGAAACCCGGTATATTTCAACACGAAAAACGATATACTATCGATTGGAAGATAAAGTCGAACACCTATACAACACGATGGAGAAACTGGTTGAATACCAGACGAACGAAGGACGACAAAATGGAATTAAGGTCAAATCTCGTCCAAGAAGTATACTCGAAGGATGGGATTTCATTGATCTGGTCACTGGTGATCCGATCTTCCGTCACGCTTGCACCCTACAAACAATTGGCAAAGGATGGGTTGATTTCACTAGAAGCATTCATGCAGTCGTCCTATTTGGTCGGGGATTCGGTAACTTAATCCAGCCCAAAACGACTGGTTGTCCTCTTTGGTCATGCCTTCCCAAAGAAAAGTCTTATCTCGCAGCGCACATTACGGATTTACAAGACATAATGAAAAAGGATGGCGAGGCTGCATCTAATCCGAGGAAACTTTGCGAAAACGTGCTATGGCATATGAAACAAGACACTTTCCAAGCATGCCCTTGTGTTGGAAAGGGAACAAAAACGCATCACGATCCTGTCCAGGTTTTGTTTCCATCCAGTTTTCAGTCTATGATCAAAAAGAAGCCGCTGGGCGATCTCAAAGCTAATGGAGCTGTCATATTTGGACACAACATAAAAATTCACTGGCATTGGAAAGATATGGGAGATCCGGTTAAAGGTGACCCTCCACAAGATTCAAAAGTCTCTGCAGACTCACCAGAAGAAAGTGGCATTGGATCGAGCACAATGTCACCAGTTAACAAAGATAGCGTCGGGTCAAGCCCTTCTGGATCTTCGACAAATCCTAGCGGAACAATCTCTACGCCTGCAGAAAGCCAGCCAAGCAATATTTTCACCGATAACAATATCCGTAGTTCAAAAAGAAGCCTACAAGCTGCGGTATCTCGGGCTTGCAAAAAGATGAAGTTATAGATAGTGGCTTGTTGTATAGGTAGATAGTTAAGAGTGTTTTCTAAGATGTGGTTGATACATCCGTTAATTTATCAGCTGAAAATGTACTTAATACAATCTGTTATGTTGATATGTTAATGATCTACGAAGGGTTTATTCACATATATCGACCTCAAAAGGCAAGTATAATTCCCGTAGAATTATTTTTCATTAAATCGGTAACTAATAACGAGTATTGACCATGCTAGTCCGACCTTATAGATTCAGCGGCTATTAGAGTTATGCCACTAAACATATGCTTGTTCGTAATCGTCCGGGAAAAAGCAACATAGTTTTGAGATCCCGCATGATAGCCTAGCACGTCTTTTATATTAGATGTCTGGTTTTGGAATCATTGCTTGTACATCTAACAATCACTTGAAAAGTGTAATCTCGCGGAGATAACAAATTCGCCAATCACTGTAGCTTATTAACACTCTATGCATCTCCACAAAGATACCTGTCCAACCAGGATTACGCAGTGAGCTAGCAATGCTGTCTTAGAGAGCTTGCACTAGGCTACTATATATTAAGCCACATATGTACCATCTTTTGGGGGGATCTTTTCACTTCTATATGTTAAGAATAGAACTTATCTAGCGGATATAAGATGTTCATTCAGAAGTATTAGCTTCTAAGACTTAATAGCGTAGAGATGAAACCGTGCATTTTAACTCTCCCTCTCGATCGCTATACCTATATTTGCCAATCACCTACCAACAGCATCTATGTATGTAGTATCTTCTTAAGCTTGAATACCCCACAACACCAGCTTGCATTTGAAACTACATGCTACACTATTGAAAGAATTTGCAATTGTGGAAATACTCTAAGATGATTATGACACTAGAATAAACTTGAATGAATGGGAGTGGTGAAAAGCGATTGTTACCAGTCTAAAAGCCCACAATCATCCATTACTACTGAGATATAAACTATTGATATCAGTATGTTGAATAATACTGCAAACCACACGTATTTTCTACGTCTAACAAGCTCCTTGTGCTTTGTGGTATCTCATGACCGTATAAATCGGTCTATTGAGCTTATCTTGGACTATGTATTGCAGATTTTTGAAAACTAAGATCTCCGGCCGCAAGTATTACCTATACAATTCGGACGCAGCTGTAGTTTAACAGACAGATATAAAACTGACCATATGTAGATTTTATATCAAAGTAAGCCAAAACTATAACTTCTTCAGTTAAAAAGAGAAATTAGGAGATAGACTATCCTATCTGTAATTTTTTAAGTGTAAGGCTTGCTTAATAACTAGAGCGAATCAGTCTAACAGTTATAGAGTAGGTAATAGCCACGATTCATATAATATATAGCCCTCTAGTAATTACATTTAAGATCATATCACATGGAGAATACTTTTTCTCCGAAAATTGCAAAGATTTCAATCAATTAGTATTTCTATATTCAAATAGTCTTTATATGCTTCCTATAGGACCATTCAACATTTAATTAAGCCGCCGTTGAATTATACTTGATATTAAATGACTGCGTCTGTACAGTGTAATAGCCATCAGGGTTATTCGCATCTCCAAATATCTTCAGCGCTCTTAGCAACACGGCATAGTTGCCCTCTGGTAATACGATGCCTTCTTGAGTCACGCCGTTAAACGGAGCTTGGTAAATGTTCGAGAATACCCATTGAACAGGGAACCCAGGGAAGCTTCCAGCTGTATCGACGCCCAGAACCTTGGTGGTACTAGCTGGTGTATTGCCAAGGGGAATGATGTCTGCTCTTATAAGAGGCACGCCAGTGGTGACTAAAATATAGAGCGCAGGGAAATCAATAGCTGCCGGGTTTGGAGGCTGGCTACCCACTGAAGGATATGGGACAGTCCAAGTATCATTGTTAGGAGCTGATTGCCAGTAATGGCCCGTCGAATGATAAATGTAGCCATTGCTTGAAGTTATGCCCTGAAGACTGCTTAGGCTTCCAAATACTCCCAAGTATGGAAGAACAAGACTCTCGCCGTTGGTGCCATTTAGAGTAATGTATCCGCCGTACACAGGGAGATTTGCTTCGTTCAGCCCTTGAGGAAGAGCTACTTCGACAGTAATTTTGGCAGATCCGCCTGCTGGAATTGTGACTTTTGTATCCGAAAAAGTTAGAATTGCTGCTGAGGAGCTCGAATTGGAGCTCTGAGATGGAGTTGACACGCCAGCCTTGAAAGTGTCTCTGGATCTGGAGGGGATATGCCCAATTGAGTAGGTCACAGCTTGTTTAGCACCATTCTTAATTGTAAAATCTGTGCTGTTGACAAAGTGGTCCGTATCATTGAGAGAAATGCTTGAAACGCTTAGGGTGGTTGTTGCGTGTATCGCATCGTAGGCTTGCGCCAATCCGGCTCCTTGTTGCGCCACGGGAGCAAGGTCGTTGTACAATATGGATTGATATGAATCCCGGTATTTTGTTTGCTTTGCTGTCGATGATACCATGCTCAGGAGCGCCTTGGGGTCCTTGATGGATCGTGCTTGCATGATCAGAGCATATATCGAAGCCATAAGTGGCGTAGCCATGGACGTGCCATAGTCGACATAGTATGCTCCCATATTCAGAGGATACGTAGAAAGGATTGAGCCTCCTGGGGTCGCGATGTGTGGATTTACATCTGCCTCCCAAGTTGGACCCCAGCTTGAGAAATCGCTTACAATGCCACCCGTGGAATTGTTTAGGAAGTATGTTGCTCCAGGATTGGCAGACTGAGGATCAACCATTTTCGCGTACACGTCTGTTCCCTTGTTGAGGAGATCTAGCCATATCGTGGCTTGCTGTAAGGGCACCATGCCGGCACCAAGAGTGCTGGGAGCGGTACTAACGCTATATACACTGGTAAAGAAAAACAATATGGTTAGCCAAATAGAATGACGATCAAAAGGGATATCAAATACTTACTCATCGAGGTCATCATCACTGCTATAGTACATGATGTACTTGGCGTTGTTCTTCGCAAGGTTAGCCGCAATAGTGGGATCATCGCAGCCAGTTAACTGCACAAGAACGATTTTATCGCTGAGATCTGTAGGCGCGCTGCTGCTGAGCGGACTGCAAGCACTCGAGCTTCCATCTGTCGTAGTATTGGGAGTAACAGCCCATAACGGCAGAGTGATGTTCGGGAATGCAGGCGTTCCAGGTAACCAGGCGAAAGAAGTCAAGTTACCGGAGGGGCTATTAAGGCTCGTAAAAGCCTCAGTTCCCAGAAAAGGTGTCTCTGTGTTATCAATGGATGCCACATTCATGACACCCGCACCATCACCAGGAGAAGCCGAGCTAAAGACAGCAGGGCCTTGGTTACCGTTGGCGATAACCACCGGAACGCCGGCGTCAACTATTCGCGACACTGTGACTGCAAGAGGGTCCTCTTTCCACCCAGAATAAATTCCGATAGAGATAGAGATAATGTCTGAGCCATCTTCATACGCTTGGTTGAATGATGCCATTAGTACATCGTTGGTAGAGCCACCTCCGCAGTCCAGTGCCTTGTACATGCCTAGAGTTGCGCCATAAGCGGCACCAACAAACCCCAAAGGGTTCTTTTGGGCCGCAATGATTCCAGAGACATGTGTCCCGTGGCCAAGGCAATCTGGGTATGGAAGTGGACCAGGAACAGGTGTATTTGTGCCGTTGAAGTTGGGGCCAATCAAGTCCATTCCGTAGGCAACAATGCAGCCTTCACCGAAGCAGCCGCCTAGAACAGGATGCTTATAATCAACTCCTGAATCTATAACACCGACACGGATTCCTTTGCCTGTGTACCCTTCTGCGTGTAGCTTATCGACCTGTGTTAAGACATGTGGCGCATATCCGGTGTCGATGTCTGCTACAGTTCTGGACACATGCTGTGAAAAATCCCCTGTATTGCGTTTAACGCCGCTTGTGGACGCGAATTTACCGAGTTCGAGATTTTGATAGCGCATAACGGGCCATACGTTCTTCACAGGGGCAAGGGACGCGATCTTGGTCGATGCGGCTTGAGGATCCAGGCTGACAGCGTCCAATTGGACTGAGGCTCCCTTGAAGAGCGAATAGGACAAGCTCATCCGCTTAGAAGCCGGAAGTCCATGTGTATGGAGGGTGCTAAATAGCGATGCCTCGTTTTCCTGCATTTTCATAGAATTTAGACTAAGCTCACAACTGATTTCCTCTCTTTCAACTTAGACGTAGACGTAATGCGTCAACTTACATGGCCTTGTTCATACTCGATAATGTAGGCCCCGGGAACATAGTCCCAGCTTCCCACCGTGGTATTTCCGTCAGCGGCATCACCAACACTGGGTGTTTTGGAGTGAACACCACCTGCAAACAATACGCCCAGAAGGGGCAGTAATTGGAGGTAAGACACCATTTGATGCTAAACGATTAGCCGATTCGCATTGCAGAAAGAAAGTCGGTGGCAAGGCGAGCATGATTGCTCGCGCGCCCTCTGTTCTTTATACCTCAATCGATAAATTCTCACGTTGTATTTGCGCCTGCCAAGTTGGGATCGCCTCATCCGACTTTCTCTCCGTATGCTGTCATGGTAAAGATAACGAGCTTCCAATTCTGATAGAAAGTGGGGATCGAATTGTATACGGCGCGTTTTCCTATACGCAGAACTATTTCATGCGAGTATTACCAGTATATCGTTCACTAATTTAACATCCCCTGTTTTAGCATTCTTACATAGTATATATTTTACCAATTATGGCCTTAGCCTCGTCGCTCGCGGTTGTCGTGCTGATCCTGTCAGCCTACCGGCATCCAGTGCATGTATTTCCAGAACAGACAATTTGCAGAACAGAGTTGACATCTCCGTATGCGTTAGTATTCGTACTTTTACGTTTGAAGCGCACTCTAGTCAAAAATTTCGAGCATGACTGTTCTGCAAAGCCAGATCTTGGCCCTATTTCCTCTATTTACTTGTCATATGTAACGTGCACCTCTTGCATTCAAAAATTACTTGCAGAGCTAGGAACTGCCTGATTTGGCAGTCCAGTTACCTTGGGTGATATCGGGCCACCACCTTTTCCGTTGCTGCCGGAAAAGCTTGGTGTAAATACTGAGGTGTCGCTCAACATGAACGAGAACAATATTCAAATGGAAATACTACTAGTATTTGCTTGTTGCAATGCATTTAATCACGGTACTCATTGCTAGCTCCTCGGCGATAGTCAGCGACAAAGGTACTTGAAAGAATGCTCCAGTGGGGACTAAGGGAACGATGGATTGGATATTACCAGATGAAAAGAGTGATCGCTCATTTTCTAGTTAGACATGTGGGCATTTTAAGCGCTAATTATGAGAAATGTTTTGTAGTGCACTGTTATTGTCTCACTGTAATGGTTGTTGGTACATGCGTGCTGATCGTGCGTTACAGATATTTGACGAGATGAGCATGAGCAGAATATCAAGGTACATGAGAATATTTAAATAAAATAACTGGCGCTGATTAAACTTACAGCTACAGTATTGCCATTTATGATTTCAGATACTTTCGTCAATTTTGATAGACGAGAATCGGAACGTGGATTGCTGGAGCGATAAGAGGCCAGAAGCTCTGGGATGTATCAGAGCTCTTAGATGCCAAGATCACTAATTGAGTCAGCAATACGACTTCCTACTCAGTCTTCTGTTATAATGGCCCCAATTAAGTGGGATATCATCATTAGCACTGTCGTACGCCTCAATGAGTATTATGCCATTCCTCGATTGGATGCTCTCACGCATCGCGACTTTTTCTCTTAGCCAATGAAGCAACAGGCTTAAAATATTCGTAGGAGTGAGCTCAATAGCTTTTAGAAGCTCTTATAACCTCTCATAAAGGCGTAGATGTTGTCTGCCAAGATTTTACGTCTGAATCTGATCATCACTGACTAGCGCAGTCAGGAAGTGCGAAGGGGGTCTTCGTTGATCTGAATTGCGTACTTGGATCTGCAAGAAAGTGTAATGGGAGAGGGAATTTGGCCGAATTATGCATAATTATGGTAATTGCCGTTTCTACTGAGACTTTGTATGCAGACTATAAATAACTTGTTTCTGTTTTATTGAAGTTAGTAACAAAAGAGGACTTAGACAGCATAGAGACGGGGTAATCTAAGGGATGGCTTTCAGTAGACTCGAGTTCTGAGGCACAGAAACGAAGTTTACAAGCAGGAGTTTGAGAGATTGGGGACGATATAAGATGTCAGCGGGATTCAAGCACCTTGATGGATTGGTGGCAGATTTTCGTCAATCACTCTTTCTCTTTCTCATACGAGATGGGGTTATGTTTCCGGGAAGCAGTCTGGATCACCATTGGATGCAGAGGCTATGGGAAAAAAGAAGAGCTTATAATGAGTTCATATGCCAATTTTGGAGCTATTCGCATACTCGTTTGCCATTTTCCGTAGATTTTAACTCAATGTCAATCAGTGAATGTAATTTTGTTTACGGACGCGTAGTATACCATAACGGGAGAGATATCATCGAGGCGATCAACGGATATGAACATGTACTTCTCATGACTATTGATATGAAAAACAAGTAATAGATACAGATATATACTTCTACTACAAACAGTATTATTGAGCGATAATGCCACTGTATCAAATATATTGTTCTGAGAGTTCACGTCCATTTAACCTCAGGTTGGGTGACCCATAGGAAACGAGACTGTAAAATACCTAGTTCACTTTCTCTTCCATAGTCCAAGTCCTGTGTATACAATGAATAAACTCCAAAGCGGTTTAAAAACTGCCGTTCCGACAGAGAATATCCCATAGTCAGAAAGGCCATCAATAGAGTATTCCTATCAAGTAATTTCTTCAACTTTGATCCTTTTTTCTTGCCTCACATCTTGTTTATATCAATTTGGAATCAGAAAACTTCATGTACACCATATAACTTTAGGGTCTAGATATAATAGCAGGCAGCCGACACAGCCAAACTCCAGGCCGCAGGAGCTCCGCCTCTCCTCGATGCTCTGTCGCTTCTTTTATTTCGAGGCTAGGATCTTAGGAGAGGGGTAAGAGATGTCGCCTCATGATACAGGGGGGGCTGGCTATCCACTTGATAGGCTGAGACATTGGTTCGGTGACAGAGCGGAGTAGCTGAAGCATGCGGTAAGACAAAGTGATTACTGCCACCTTTCAGGTGAAATTAGTTGCCTGTATACGTGATGTTTGTTGATTGGTTGAGGATACAGGTTCGTCGGCATCTGTGTAACGAACAGCCCAATTACAAACGAGCGGCATGCTTTCAGGCGTGCCGGATGAATTCAGCCCCCACCCGTGCCCCAATACCTTGATTTCAGCTTTAGCAAGGTACAACAATGCTTCTAGTAAGGCTCGGAAGCAATCGCCATATTTGTTGCAGCCTACTTGTAGGTACGTCACAAAGACCCTTGGCCGTTGGGTGTCAATTCTACACATCACGGGCGGTATTGGATGCCTTCTCTCAATGTATCTCATTTGGTACACTAGGAGCGTTTGGCTATATATGATACTACTAGTAAGTATATTGAGAACAACCGGGTGGCTTCCAAACAAGTATATGCCTATACATTCTTCTATACTAGACTTTCTACTATTGGAGCCCACAATTCTCGGATGTGAGTCCATACATCATGCATGCATCCATATCTACATACGACGCTGTCGCTGCCAATTTAACTCTTTTCGGGTTATTCGGGCATCGTTGCGTTGAAGCCGTTGCATGGTTATTAATGCTGGGGTTGCTACGCAGTCTCCCCTCAGTTTCAATGCTACTACGTGATTATACAGCAGTGCCGCGATGTCGAAAATAAACGGTAGCTAAAGCGGTAGTATTAAATAGTATGGGTTTCGAGCAAGGATTGTGACTCGAAAGTTGAATGACACAATATACCTATCACATTCTTATCCGTAGGCATTTCTTGATGCCGTGTACTTGTGATTTTACCTGCAGGTACTACAATGCGATTCGGCAACATCTTTCTCGCCAACTTGCAGCTGTCGGGTATGATCCTAGACTAAAATGGCCAACAAGATTCGAATCTCCGCAGCATTCAGCTTTATGCCCGGTACAGCTAGGGACGAAAACTTCATCTATACTCTCTTAGCTGCATTTCGTAACTAACTTAGAACGTAATCCGTGGGGGAGGAGATGGTCTACCAGTAATACTCTGGACAGCTAATCTAGCAGCGGCGAGAGGCATGAAGTGTTTGTGAGACATGCATTTCACCACTAACCCAAATGCAACTCGTCAACAGTTTACAGCCTCAGAACAAGAGGGCGTATCAGACAAATATCACATACAAAAGAACACTAACGTAGCCGGGCCAGCCCGTTTTTAGAGGCATAATACTAGCCTCAAGTTAGTTACTGCAACGCAACGGTTATTGGGCCGCTCGGACTAGCCATGATCTAGTTCGAAGCTGAAAAGTGCCTGATTCTGACAGCTCGAAAATGATTGTCCAATCACGATGTTTCGCGTAGCAGTGAAAATGACAATCATGGATCTGCTCTGTAAGGCAACTAGCTTAAGCTCTCTTCGGAAACTTGTGTTTACTGCAAATTCGCCTTACACCTTTGACAGACTGGGTACATAAGATACTGCGTGCTACAAGGCTACTACGAAGTACTTTTACAAGCAAGCATCTAAGCATACATATACTTATATTGCCAAGATCCTTGTATATCAATACTAGCATCTCAAATCTGGACCAATTATTAAGACACTTCCCAATATTATTATTCCAGCCGGTTAAGTCGGCCCTCCAAATCATGACGAAGGATCAGAGCTGAGCCATCACTGCCCCAGCAACAGCTCCAATCAGGCACATAAAGCTAGTTGTCTTGGAAAGCATACCACCCGAAGAAAGCGGAGGCGGTGATGAAGTTGACAGCACCTAACAGGGGAAGAAAAACGTGTTAGTAAATCTGCGCTATACGTAGCAGGCACTGGCTGCAGACTTACCTTGTCGATGATATGCACCACGCCGTTCTCAGTTATAATGTTCGCCTGAATAATCTTGGCTCCGTTGACATAGTATATGCCGTTACGGATGCTAATGACCAGGCTTTCACCCTTTTGGGTCGTCAATGCAGTGCCATCCTTGAGTACAGGCAGGTAGCCAGCAAAGCCCGCAACGACGTGGTTGGAAATCAGCGAGGCAGTGGATGAACTGACGGATGGGCCAACGCTGGCCGCAGCAAAGGCTGCATTGGAGGGGAGAAAGACGGTGGCGAATTGCGTGCTCTCCAGCGATTTAGTTATGTTGCTACCGCTGATTAAACTGGAGAACGTCGTCTGCCCGAGCGCTTGAACTGTAGAAGAGATTGACACGGGCAGAGTGAAGTAGCTATCACATGGCGAACGTTAAATCCCACTTTCATTGTTACATAGTATGTATGAGCCATGCAGAAGCAGCACTTACTTGTCAGTGATGTGGATGAACCCGTGGTCAAAGGGAATGTCTGCGTGGATGATGTTCGCAATGTTCCCCAAACCAGATGAAATCCTCAGCAAGGATGGTCCAGTCAGGTTAGTCGAAGATGCCCAACGTCTAGTCGGGTTGGTCACATTTGCAGGTCTGGTATCGGAGGTGACAACTTGAGGCTGACCACCTAGCCCAGCGGAGTCGGTGCCAGTTGGGATAACGGAACCTGGCTCAGAGCCGCTGGCAGTTTTCAAGTCGGCGAGGTCTTCTGAGCCTTGGATCTCCGCTTTGGCCACATCAGCTGGTGAAGGAGCGCGTCTTGATAGACTTGCAGGTGGCGGGACCAAATCTGATGGTGCAAAGACAGTTTGGATCTGGCCAGAGAGATATTTGGCTAAAACATCTGGATCTGACTGGATGTAGGTGGCAAAATTGGCGGCACCAGAAGTCACAAGCACATCTATGAGAGGCTCGGCAAAGACCGAGGAGCTCAAGCCTAGAAGGAGAGCTGCTAAAGGTTGCCCACGCATCTTGCAATTAGACTGTTGTGGAAAATGGCGGCGTATGAAGCGTCTCAAAACTGCTAGAACTGACAATAGACGATATAGCTAAAGAATGAGGAGAAAAGAGTTGAGAAGCGAGAGCTGTGTAGTCGAGAAGTTCCAAGCTTTTATACGTGTTGGCAGGGCTCTTTGTACATCTGGTAGCCCTGCAAATGGAGTAACCGTCTTGTATGCAATATGTAGATAGTCACTAACAGGCATCTTTTCATGGGCTCAGGTACGATACAATAACGTAGGCCGCATTCGCAACCGTAAACTTGAGCCAAGCAGTTGTTCATAATGCGGCCAATGGAGAAACCCTGGGCGATATCAGCAACACGATTGGCCCTATCCTGGTTGTATTAGACGTCCATATTGGTACTGAATGGAAGTAGCTGCATGTACTCCCTTGGAACAGACCAATCGCTCCTCAACACATCGCGGCATTAGCGGCTGCGGCTGTAGTCCAACAGCATGGCCAGCTTCTACCCCTCGTGCGGTTTATCAGATACTGAATTAGGCATTCAGGCTCATACCACAATCAGCGCGAACCAAGCCATGTATAGCATGTCCAGTGTCACTGTTTTTGTATAAGAGCACTACATGTTGAGCCGCATTCAGCAGCGGACTTAAGAGAGATGGTGTCTCCTCTCGGCAGATATCTTCAAGCCGCTCGCCCCTGGCTTCACCCCCGCCATTATCTTCTTCTGCCTCAAACTTAGAAAGACCCGTTGCTGTTATCTCAACATGGTTGTAACTACAGTGCCCCAGCCTCGGGACACGTATCTGCTCTGGAAACGATTCAGTTTCCCAAGCGAGGATGGTCCCAAAAATGCCTTCGCCGTCCCAACTTGGGTTGCCAATCAGCTCAACTCGGCTTATTCTGTCATGCTGGGGATGCTTATGGCTCAAGTTTGGACAATCATCATTGCAACTATCTTATACTATCTTTTGAAATGGCGACGAAAGAGGAAGGGAGAAAGCAAATCATTCCATCCGCTTGTCCCGATTCTGTGGAACAACAGAGGCGAGCTTCTTGGATCGTTCATGGAGACATTCAAGTATACACAAGAAGGGACAGAGAAAATTCGCATTTGGATGGTCGGCATCCTTTTTTTAGTCCTCATCGCATACATTGGGCAAACCGCCTTATCCATCATCGTCCCTCCCCTGATTATTGTCAACAACACGGCCCCAGTCAATCCGAACGCAGTATACGTTCCAACAGTCAAAAGTGATAACCCCTCAACTGCCGCACTCTACGTTTTGGAAGTCCCATCAGCCCTCCGAGCAGTTGGTAGTACCGGCTCTGCCAAGGAACTACTCGATCAGAGAGTGACTATAACTCCTACAGATACACTGGGCAAAACCAGTGATGGCGAACCTATCATCGGCATCAGCTACAGCTATGACGTTACAGGAGCAGACTTTGGACTGCAGAAATATCCAGAGCTTACACTCAACGTCAGCGGCTCGTGTGTTACTGATTATAGCTTCTTCGTCAAGACAACTAATTCCACTCCCTACCTTGTCGACTGGTATACTATCTATAATAAAACCGAATCCGCTTCGCTTTTTGATGGTCGAGAGCCCGTCGCCTTCTTCTATCCAGGGGACAGTTTCATCAAAGGTGCTCTCGAAACCAGCAATACTACATGGGCCGCACTCGTATCTTCTACCCAAAGGAGCAGCTTCACCGCCGGGACAGACCCGTGGTATCTCACCGAGTCGATACCAAACGCAAATACAGACACTGCATACCGAGTACGCAGTGCGCGTCCTGTATTATCTTGTTGGGAAGATAATGTGTGGTCATACAAAGGTCACAACAGCACTGTCTTGGGACTCAACAGCACTCTACTTCCGGGCCTTGAGCTTTCGCAGGGTGTGCAATTTATCTTTTCTGCCCACCTGTACCAACCCATGATCTTTACTGTCGCCTCACATCTTGGGCTCTCTGCGCTGCTCTCTACAACCACCGCCGTCTCCCAAATCTTCGATGCCGGTGCTAGCAGCATTCAAACCGACTTGTCGCGCCTCGTTCAAGCTGCATTCATTGCAACGTCTAATGTTCTGACTGATACAACGTTATACCCACCTAATTCAGATCAGAAACTGGAGAATTGGGTTGCAGGGTTAAGTGGTGTTGGTGATTTCGTTGTCTGGAGTCCCGATGCCTCGGCACTGTCGATGAACGTCCTTATCAGCATTCCAAGTCTCCTAGCAGGCGTGTGGCTGCTTGCTACTCTACTACTATTTCTGACTCCTGTTAAAGTAATCAACGGTTTAGATTCTGGTCTTATGTTTACAGCCATCAAACAGGAAAACCCAGACTTTGACCCTGTACATGATAAGCCTGGGGCGACTTTGCAAGAGTAAGAATCCCTTGACGTTATAGTACGCTTGCTCTATTTTCTGATCTACACTGACAAGTCAATAGAGTCTCAAACAATATAGATGTGGAGAAGGGCTCTCAATCGACGGGAGACGACAAAAAAGGCCCGACACAGACGACAGCAGCTGTGATAACATCGATCGATTCGGAGAGTGGCCAGAAGGAGGAGGACAAGAACTAACGTGGTCCCAGAAACGGTGATTTAAGAACATTTTTCTTTTTTTTTTTCATCATATATTCTTTTGACAAGCAAAAACATGTTCACGGAATAGGACATAAGGCAGATTGATAGTTCCAATTTCACTTGTGAGGCTCTATTGCCATATTGGAGATTTACAAACTTGATTCAATTTAACAGTAGCTTCAAATGACAAAATTTACCGCAACAAGTATTGCATTTCTGTTCAATAAACCATTTGGAATGAATAGTAAGCGATTCAAAAAGAGCGAGTCCTGACATAGCATGAATCACTGTCGTACGAAAAGCGCACTGAGAACATTTGAGAGCATGCCGCGTATAACTAAGTTGGCTGAACACCTCTTGACCGACTCCAGTCCGCTTCTCTGAATCGCACAATGTTTTTTGTTTGCTCCTTTTTGTTTAATCTACCTAACTTTCCGCAATTTGACTTTTCAGCTCAAACAGCGGTGTCACCACGTTTGACATAAAAGCGTTTGGCATTCGTGTGTTCAAACGGAAACGATGGTTAGCTTGCCTATAGAAACTTTCCTTCCTGCATCTCTTGAGAAAGAAAGCGCTCTTCGTCACCGAAACTAAGCATCTGACGCAACACCTGCACAAACGAAAAGATCTCTCCAGTATCTCTACATTTCCACTCTCGAAACCGAATCCTCTTTTGGAGCTCAGATGTGCGGCGCAGGGGAAATTTATTGCCGCAAAAGTGATTGCATTCAACCCGTTGGATGGTATATCATTGAGCCATGTGAAGCCTTTGCTATCGCCAACTCTGTAGCAACCCACGCTTTTGATGGCGTAGTCGGGAGCTTGAACTGGAACGCCGCCACATGTGGCTGCTCCATACCAAGAGTTCTGAGAAGACAGAGGTGCAGTTACAGGACCTGCAACGAATGCGCTTGGATTGCAATGAAATCGACCTTTACAGCTGTGCAGCAGTGGGCTGAAGGGGCCAAGGAGAATCCAGCAAGATGGGCACAGAGACAAGACGAGTACCTATTGTTTCGACGAACAAAGATGAGGTTAGAAAGAGATCACGAGCATACTCAAAGAAAGAGCGGCAAGCAGCGAGCTACAGGCCTTCAGAGATATTCTCTAGATGCCAACAGTCATCAGCATGGGACAACAAATGCTTTGCCAAACATGGCAGAGACGGCCGATTCGGTGCACTGGCCATCGCAAAATATGTTTTTGGATTTGAACATCGACAGCTCCGATCCCTACCAAATATCAGAAGCAACATATGGAGATGGGTGGAATGGCGGCGTGGAAGACACGTTGGTGACGACGCAAGAGCCGCAGGTGCTTGCAGTACCGCGTTTGAATCAAGAAGCACCGGACATCGCATCCGACTTCGGCCTTTATCCCGACTATCCCCAAGATGCTTTGCCGCAGGATATTTATGAGCCGCCGCAGCCTATGTCGACATTCCAAGAATATTGGGATGGGGGAGAAGATGCCAACCAACTGTTTCAGCTGCACACTGGAAATTTGACCCAGAATCCGAATGTACAACACACAGAGGTCGACTTCAACGACCCCTTTTGGACGAATGTATTTGCCGCGAGCTGCGATTCTGCGTTAAACAGCCATACAAACACATATCAAGCGAATGACAGCTGAGGTCATTCAATATAAAGGGTATTTCTGTAACAAGAATTCATCCAGAAAGAGAAGAAGTCTATATTCATTGGATCGACTCTACTGCCATCGAGATAGGGACGCAAAGTTTTTAAATAGGGTAAATTAGTCAGCCCATACATCAGGTCGCAATGAAAGATAAGAAAGAAAGAGTCGCAGGCATTTGCAATTCCAAAATTGTGAGATTTTGAAGCCCTTCTCACTTCAAGTCATCTCTTATGAGACCAAACGCAACATCATCCATAAGCTTCCCACTCTTTTCAATAACCCCTCTTCCTCTCCCCTCTATCACGAAGCCGCATTTCTGTAACAACTTTTGGCTCGCAATGTTGCTCTCATATGTACGAGCTTGTATGCGGTTTAGTAAGGGCCAAGTGTCAAACACCCATCTTGTGAAGGCGCTCAGCGCCTCGGTTCCATAGCCTTGGCGCCACACTGTCGGAGAAAGATAGTAGCCCATATCCCACGTTCGGTAGAATATGTCAGTCAAAGAGTGTAACCCAACACCACCGATGATAAGTGGCTCAGTAGTGGAAGGATTGCCTGGAAATCCCGGCTTCAAGACGATGGCTGAAGAGTGCGGGTATGCTGCCGTATCGTCGTCATGGAAAGTAAGTTTGATGAAGTTCTCGGCGTCGGCAACGGTGTACGGGCTGGCGAAGCGATCGCTCATGTAAGCCGCAACTTCTTCGTGATTTGCGGCCAATGCTAGAGCCGGAGCATCTGATAATAGGTATCGCCGTATAATGAGCCTTTCAGTTTCGACTAGGATGGTTCCCGGATCGCTGCTTGGAGGGCATGGCGATGGGAGGATTCGGTTTATTTCTTTCCTAGGCATGATGGCAACTTCAAATGGGCTGCTGCTTGGCCGATAACTTGGACAGAAACTGGAATTAAAAACTATTCATTGTTGTGTTAATATCTGAGCCATCATGAGAAGCGGCCGTTTATAACTTGAAGGATTAGAGGGTGGTGAGTCACTTGTACGCCAATACGCCAAAGTCCTACCTCCGATTTCGACTAGCAAGAAAGTGGTGCGTGACTCAACTTTTCAATTACTTTTTTCGAAATAGTTGTTGATATTCTACAAAGCTTTATAGCAACATTCGCAGTACTCTTTATGAATTCGACCATTAACTTTGGGCATATCTGGTTGAGCAGTTCTTGTCTCTCGATCGTGCATGTGTTTAGCATTGAGTGAGTTGGAGACTGCAGGTCAACGAGCAGCCTTTATAGGTGTTTAATGACATCCAATCGCTCAGTAACGATTACATGGATAATTATCTCAATGTTAAGCTATGTTCATCAAAGACGAGTTGTCTTTTACGCAAGTGACAGATTCTGAGAGGTTTCGAACCTTGGCTGCAGGCGTATAGTATCCTTAATTTTTCTGTAACATACATGTGCACTTGACACATTGAGAAATTACTGGAGAGATTTAGTTACTTCCTTGTACAACTATCACATAACGAAATCACCGGTTCTCTACTTTTAGAAAAGTTTTTTGTTTTCCTTCCCCAGAGCCAAGATCATTTGTCAAAGCATTCATCGGCAGAAGTGTCAAAGCCCATCTGCATGTACTTAGATACATGCACTTACAAGACACAGGTTAGGCGGGGTGATCTGAGCTACGAACATGCATGCAGTGCGGGCACATTGCCAGTATGCCTCGCTAATAAAAAGGTTAAAATGATAAAGTGTTTCAAAACTTATTAAGCTCGCTACAGTATTTGTTTTGAATTCAATTCATTTCAATCCATGATGCTTCGATCGATACATGTGCGATTAATGAGATGCGCCATCCCGCAGTCCAATCAGCAGCCCGCAATTGGCAAAATCGCTCCAGCTGTGGCGCAAAAATGATATCCCGGCGCCCCACCATCACGGAACCTGCGAGCTTCCCCGTTTCTTCAGTTCCGAGAGGCATGACGGCCACGACTCCGAAAGCGAGCATCGTCAGTCTAACCAGCCATTGATCTCGGGCCAGAGGCTCTACTGGGCATTCGAAGCTCTTCCGTCCGGCCCTCGCCGCTCCTCCGCAATGGCCTCATCCCTGCACAGACTCGTCGGCACCGGCGCCAGGCGACTCTGCCTGCGACCTGCGACGGCATCTCTCGCCACTCGACCCTTCACAGCATCTGCTTTCCGACGATACTCGAGCCAGGAGCAGGTTGGCACGCGAATTCTCCCCACGGACGAACACTTCAACCTGACCGGCGACCCCTACGGCTTCCCGTCCAAGTCCGACAGCACCGCTCCCGAGAGCACCGCCCAACAGCCGCGCGACAACAGCGTTGAGCATCGCAAAGTCAGACACTACACTGTCAACTTTGGACCCCAGCATCCCGCCGCCCACGGTGTGTTGCGATTGATTCTCGAACTTAGCGGTGAAGAAATCATCCGAGCCGATCCTCACGTCGGCCTGCTGCACCGAGGAACCGAAAAGTTGATCGAGTACAAGACCTATCTCCAGGCTCTGCCATACTTCGACCGTCTGGACTATGTCTCCATGATGACAAACGAGCAATGCTTTGCTCTTGCTGTCGAGAAGCTTCTGAACATTGAGATCCCCGACCGTGCCAAGTACATCCGAACCCTCTTTGGCGAAATCACCCGTGTCCTGAACCACCTGATGTCTGTCCTTTCACACGCCATGGACGTTGGTGCTTTGACACCATTCCTGTGGGGTTTCGAGGAGCGAGAAAAGCTTATGGTATGCGATTCGCTCAACTTCAAAGCAAAAGGCCTGGAAATCGAGTGGTTTGGCTAATTGATATTGGATAGGAATTCTATGAGCGTGTTTCTGGTGCTCGTCTGCACGCCGCCTACGTTCGTCCCGGAGGTGTTCACCAGGATATCCCCATTGGTCTGCTGGATGACATCTACCAGTGGGCTACCCAATTCGGAGATCGCATTGACGAAACCGAGGAAATGCTTACTGATAACCGCATCTGGATTGAGCGTCTGAGAGGTGTTGGTGTTGTCTCTGCTGCTGATGCTCTGAACCTTTCTTTCACCGGCGTCATGCTCCGTGGCTCTGGCATTCCTTTCGATGTTCGAAAGAACCAGCCATATGACGCCTACGACAAGGTCGAGTTCGATGTCCCTGTCGGCACCAACGGCGACTGCTATGACCGATATCTGTGCAGAATGGAGGAGTTCAGACAGTCCCTGCGCATCATTTTCCAGTGCCTGAACCAGATGCCCGCCGGCCCCGTCCGCGTCGAGGACTACAAGATCTCACCTCCTCCCCGAAGTGCCATGAAGGAGAACATGGAGGCTCTGATCCACCACTTCCTGCTCTACACCAAGGGCTACGCCGTACCTCCCGGAGAGACTTACTCTGCCATCGAGGCCCCCAAGGGTGAGATGGGAGTCTACGTGGTCAGCGACGGCAGCGAGCGCCCTTACAGATGCCACATCCGCGCTCCTGGCTTTGCTCACCTGGGTGGTTTCGACCACGTCGCCAAGGGCCACTTGTTGGCTGATGCGGTCGCTCTAATTGGTACCATGGATCTTGTGTTTGGTACGTATCAACATGACATAGAATTGTATATTGAGAAACTTACTAACTTGGATGTGCAGGTGAGGTTGACAGGTAAAGGGAATGGGGTGGAAGGCAAAATATTAGAATTACGTTTTCTTTGTCTGTAGCCATAGCTGACTGGGAGACTTCGTAAATACTCCTCAGAATTTTGTTATGTTCATGTCTGGTGGCTGCTCAAGTCCATTTCGAAAAGTGGTGAATGCGCGCGATTTCTGATACTATATTCATATTATATTGGTACAGGTGGGTTATTTAGCTACTCGTGAGAGTAAGAGATGGAAGTTCGGGTGGATCGGGAAAGACAACTTCTATACAGCGGTAGCTGCAGACAGTTAAACCTTCAATCCCCGTCCAGAAGCCTGTTCCATAAAGAAATTCTTCAATGGCCCCAGAGCGTTGGCGGCCTTCAAGCCAAGCGACCGCAGGGGAATCAAAGGCCCACTTCCCACGGAATACAACTTATGAAGCTTATCACACACTCCCATCAACACGTGGTTTGCAGCATATCTCTCGCTACTGTATGACTCGAGAGACATTTGCGTTCCCAAGTCCTGGCCGTGGGCCACAGCATACTCAATCGCCTTGACCAAACTCTGAATATCCCCCTGTCCCTGGTTCAGACCCTGTCCCGCCAAGGGATGAACAGTGTGTGCTGCATCACCAACTAGAGCAATACGTTCGCCAATGTAAGTGTCTGCATGTCGCAGCTTCAAAGGGAACGATGCAATGCTGCCCTCTTGAACACCAACCGCAAGCTGTGGGATTGCGCTGGAGTCAAAAGGCGTGTGCTGCGTTCTCCATGCAAGCTCTTCCTCTTGGCCCGTAGCCTGAGTGTGCATGTAAGCCAAGTCAACGGGACTGAGTCGAAACGCCGCATTAACCAGAGCGATGAAGTCTTTCACAGGTAGCTTCTTCAACACGGCGGCATTCTCAGGCGTCGTTGACCAGACCAAAGTTGCATAGTTTCCGGGAAGTGGGAGCATGGCAACAGGCCCAGTCGGAAGGAATCGCTGGTATGCAGTTTTGTGATATTCGCCTCCCCATCCATCCCCTTCCAACTCTATTGTTGCGACAACTCCATGTCTATGATAGTCCCATCCTCGACTCTCGATTCGCGCAAAGGATCGCACAGGGCTGTTGGCGCCATCAGCTCCCACGAGAAGTCGCGCAGCTAGGGACTTGCCACTCTGCAAATGCACGACAGGCCATTCTCTGAGATCCATCTCTTCGGATTCTTCTCCAAGCGTAATCCTTTCCACTCTTGAAGCATCAAACACGTCAACCCCTCCAAGCTCATTGATGCGCTTCAAAAGACCCGATGTGATGTTCAAGTTCTCAGTCATGTATGCGATGACATTTCCTGTGGCAGCAGAGAATCCGGGCTGCAAGTCAAACTCTATGCGCGCATCTGTCACGCCATCCCAGACCTGCATCTCATGAAACTCTTGGATGCGACTGCGCTGCATGTGTCGCCATGCTCCTATAGTGTTGAGGTATTGGGCGGTGGTGGGTGTAAGGGAGCTGCATCGATTGGAGAACTGAGTTGGTGGAAGAGATAGAGACGCTGTCTTAAAAAGGTCTTGCGCTTCGACGAGGGCGACACGAAGACGGGAAGTTGTAGGATTGGCACCTAGTATCGAATAAAAGCTATTAGTATTCTTATTTTCCTACAATTATTGGAAAAAAAAAAAAAAGACTGTAAAGATCTCTCTTACGTAGCGCAGTCAGAAGACTCAGTCCGGCTGGGCCACCTCCGATGCAAACCACATCGTAGATATCTTGTGAAGAGGGCTGAGAAGAGGATGTGGCATAGGATCGTCGATAAGAAGTCGAATTGCGCGCCTGTCGGGAGCAACTGCGGCAAACAAAGCGAGGACTCGCTATCAGAGCTCGACTAGACGCCATTGTGAGAATGCAGCTATGAATCCCGGCCCTCAATGGCTGATGCGACACAAAAGCGTCTCTACATAGGCATCATGCATGAAGCTCACATTTCCATCCCACATCGCATGACGGAACCCGCTGTGGCGGAGTGTGGCGCAACCTCAGATGTGGCGGTGCGTCCGCCACTCTTTGGGCAGAGCTTCGCAGCCTAGATCGCAGCCATGTGGCATCTGCCCCAACGCTGAAAACAGCTTGGGGTGGGCCGTAGCTTTTTTTTCTCTTAAGGCTCCAGTTGTTGCCACAGACAACGGCGCTACGTATATGCGGCGGGAAACGCAAATTCACACATACATTTCGACCACCGGCAATAGACCATCGCACTTTTTTGCTTCTTGCATCTTCCTTCAATCAACACTGGCAAACGCACTCTTGGTCGCAGTGCCTCGTCTGAGAAAGATATAAAGCTTTGCCTTTTAATTTCGCGACTAGGCCTTGAGACCGGAAACTAGTTTCACATTTGGAGACCCCCGGCTTTTTTATTCTGGGGCACCGTCACTGTTTTGAAAGCTGCGGTGCTGCTGATTCACTGCCGGCGAACTGGCAAGTTTCGAGACAAGCCCGCGAGAGTCCACGGCGCTCCGCATTCCTTTGCTGTATTTTCCTTAATCGCATATTCGTCCTCCTCTCCACCATATACCATTGAGATATCCATCTTTTGGACACCACCGCAACAACTTGCTGGCCAAGAGACCAAGCAAAAATGGCCGACGCAGACGACTATCTCCAAGAGGGCTTCGACCCGCGCAGCGTCACCGTCCCGCGCCTGCGCTCCATCCTCGTTACGCACAACATCGAGTATCCCGCCACTGCGAAAAAGACTCAGCTGGTCGACCTCGTTGAGGAGCATGTTCTGCCGCAGGTCCCGAAGATGCGCGCCCAACGCGCCCGCGCGAAGCGGTCCAGCATGGGCATCGTCAATGCGGGCAGCGCCGAAGACAACGGATGGGACGACCACGAATTGAGGCCGACGCCAGTGTCCAAGCCGCGTCGATCAGCATCGCCTCGAAAGGCCTCGGCCAAAGTCAAGCGCGAGGAAGAAGAGCAGGCGCAGACGCCCGTAAAGAGCCAGCCGAAGCGCAGTTCGCGAACTGCCAGCCGCTCAGTGAGCCGACAGTCATCGCACTATGAAGAGGATGAGGCGCCCCAGTATGAAGCGCCCAGGTCGTCGCGCCGCCCTCAGCCTGCGCGATCTGCTACACCGAAAATCAAAGACGAGCCGGAAGTAGAGGACGACACGCCCATCTCATCACACTACACTGCGACGCCTGTTGCTGCGACGCCCTACGCCCCTACGCCCTATTACAGTGCGCTGAAATCTGCCGCGCCGCCATCTGCCGTTTCTGCCGCTCCCTACGAGGAAGAAGAAGAGAGCGTCTTTAGTGATGACAATCCATTCCAGAGGGGCTCTCCCGCCATCAAGACACCGAGCCGCAGACGACCGGGTTTCGAGGAGATCCTTAGAAGCGAAAAGCCAGGCACCCGAAGACGTCAGGATGAGTTCATTGAGCCTTTAAGCATCGAACGGCCGTCCACCACTGCGAGGTCTCAGGCGCTGTCTTCTTCTAAGATGAGACACAGGACGCCAGATTGGTCAATGGATGCCGGTGAGGAATTCACGCCTGATGCACAGCTGGAGCTTGAGGAGGCAGCCAGGAGGGGAGAGACCGAGATTGTGCCACGGAGGCAATCAAAGCCCGCCCGCAAGTCAAATCTGAGGACGCCCTTCTTCGTCCTCTTCATCTCTCTGCTCGGCGTCTACTTGGCCTGGTATCGCCAGGAAAAAGTTGCCGTTGGCTACTGCGGACTCGGCCGACCAGCGACCGAGATTATCCCCCCGGATGTTCCAGTGCCCGATTTCATAGTCCCATTCGTGGAGCCTTCGTGCGAGCCCTGCCCTTTGCACGCCTACTGCTATGAAGACTTTTCCGTCCGCTGCCACAGCGACTTCGTCCTCAAGCCCCACCCCCTGTCTTTTGGCGGCCTCATCCCTCTTCCACCCACCTGTGAGCCAGATGGCGAGAAGGCCCGCCGCGTCCAGGCAGTTGCTGATAAGGCCATTGAGGAGCTGAGGGAACGCCGCGCCAAGTATGAGTGTGGCGAATTGGTCGACGAGTCCGGCGCCCAAATCAGCTCTCCTGCCATTGCTGAAGAAGAGCTCAAGTCAACCGTGAGCAGGAAGCGTAACAAGAGGCTGAACAGCGATGAATTCGAGGACCTTTGGGTGGCTGCCATTGGTGAAATTACCACTCGCGAAGAAGTGATTGTGGAGATTGCAACAACTACGTAAGTTCTATACAACCTTTCTTTTTTCCCCATGGGGTTCTCAAACCACCATATCTCCCCGATTTTCAATCTCTTTTAATTCTGACACAACAGCTAATCAGATCCGCGATTGACCCAACAGATCGTCCGATCCCTCAGGTCTTTCAAACCGCAAGCTATCGTCCAGCTCTCTCGCTCGCCTTCCGATCACCTGTGCGCTCAAGCGCTCCGTCCGCCTCGGGCTGGCAAGATATCGATTCCCAATTGGACTTTTAATGTCCGTCGTGCTGGCGGTATTCTACTTACGCGCTCGATACCGCCAACACGTCATGTATTCGGCGCAAGTCCCGGCCTTGGTCGACCTGGTCTTGGATCGACTGGCTAATCAGAAGGAGCTGGGCGCCGAAGATATAGATGATCCCTGGTTGTTTTTGCCCAATCTGAGAGATGATGTGCTTCGCTCCGTTCATAAAGTGGCTGAGAGAGAGAGAATCTGGCAAAGAGTCAAGAAGGTTGTTGAGCAGAACAGTAATGTTCGTACCGGCCAGCGAGAAGGCAGGAGTGGCGAGGTTGGCCGCGCCTGGGAGTGGATTGGCCCTATTAATGGCGAGGGAGCCCGGAGAAGGCGGATGAGTGGCAGATGGAATCGAGGAGATTCAGCTGCTGACTCACCGGCCCCGGCAGTGGAGAGCAAGAAGTGGTCAGAAGGGAGGCCGATTTATTAGTATTGGAGGGTGAGGTGTTTTTGCTTTTGCTTGGCTTAGTTGTATATTTTCATGGTAACTGGTACTTTTTTTTCTCTTGGAGGGATCAATTATTGCTTTTTCGTCAAACTGCTGTATTACTTATCGATCACCAACTTATGTTTATAATGTGCGTATGGTTTTACTTGGTGGGATTGGGTAGGGTACTTAGGTAGATATCAATAGTATCAATTTGGATAGCTTCAAACAAAACAGCGGCCCCTGTTCAACCGATACACTGTCCTAGATCGGCCCTAGCATTAATCTACAGTGATCTCGTGCAAGATAGTTGTTGTGGTGTTACATATTCAATAAAAACCTTTTCATTGCCAATTCCGCCCGCCAATTATCAAAGTACAGGAGTATATATATAGGTATCTCACACTCGCAATTTTCCTTCTTTTAGTAAGTCTAGTAACTAGGACGGCATGCACTCATCATCTCGGGTAAAGTTACTTTTTGAAGACAAATATATATCGACTAGTGTCTTGATTGATTGGCTAATTGCACAGGTGCTATTATATGCACAGGGGGGGGCTATTTCGTGACAAAAGGAAAAAATTGCGAGGACCTTGAATCTAGACTCTAGTAATTTTTTTTTGTCATCTATTTGGCGGAAGAAACAATCTCTGTGAAAGTTATTAGTAAAAGCCACAACGGGTAGTTGAAAGGATCCACGCACTCTCAACGTCGGCGACGCTCTGCTGCAGAATCTGCTGCAGGACCTTGGGGTTCTCGAGCTCCTTCTGGACCTTGGCGATGATGGAAGCAGCCAGCTCCTTCTGCTGTCGCTGCTTAACCTGGCCCTCGTAGCGGACCCAGGAGTCAAGAACAGTCTTGGCCTCGGCAGCCAGGGCAGTCTTCTGCTCGAGCTCGAAAGCCTCAGCCTCAAGCTTGGCAGTCTCCTACATACGAATATTAACATTTGTCGCAACAACACTAGCCCAGATTCTCAATTCATTGTACCTTGGAGACCTCGAAGAGGGCCTTGGTAATGTCAACAACGCCGCTCATCTGCTTGACGTCCTCAATGCGGGTCTTGACGGCCTCGGTGTGGTCAGCGCGGGCGCTGTTGAGGATGTTCTTGATCTTCTCGTTCTGAGCCTCGGCCCACTCCTTGTAGGCAGGGCCGCCGTACTTAAGCAGACCAGTCCAGACGGCCAGCAGGCAGACCGCAACGACAGTCTCCTCGTTCATGACGTAGTACTCATTGCTGAGGGCGTAGACGCTGAGACCGGCGGCACCGCTGAGGAAGGCGGACTTGCTGATCAGGTTGTTGCCGGGGAGGGCATCGATGATGCTCTGGGCCTTCTTCTTGGGCTCCTCGGCGGGGACGTTGCTGGAGTATCGGACGGCAGCAGCAGAGATCGCAGGGGCCGCTCGGCGGGAGATGGAGGATCGGAGGAGGGGAGCGCCTATATTGGTTTGCAAATTGCGCACTTGGTCAGCCTTCGGCTTCGCACCAATTGGGGCCTGGGGCGTCAGCGGAATTTTTGCGACGGCGATTCACATACCGACAGCGCTTCGTACCAAGCGAGACGCCATTGTGAGATGGTTTCGGACGGGGTATCTCGGCCTTGTCATATAAATCGGATCGGAAGCTGGGAATGAGGTTTGAGGTTTTATCGCGCTAGTTCGGTAACACGTTGGAGTCACGTGAGGCTGGAGTTGCTTTTGCTTGGGGAGCAATGAAATTGGCTTTTTAGCCGAGCTTACTCCGAATTGAAGTCTTGAACTGGATAAAAAAAAGGAACAGACAGTTCATTGGCTGGAAATTTCAAGGCCCAGTGAAATTTCCATGTTATCTTTTCAGCGATAAGAATTTCTGGTGCTTCTCAGACCAAATCTCAGCTGGTAAACAACTTGTGACTGGCCTAATATTGCGTTTCTCTTGAAAACACATCAAAGGAGTTTGAATTTCACAATTCTTTAAAGAATCTCATTGCTCAATTCTGCTCATCCAATAACTATTCCAGCCCATCATGCCTGCAGGCTCTCAGGACAGCGCGAAGCGCAAAAGGGCTTCCACAGGCAAGGTCACCAAAGTCGCCAAGAGGCGGCTTTCATCAGATGAAGAGGCCGAAGACCTAAACGGAAAGATCTTGCTCATGGAACAGGGCATTCTGGAATCCAAGAAGAACTACAACGATATTGCCAACCTTCTCAGCATCGCCAGTGGCTACGAAGATGGAGAGGAAGAGTCAACACTGGCCGCGGTAGCTTTATGTCGAATTTTCCTAAGATTACTGGCTCAGGGTTCTCTTGTCGCAAAGAAAAATCAGTCGGAGAAGGAAGCTGTGGTCTTCAGCTGGCTAAAAGACCAGTATTCACAGTACAAGTCTCTTCTGCAGGACATGCTTAAAGACAAAGATCTGGCCGTGACTGCACTCACTCTCTGCATGAGGACTCTGAAAGCAGAGGGAGAGCATCTTCACAATAAAGAAGAATACACCTTCCCTCAGGCCTTTCTGGAGGGCATTGTTGCGACTTTGATTACGTCGGATAGCGACGATGTGGGAAAGGCATTCCTCGAGTCATACGTGGAAGAGTTCGACGACATTCGATACTACACATTCAAATCAGTAAAGTGAGTAAATGCAACGGCAACTTATTTTCACAATTACGATACTTACTTGTATATAGGACAATTCTGGGGCGATTCAACAAGGATGATATTCCAGACGGCTTGTTCGACCGAGCGTTTGCTTTGCTATCAGCCCTGGATGGAGTTCCCCAGTCCGCCGAGGAGCTTGAGGACTTTTACATCCCTCGTCCTAAAAAGAAATCTCATAATCTAAGATCGGCTATCCAACACAAGCGACAGGGACAAGACGCTTGGTTAGCTATACTGAGCATTGTCCAGAGCAAAGATGAGCGGAAACGCATCCTCAGCGTCATATCCACAAACATCGCCCCCTGGTTTACAAGACCCGAGCTTCTATCCGACTTCCTCACCAGCTGTTACAATGCAGGCGGCTCAATGTCCTTATTAGCCCTCTCCGGTGTCTTTTACCTCATCCAAGAGCGGAACCTAGACTACCCATCATTCTATCCCAAACTTTACTCACTCCTCGACAAAGACATCCTTCACTCCAAGCATCGCTCTCGCTTTTTCCGTCTTCTGGATACTTTCCTTGCCTCGACTCATCTTCCCGCTGCTCTTGTTGCCAGCTTTGTCAAGAGACTTGCCCGGCTCTCATTAAACGCTCCCCCGAGCGCCATTGCTACCGTTATCCCTTGGACTTACAACCTCTTAAAACGTCACCCAACCTGCACATTCATGATTCATCGAGTTGTGCAAGACCCGGAATTGAAGAAGCATATCCAGGACAATGGCGCAGACGATTCCTTCGACCCCAAAGAGACAGACCCCATCGAGACCGGCGCCATTGATAGCTCCCTGTGGGAGCTTGTTCAGCTGCAGTCGCACTATCACCCGAATGTTGCAACCATTGCAAAGATCGTTTCCGAGCAGTTCACCAAGCAGTCATACAACATGGAAGATTTCCTCGATCACTCTTACGCTAGTGTAAGTGCATTTGCCAAATTCTTCTATCAGTAGTACATGCCAATTAACATCTGTATTTATAGTTGCTTGATGCGGAGATTGGAAAGGAAATCAAGAAAGCCCCCGTGGTGGAATTCCACATCCCCAAGAGGGTTTTCCTGCCCCAAGACGAGCCCGCCACCAACCCAGACAGCCTGTTGGTGAAGCTGTGGGACTTTGGAGAGCCAGCGAATGGTGTCGCGGCTGCATAGGCAGAGTCAGGATATGTATGCAGTAGCGCATGCATGGTGACCAGTGCAGTTATCACTTGACATGCGCATATGGAATCGGAGAATAACGATTGGCCCGCAGGCCAGCAAAGAGGAGGGTCCCGAGGCCTTGGAAATTGTAGAATTAATTACTGCCGCGATGTCGTATATACCAAGTTGCTTCTCGTTTTTATCCACGTCTCGTCACTCTGTGTTGTAGACATGATGCTTATCGTATACACATCTTTACAAGGAGTAAATAGGCAAATTCAATGGCGTACCAACCTACTTATCTTGGGCACGGATCGTCGGCCAGCAGCAACTGGAGCAGGTGCTCCGAGGAAATTCCAGTGCCCGTTGGTGAGCTGTTTGTGGAGACGGCAGATTTAGTACGCAAAACTTTATCTGAAGAGCTCATGGTGACGGAAGCCCATTTTTGGAGGTTCATGACAAAATAACCGACGCAGCAGCAATAGAGACATGGATAACAATAACGACAATAGATGAGTTTGTATGCAATTTAATCATCAAATTATACTTTCAAACATTTCATTATATGATTAGTTTACGAATTTTATATACTTATGCGCCCCTGCGTTTATCGTCATGCGCTCGCGGCTGTGCCGAGACATGTTTGATCTTCGCCTGTCTCATCTATTTTGTCCGCCTTTGGCCGCCGGAACGCCACAGCAAGCAGAGGTGCGCCATCTAGTGGCTGCCCGCTAGCAAACCCCCGCTGGACGATTTCCCCAGCAGCCTAGCCTCGCTAGCTGACATCACTATCCAAGGCATTCGCGCTTCCAACTTCGCCAGGGCCAGCAACCCTGGACAAACAATATCCATGCCAGACACGAATTACGGACAAGACGGCCCCCTATTAGCTTTACTGTCATCACTTTTAACCATTGCGCGGCGACGCAGCAGTGGATGATGGTGCTTCCCGCGTCTCTACGAAGCTGCTGAAAATGTCCAGCAGCAATCCCTTTGCTCCACAGGGCAGATCGGCTGCTTCAGCCGCTGCCAGAGCTGCATCGTCACCTGGGCCAACGTCGCAGCCCACCAGCCATCCGCAACGCCCGCCTAAGAAGCGAAAGGGCCATCGCGGCGGCAAGAAGAAGCGATCGCGGCGGAAGAGCTTTGCGATTCTGCATGAAGACAGCCACGATGAAGGACTGGGCGAGTCGTCAGGCAATGGATTCTACAAGGTGGCGCAGGCCAGCCTCAGCGGCACGAGCATCGACAGCGAAGCGCTACTGGACCACAGGTAAGCACCACCCTCGTGATCATGTCTTCACATGTACCTACATTCCCCTTTGTCTGTGAGTGGACCGGCATGTAACCTCTTCTTTCTTTCTCCTCTTTAGAGAACAGCATCCGATGCGCGTACGGCGATCGTCGACGGTAGTAGGGACCGGCTCTTTTCAGAACCCCTTCTCGTCCGTCAGCGCCAGTCGCCTTCGGTCGATGCAGACGGCGCAAAGCGGCGACGAAAGCCCTTCCGGTCGCTGGGACGAGAACTCTCCGCTATTATCAGAAGCAGCAAGACGTCCTGGATCGCAGCAGGGCGTCCCCAGCTACGGCGCAAGCGATACACGCCTCAACCGAAGAAGTCGCAGAAACTCGAGCTCATCTTCAAGGGCAAGGCTCAGGACAGCTTTTAGCTCAAAGGACAAATATGATGTTAACCACCCGCCCTCTATCCCTGGCTCCCCGACGTTTGGCCCGACAGATGGAATGGACCTCAACTTTGGCGATGTTATGATAAGAGATGAGCTCGGCATGGAGAGCGGCGATGAGGCGATGTCGGAAGCCGGGCAGGGCCGTGATCATCGAACTAAAAGTGAAATGAGGCTAGCTCCTGAAGTCTCCGGCGATGTCTGTTTCCCTGGGCCTGGAATGTCCGATATAGGCGATGATGAGGCTAGATATGAGACTCCGCGGTACAGAACACGCCGTCGCCGTGGCCGGTGGCCAGACTTGTCTGTGCTAGAAGACTGGATGCGTTACGAAAAGGAAGACCGCAGCGATGAGCGACGAGTAAAGAAGATCACTGAGCCACAGCTCATCAACGGCCGTCTGCGCCCGGTCCGAAAGGGCTGGTTCCAAACCGATGAGGAAGCGCCTTACAGATTTACCTATTTCAATGAAGAATTCCAGAGCACGGTCCACAGCCAGACCATCTCAGAGCTCGTTCAGCAAGGCAGCGATTTCCAGGAATTATTCATTCCCGAGCCGCGCGTATTGTCGTCTGACGAAGAGAGCGAATCGGAAGATATCATGTCCCAGCCATCTAAGGCGCGATATTCCGGAGATGGCTTCGAAGGCGATACAAAACCCTCTACGCGGCAAGCCTCTTTTGACAATAGGAGAGAGGACTTTATGTCGCCGCTTGCTCGGGGCGAAACTAATAGTAGCTCAAGGTCCGCCTCGGTTCGTGGTGGAAACAAATCCCCTGACAATCATCTTACACCCAAGATTAGCAATCCAGAAGTGCCGAAAAACTCTGAAAAGCAAGTTCGATATGGGGAGAGGCCGGTATGGTGGCTTGACGTACTCTGCCCGACAGAAGATGAGATGAAGGTCTTAGCAAAAGCCTTTGGCATCCATCCCCTAACAGCCGAAGACGTCATGCTACAAGAGGCTCGCGAGAAGGTCGAGCTATTTCGACATTACTACTTTGTCAATTACCGCACCTTTGATCAGGACATTCACAGCGAAAATTTCTTGGAGCCCGTCAACATGTACGTCATTGTCTTCCGCGAGGGAGTTTTGAGCTTTCATTTCTCGCCCACGCCACATCCGGCCAATGTCCGTCGACGAATACGACAACTAAGGGACTATCTGATACTCTCGTCGGATTGGATCTCGTATGCTATTATTGACGACATCACCGATGTTTTCCAACCGCTCATTCAGAATATCGAGGATGAAGTTGACGAAATCGACGAGGCAATCTTGCAACTGCACACATCAGAAGTTAAGCGACTGCAGGATGAAAAATTTACAAATCTCGACGATGCTACGACGATTGCAGATTCGAGTGGTGACATGCTTCGACGTGTTGGAGATTGCAGAAAACGAGTCATGAGTCTGTACCGGTTGCTGGGCAATAAGGCGGATGTTATCAAGGGATTCGCAAAACGCTGCAATGAACGATGGGAGGTTGCCCCAAGGTCGGAAATTGGCCTCTATCTTGGCGATATTCAAGATCATATCGTGACTATGACCTCTAACCTTAGTCACTATGAAAAGTATGTAGCAAGCCCTCTTCCTTCTTTTTTATTCCTCCTTTGTTTAAACCAGCTAACACTTCTTTTTCTTTTAGGATACTAGCTCGATCTCACGGCAATTATCTTGCGCAGATCAACATTCGTATGAATGAGCGACAGGAGCAGACCGCCGACGTGCTCGGCAAGCTCACCGTCCTAGGAACCATTGTTCTCCCCATGAACATCATCACCGGTCTCTGGGGAATGAACGTGTGGGTGCCAGGGCAGGACGTTGAAGGTGACCTCACCTGGTTCATGTGCATCACCGCCGGTTTGCTCGTTTTCGGGCTGGCGTGTTATTTGATCGCAAAGAGGGTGTATAACATTGTTTGAGAGCCGTCTCCTCTCAAAGGAAAGTAAACAAATGGGTAATAGGGCAGGGGAGGCGTTATAGGGGTGATCATTTCTCTTTTTCTTTTGTTTAGTGGCATCCTGTTGGATCTGGATCAGAATGGAAAGCAATAGAACAGAGTATGGGAGGGAGTGTCAAGGCGTGTATATCAAACCGCCACTACTACCCGCGCGCGTTAACACGTTTACATTTACGTATGGGGCAAAGCTTTTTGAGTATTTCATATCAGTATTATTTTAGTTAGCGTTGGTATTGTTCGTTTCTCGAAAAGAATCGTCTCATCTTTATTGCAGTTCATGATCAGTCCAAAACCTAGAGCATCTACAGTGTATGCTTCTGATGTTTTTACCCACCAGCATCTAAAGTTGAATTTCTTCTCTTTTCCATGTCTCTCATTGTCACAGTCTATTGAGAAATCGTTCTGAATGCGATGGAGAAGGAGACACAGACGATGGGTATTTATTGTTGTAGTGCTAAATGGCTTGGGTCTAGAATATGGTGAAAAATTGCGAAATGTCTAGGGTAATCTTGCTGATAAAACAATGCAAACATGCCATAGTTGACGTGACCATGGGAAAATAACCTTTTAACTACAGCTACAGATGTGTTTTATTCGATTTCAATTCAGGACTATCGTGATGAGCCGTTCTCGATGTCCTCCCCCACTACTACACTAATATATCCTGGACACCTATTCAGCTACCAAAGAGTAATCTATTTTGTCCTCTCCCTCACTCATCTCTTGTGGGACCGGTCTTGCAGCTGTTACAATTTGAACCTCCCACAAGACCTCTCATGAATAATGTTTCCCCCCTCCGTCTTGCTGACTTAGATATTGAGATATTGTATCAAAGTCATAAGCCTTATCAGGATTGAAATGCGCATGGCGTCTTATATACAGGGCGCAATGTCGTCTGGTCCCAGTAGTCTTCGCCAGTGAGAATTACCGTTACACGCAGAGCTTGTATGTCTATATGGCGTCCCAAACCCTGGGGTATTTCTGCGTAACCAATGCATCTAGTAGCAGTAATTACTTTTTTTTGGTTTGGCGTATGTGCCTCGTGATCGTGGCGCTGAATGTACATTCAACAATAGTTCGTTTGTTGATATTGGATATTATTAGCGCCGCTGACCAGCAAATGTGGCTCTGAGAGCCATAATTTGCTGCCTATCAGCCTCTGGAAGCATGTCAATCTGAGCCTGGGGAAGCTCCATGACGGCCCGCATCAGAGCATCCGGGTCTTGACCCATGGCTGGAGGAGCTGCCGCAGGTGGTGCCGCCGGAGGAGCATAACCCGCGTTATTTGCGGCAGGAGGTGCGTACGGCAATGCGGTAACCGGTGGCGTGTGATTCGCGACAGGGATGCCAGGATATCCAGCAATGGGTGCCGGTGGGTAGTTGGCGGCCGGTGGAGGTGGCGCGTTCGGGTCAACCACAGACTGGATGGCCTCGGGAGACACGAGACCCATCAAAAGCAGTGACTGGAAGACGGCGTAGGCCAGCTGAGGGGCCTGTTGAAGAAGCTCTGTCGCTCGCTGAGGTTCTGATGTGGCCAAAGTCTTCATCTGACTTAGGATATCCAGCAGCTGGGGTGGTGGTAAAGTATTGAGTGTTCTTGAGATGGCATCGGTGCAAGTCAAGCCTGGTGGTATCTCTTTTCCAGCTGGAAGTGGAGGAAGGGGTGTTGATTGAGTGTTGTATCCCGAAGCAGCGCCGCCATTCGAGGCACCTGTATTCTGACCGGGTGTCTATAAAGTCAGCGACCGTTGGCTCCGGCAGAGGTTGGGCAGAAGCATACTTGGCCATCATCATCAGTGCTCTTTTGTTCGTTAGAAAAATCGACTCGAAGCTTTCGGCCCATAATTTCATATTCGTTCAGGTTGCGGACAGCTGAGGAAGCAGAGTCTGCAAGAGGGTATGATTAGCTATGCGATGTCTGTTGGTGAATGTGTTGGATGGGGGGCATATCGAACCGGTATCGGGATAGTCTGCAAATCCGAATCCTTTGGGTCGCCCAGTTTCCGAGTCGTAGACAAGGCGGAAGCGTTCTACTTTTCCAGCACTGCTGAAAATGTCTGTGATTTGCTCCTCGGAGAGGCCTGGAGTACCGCTGTTAGCCATAGGTCCGAGTCGGGTAGGCGCATCAGTTGTGCCCATTGGCCTGTCCATGACTGACCGTACGGGATGTTTCCCACAAACACGACCCTTGAAGGAGGTCTAGTCGACATATTGGCGGTTCGGGGGGGTTTAGAGGCAGATTTGGACGAGACTTTAGGCAGCGTTTTGAAGATTCGGTACTATGATGCTATCGCGATTTCGAATGGAAATATTCTGTCTATTTTCGGTAGTGCGTATATCGTAGTGAATAAGCTTTCAATAGTTTAGTTCGGACAAGCTGAGAGACGCCAAATGGAGCACAAACGGGTATCTGTGGTTGGTTGGGAGGAGACAATGACGAGGCTGCGAGATGCTGAGAGAGAACTTCGCGTTTGCTTGAAAGTCTATGCCTTCACTGCGCCAGAATAGGCAATGGAGCACTGCGGCAGGCGTCAGCCGAGGATTCGCCGGCGACCCCCCTGGCCACTATAGCCCGCATTAGCTCAGGGCCTTATGGCGAGTCTAGACGCCTGTGCCCGGGGTCGGGTGCTATGCAACAGGTACAAGTGGGATTAGTAGTCAGCTTCAGGTATTGTTGCGACAGGTGGCCTCAAGACATTTTAACAACGTCGCTTCTGCCACCCGCTTCTGCGCCACTGCCCTCCTCTGTGGTCTCTCGCTATCGATGCAATTGCAGAGAGAGAACCATCCGCTTGCTTCTGGTTTCTGCGAGCTCTCCCTAAGGACTGCGCTCTAGCGGGATAGAACCGCCGCGCTGTTCGCACAGGCAAACCTGTTGGCTGGTGGTACCTTGTCAACTGCGTTTCTGGCTGCATATTCGCAATGGCTCCCAAGTCGCGATTCACAAGGCTCGATGCCTTTACAAAGACGGTGGATGAAGCGCGGATCCGGACTACTAGCGGCGGAATTGTAACAATTGTGTCGCTGCTGGTTGTGCTGTTCCTGTCTTGGGGAGAATGGTCTTCGTATCGGCGCATCGTGGTACACCCAGAGCTGGTGGTGGACAAAGGCAGAGGTACGTAAAGGAACCCAAGCTGCGCATTGGAGCCATTGAGATGTTGGGCTAATACGGCTACGAAGGCGAGCGAATGGACATTCACCTCAACATGACCTTTCCCAACATGCCCTGCGAGCTGCTGACTCTGGATGTCATGGACGTTTCGGGCGAGCAGCAGCATGGTGTCGCCCACGGTATCACCAAGCTTCGTCTGCAGCCCCCATCACGAGGTGGCGGTGTGATTGAAAGCAACTCGCTGGCCCAGCTGCATGAGAAGGCCGAGCATCTGAACCCCGACTACTGTGGTGGCTGCTACGGAGCTACTGCGCCTGCTAACGCTGAGAAGCCCGGCTGCTGCAATACCTGTGACGAGGTTCGAGAGGCCTATGCGCAGGCATCGTGGGCCTTTGGCCGAGGCGAGGGCGTGGAGCAGTGCGAGAGGGAACATTACTCTGAGCGATTGGACCAGCAGCGAGAAGAGGGTTGCCGCATTGAGGGCTTGTTGCAGGTCAACAAGGTTGTTGGAAACTTCCATCTTGCCCCCGGCCGAAGCTTCAGCAATGGAAACATGCACGTACACGATCTCAAGAACTACTGGGACCTCCCTAACGGCATGAAACCTCACGATTTTACTCATGTCATCCACTCTCTGCGATTTGGACCACAGCTGCCGCCAGAGGTTATTGCGCGAATGGGCCGCAGGGTTGCGTGGACCAACCACCATCTCAATCCTCTGGATGGAATTCACCAGGAAACCAGCGATCCCAACTTTAACTACATGTACTTTGTCAAAATTGTCCCCACGTCGTATCTTCCACTCGGCTGGGAGCAAAAGTCCGCCCACGCATCTGATGGCAGTGTTGAGACACACCAGTACTCCGTTACAAGCCACAAGCGAAGCCTGATGGGAGGTGACGACGCCAAGGAGGGTCACGCTGAAAGACTGCACTCCAAGGGTGGTATTCCCGGCGTGTTCTTCTCATATGTAAGCATCTACAATACTACTTACATGATAGTGCAACTTTTGAAAGCTAACAATGTACGTCTAGGATATCTCCCCTATGAAAGTTATTAACCGAGAAGAGCGGGCCAAGACATTCCTTGGCTTCCTATCTGGACTTTGTGCGATTGTCGGCGGTACCTTGACGGTTGCTGCTGCGGTTGACCGTGGCTTGTTTGAGGGTGCCAGCAGGCTGAAGAAGCTTCGATCTAAGGATATGTAAGAGAGCATGGTCAAAGACGTCCCGTTGTAGATTGCTTCTGTGGGACTCTTGAGGCGTATGGACCATTGGCGTTTTGGATGGAATATTTTTTTTTTCTTTTACTTTTTTGAAAAGGGGATCATTGAAAGTATATAGATCGATATATGATGATTAGGAACGAGTCAATTGGACTTGGGCGGCAGTGATTAGCATTTGCAGTGGTGTTTGCAACTCTACCATTAGTCATATTCCGTTAATTGCGTGTTTGGATTCTCTCCAGATCTTATTGCAGTTCAATGATCTTAATTTTTTTGGACATCTTGGTACCTCCTTGGTCACAATGGAAGGCATCGGTCCCAGTATCCATTCGGCTATGGCGCCTAGAACATTCTGCGTGGGAATACGAAGCGTGCGTCTGTTTCACAGCCTCGACTTGGATCCCGTTACTCCAAGTATAGGTACTGTGAGTATGAGCTGGCAATAGCTAACGCACAACTTTAGCAGTATGCGGCAAAACAGATTGCTTTGCTGAAGCTATCAACACAGCTATCTTGACCGGAGATCCAATATTATATAAATAGATTCATGGTGGATTCTTATGCCAAACTAGGAGATACCACTAGTGGCAGCAAATCCCGGAACTCGGCTGTGGCCCTCGTGACCATCAAGAGAGCTTACCACAGCTACCAGGTAGATACCTATTATTGTAACAGCAGCAGAGAGCAAAAACCGGCGATATCGTGTCTTTCACGAGCTGCAGAGCTCCATCAAGCTCAAGCATCGTCTCCCGAGACCGGATCGCCCTGCATTGGTCTCAGAATCATATGCGGCGCCCTGTGTTTTGGCATTTGCACCGCCGCTGTTTCATCCGTTGCCGTGGCGGAGCCCGCATGTGACAAGCCTGCGACGCCAGAAACGGGCTTTTTGTTTTGTTTTCGACAGCGGTCTTCAGATGGAATCCAAACTTTACGGCGCTGGAATTGAGAAGAGATGAAGAAAAGCCATGCATGGGCTACGGGACACACACCCCTAGCTAGAAGCGGTGTATCATGATCATGGTTGACCTCATCGTGCATGCACTGCCGATATCAGTGGGTGATGCCATGTGCGACCATGCTTCGATGAAGATGGATCAGAGAGGCACACGTCAAAGAGCCCAAGGTTAATATTAGCAGCACCAGCACCAGCAGCAGCGCATCGCGTGCATATGCAGCAGCCAGCAAAGAGAGCAGGGGCCAAGTGCTGCCAATCGCATGACATTCTTGTCCATTCTTGTTGGTGGGAGGTCCAATTTGGGCCATGCAATCTACGCAATCGATTTTCCCTTTGTGCCGCCCCTTGCTATAAGCGATCCTCACGATGGATCACGGACAAAGGTGAAATGACTCGGCACCGTCGTTGGCACGGCACTAAAAGGCGAGAACAAAGAGCCATTACGGCCTGACCGCAGCAAATGGGCCAGAGGAGTCCATATTACGGAGCTTCAAGGCACGAAGACGATGATAAAGTGTCGTACTTGGGCATAGTAGCTGTAGCTGGATGTTATTTATAGCTCAGATAGCTTGCAAGAAGCAAATGTTTGCCACGACGACGACGGCGCAGCTGAGCTGCTTGCGTAAGATTTATGCGTTATTGCTGCTGCTGCTATTGCCACTGAGGGGCAGCGATGTAAGGTACAGTAATAGCGGGCAAGCAAAGCGTCAGTTGACCGATATCTGTAGCAACCATTGATTTTGTAGGCGCTGTTAATAGCATAGCAGTACGAGAAATCCTTTCCCATTAACTGTAACTGAAAGCTTGATGGGGATGGATGCGCGCCGAGGCACATTTAAATTCAAAAAATTTGCTAGTCTGCATGCAGGAAATAAGGATGGCCCAATTTAGCCTCTCCGTGCATGTTTTAAAATGATGGAGGCGCCGCCGCTCACTGGCCAGGCCCCCAGAAAAAAAGGGACCCGGTGGCTGCTCCCAATTTATTGAGCCCAATGCACCCCAGACGATGGCAGTCGCCGGCGCACCCAATGATATGCCAAGGGTCCCTGAGAGGGGTCCCTGAGCCTCGCCCAATCTGGCCTGTGTAGCAGTCTGGCCTTCTGGGGGAGAAGATACCGTGCAATCCTGGCATTTGCGCGTATAGATAGCTGCTTCGTACCTGGGCATTTACGAGACGCGTGTGGCTGTTTGTGGCTTCGATTGAGGTCAGTGTGATGAGATGTTTGCCGTTGTGGCCTGCTCAAAGCAAAATGTCAATTTAATAGGCACCTTGGTACATACGTAGATAGTACCTTAGGCATAGGTATCCATGCCAATTGGGACTTTGCGGGTGGTGGTGTAAACTGTTGGGGGATCGTAGCGAAAGTCTGATGACTTGCAGGCCTCTATGTTTGGGGTCAGACACACGCTGGGGAGATTGCCCGAGATTAGGTGCTTTGGTAATGCTAGCCACTGGCCAGGAACATCAAGCCACGAGAGCCGGGGGCAACGCTGCATGTGTATGATGCATCCATGAATCAATGTCTTGAAAGCAGTATGGTGGTGTCGACAAGAACTTACAGCATGCAAGTAGCGGTACTAGTGGCACAGCAACAGCAGATAGATCTCTATAATACGAGCTTATGGGTGTAGATGGCGGCTCATAGACTGCGAGCAGTGGCTCAACCAGCTCAGATTGCCGTCCGCGTACACTGCGCCTAGCTGCTAGCGACAAAGTATATGGATGCCAATACGAAGCGATAGTGCCAAGCAGCAAAGTCCCGCCATACCAATCTCGACCACCTGTGCTGTTCCAATGCCTGTAAATTTCCGCCGATGCTATTGCCATATCCCTAGGAAGCGCTATGAGCCGAGGACTCAACTCATCCATCCATCTATCACTCTTCTACAGTGCTACCCAAGGCAGCTCCCACGAATACCACCATGCCTGGGTACTAGCTACCCATTATTTTAGCATTACCCCCATCAAACACTAGGGGCCACGGCATAGAGAGCAGCAGAAAAGAGGATCCTAAACCTTCAGCATTTACGCTTCTGTACCTTGAAGTCTAAAGGACAAGCCACCATCTCGGGTTAGTCCTCGTGCTGCCACTAGCCGTGGGTAGCGCAGTACTTGGGCCGCCACCGGCCTCTGGCTGCGCGAGCCCGTACAGAGTACCTGGAGCCGGCCGCAGCTACGGGGGCCGCCACTGGCCTCCTAACCTCCTTTTGCTTCGTATCCATCCACCTCCAGACCCTCAGACCCAGACCCTTCAGACCCTTCAAGCTCTGGTGTTTGTTCCTCCTCCTTTCCTCAGTCCAGCCGCTCGCCTCTCAGACCGCAAGGGAGGCGTCCACCAGTGCGAGCCTCGTTGCCGTGCTTCTTTGAGGCTTGCTTTTGTGCTTCTGTGCCTTGAGCGCTTCGATTCCTGTGTCGTGATCGCTTCGCTTCTCTCTTTGCTTCTCTTCTGCCGCCCTGGTTCTCTCTCTGCCTTCTCCCCGCGACTCGTGTGACAAGAAACGCACGTTGTCGAGCACGGCTTTTCCCTTGCTCCGTATCCTAAACAAGAACAGAGCTCCGTATTTTCTACTTCATACACCACCTTGCCCGGGGCCAGCACCTTTCAACCTCTTTGTTCGAGCAGCCTTCTGCGAGCCTTTGATATCGCGCAGCTGCGTCTCTTCGATTCGTACTTTTTAAACTCACCCCAGTCTATCCTTCTCGCCTTCTCTTCTTTTCGTATTGGACTCTCCTTTGTCGTTTCTACTCTCTTCTTCTTCTTCTTCTTCTTCTTCTTTGACTTGCCTCGGATCTTTCGTGCCGCCCGTCACCGACGCCGACGCTGACACGACCGTCTGAATCGTCATTGATCCTCGCTGGCCTGGTCATCAGAACATCGCCGCACCGCCACATCACCTTGCACCTGCACCCGTGCTTTTGCGCAGCTCCAGCGACGCGAATAGCCCAGCCCGACCGGTCCACGGTGCCCATTCTTTTGCTTCTTGGCCGTTATTTTTGGTATTCTGGTTCTGCGCGTCCCCGCCCAGGCTTTGATGATTGCCGTTACGAGGCTGCTGGCTTTATTTATCTATCCTGTTTAGCACCCTTGGCGCTTGCGCATTCGCTGCTATCTATCCCTTCACCACACAACCCGCTGGACTTGGGCTTTGACCAACATGAAAGACGCCGTGACCAATCGCCCGTCCTTGCTGGACCTGCGATCCCACTCCGCCAACTCTGCCGCTTCTTCTGCCTCCCGACCTTTGCGATCGCCGCGACTCCATGTCGCCGGGGAAGCGCCCCCCGAACTCTCTCCCTTGGACGCCTTCGCCTTGCAGAGTCGCCTGCTGGCTCGACAGCTCCAGGAAACCACCAACAAAGATGGAAATCGCGTTAGTCGACTCCCCCCTCTGACGGCCGAGAGCCCTCTCATCATCCAGGGCCGGTCAGAATACTTCCGATCCATGTCCCAGGACTCGGCATCTGAGCGAGATGAATCTCCTGCTCCTCCGCTTTCTGCTGGATTGGGACTCGTGGAAGACGCCTTCTCGGGCGAAATCGAACGACCAAGATCTATGCACCCGCGGATGAGTCGAATCCCGGCCACTCCCGATGACGGCGTGCCTCCTGTGCCCGAAGATCTACCAGATGTACCAGATATTCCCGAATATGCTCGGGGTCGACGGCTGGGACAGCGCGATGACCCAAATAACTACTTCGGAGCCCGACAAGACCGATCACCTTCACCTCTAGAAAACGATATTCTCCCTCCACTTGATCGCCAGTCAACAAAGTCTCCCATTTCCGGTCGCCCTCAGCCCTCGTCTTTCTCTTCTGCCTTTTCGGATTCCTCTCCTCGGAGGTTCAAACAGAGCTCCCTCGACGAAATTGGCCTGGCACCACCCAGAAGTCTCTTCCCCGGACGCTTTCCGAGCGCTTTGCCCTCTCCTGTACCAACAGAGGAGGACTCATTTGGCAACATGTCCAGTTCGGTTCAGTCGCTGCCTTCCCGAAAACTCTCTTCTGGCAGCGCGGCCCTCCCACATCACATGGCATCTTCTATGATGCCTTCTTTCCAACGATCCCCATCAGCTGCCTCTGAGTCTTCCGCGCTTCCTCGGCCCGCCTTCAACTTTTCTCGACCCATGAGCAGATCTGGAACCCCCAGCTTCGACCCTCCCATTAGGCAGGCTTCGTCAGATAGTCAGCCATCGTTTATACTGGCTGATGAGTCGGCCCAGACCCCGATAAGTATGCACAGTGAAGCCTTTGTGGAGCAGCCAGCAGACGGTAACGGCACTTATGTCTACTCAAAGTTTGTTCTGCCTCGAGGAAAGTCGATCCAGCGATCCGAGTCTTCAGATAACCAGCCCCAAGCGGATGCGCCACCTTCACCTCCTACTCGACCGTCCAGCTCTGCTCGTACCATTCCGGATGATGCTGCTAGTATCTCTAGTGCAATGACAAGACAGCAGAGCGATGCAGGTAAGCTTAGCTTAGAGAGCTCTAGTCGTGGCCCTAGACCTTCAAACGAGTCAAGGCGACACGCCGAAGATGCCTCCAGAGGCAGATCACGGACTTTGCATGCCGGAGAAGCACCCAGGGGTAGGACCCCTGCCTCGATTGGTACGAGCGATTCTGCCAACACGATACGCCCGACCATGTCTGTCCGATCAACAGCGAGCACCACCGCCGGGCCTGCGCCTGCACCTACTGCTGCAGAGATGACGGCTGAAGAGCACCTAGCAAAGGGAATAGAGTGCCACGAGAATGGCTCTTTGAACGAATCAACCTACCACCTCCGACATGCAGCTCGACTCAACCACCCAACAGCAATGCTTTTGTATGCCCTTGCTTGTCGCCATGGATGGGGCATGAAGGCCAACCAGAAGGAAGGAGTGCAATGGCTACGGAAAGCAGCTGATATGGCAAGCGCCGAAGTTGCAGAAGATGAGGGAGGGGCTAAAGAAGGAAAGCGAATCAACGTCGCTGAAAACAAAACTCACAAGGCTCAATTTGCGTTGAGCATCTACGAGCTAGGCGTCAGCCATATGAACGGATGGGGTATTGAGCAAGACAAAGCCCTTGCGCTGCGTTGCTTTGAAATCGCCGGCAGTAAGTTGAGCTGACATACCTCCAATTGTATATTTATGGTTCTGGTCTTTACTAACGGTTTGAATAGCATGGGGTGATGTCGACGCTTTGGCGGAAGCTGGTTTCTGCTACGCTCAAGGAATCGGCTGCAAGAAGAACTTGAAGAAGAGTGCCAAGTTTTACCGAATGGCTGAAGCAAAGGGTATGAGCATGGTAGGAAACAGCTGGTATGTTCCGTCTCTCAATTTCTCTCTTTCTTCGGTTCTCATTAGCAACTGCTAATTCCAGTCGCCTTATAGGATCCACAAGGCAAAATACCAGGATGACGAGGATACCCCTGAAATCCCAAAGAAGGCTCGTGCTCGAAGCAAATCGCGCTCACGGGCAATGTTTGGCAAGAAGCCCGCTTCATAGGCGGACTACTATAATGATGATGAAATCTCTTCGGCCCATTCATCTATACCGGAGTTTTAGGATTTGGTTGTCTCGCTTCAATATTGGGGTCTTTTATCTTTTCTCCCTCTCCCACTTTTGCTCCTTGCCGCCCGACTTTCTTCTCTTCTTCTCTTCTTCTTCTTCTCCCTTTTTCCTGTTTTCTTCTCTTTGTTCTTTGACTCTCAGCATTTGAGTAGGCGGGTTCTCATTTTCGCTTTCACTTCTTGTTCTGTTTTCTGTGCTTTTTTTTTTTTATTTCCATCTCGATATGCTCCTGAAAGCATACTGGGCGCTCGATGAGCCCCTTTTTTCTTGGGACACACTGCTCTAAGCTTGTTTCTTGGAGAAGCTTTGGCTCTTGATTCTTGTAAGAACCTTTTTCTTTTCTGCTTTGCTCTCTGTGGCGTACATATATTTGCATTTCCTTTGTTCCCTTTTTTCTGTAACCCGAGTCCGCATAGAGTGCGGTTGATTTTACTATTTTTGGCCGGGCGTTTGGCTGTTCATATATCCAAAAAGACGTTATGGGAAACGTCTCATATCCAGGACAAATAGGGTGATAACAAAGATAATCCAATAATTTCAAGACCAAAAAAATCTCCAATCTCCTTTATTATCCCGTTGAATTGATTCGAAAAGCTGTATCATTATCATGGCTTTGGAAATCTTCTCTCCAGTCTCCCTTTCTATCTTATGAATGGGTCGAAACAGTGTATCATTATCATAGCTTTGAAATTTTATTGGGTTTCTAGTCTGTTAACTATTTCGCGGATAAAGCACAGTATCACGTCCTAACCGCCCGCTACCCCTTCCCCATCTTTAGGTATCAACGTCCATCTTCTCGCCCTCAACCGGTAAGTCGTGTACTGTGACAAATCGCTTAAGATCGGCCTTGTTGATAACCTTTTCGTTTAAGACAGCAGTGGTGCCCTTCTCGAAGCGATAGCTCTGCAGCTTCGCGCTCTTCTCGTTGGGCTTGATATAGTTTCGTAGCAGGGTAGTCTTCTCCTTGGTAATGACGGCAACGTCGACGTTGGAACCAGAGCCCAAATCGTTCCAGATACCGGCCAGAATGGCGTCGCTGCACAGCTTGACGGCCTCATCTCGTGACAAGTCCCCCTTCCACTGCGTCTCGAAGACGCTCATGGCAGCAAGACTGCCGGATCCCATGGTGACGTAGGGAAGCTTGTCTGTGCTGCCGTGGGCGTGGACGGTGAAGAGGTGGGTGCCGGTAGGGTCGCAGCCGGCGACGACGAGGTACGCGCCAATGTGGCCCTGGTAGCGGAAGAGGTGCTGCTTGAGGAGGGTCATGCAGGTGACGACGCGGGGCTTGCGGCCGGTGGAGAGGGAGTGCAGCTCGAGCTGGGAGGAGATGAGGGCGGTGGTGAACTCGGTGTCGGCGGCGGTACCGGCTCCGGCACACCAGATCTGGGGGGAGATGTAGTGAAGCTTCTCGCAGTTCTTGTCGGCGACGATAGGGCCGGAGGTGGCTCGGGTATCAGCAGCAATCTGTTTGTTTGAGTCTTGTCAGCCAGATGTGCCTTTGGCTATGTGATGCTCTGTCTTCTGCTTCGTATTCAGGGAGGGGGAGGGGTGATTGATTATGCAGAGGAGCAACCGTAGCAGAAGAGACAGCATCTTTGCCCACTCACCACAACGCCACCGTCGAAGATGCAGCCGACAATGGTTGTTCCTGTGCTGGTCGCCTTCGGTAGAGGCACTCCGCGGGCATGCAGGGCCGCATTGCGGTTGTAGTTGGAGAAGTCGAAGCCCGGCATCTTGAGGCTGTTGTGGGTGCCTTTACGACCAGTCGTGCTGGTCTCGTCTGTTTCTCGTGTATACCAGGTTGCAGGTTTTAACAGCCGTGGAGCATCAGCATTAACTGTATCGTACTGTCGCCCTTCAATGCTTGGTGGTACGTCGATTTGGTGAAGCTCGCAGGCTGGAGATGGTCGATGGTTGGTTATAGTGCCAGTAGCTGATGACGAGGCTAAAAGCTGCCTTCTGCCTTTAGGCACCTTGCTTGCCAACGACTTTGGCTGGGCAAAGTCACCGAGCACTAAATTCTAGCGCACAAGGTACAAGCTTCCACCTACAGTGCCTTATAGCGCTGCTGTTCCCCTCTATAAAAGACCACCCCGGCACAGCTGGCAACGCATCTGATTGGACAGCTGCCTCGCCTGTGGGCAGATGGAGCGCAGCTGCACGCGCCATTGGCTCAAGCTGTGCGAACCCACGTGATTCCACCCAAGAGCTCCCAAAAAGTTGGACTTCGCATGCAAGGGTCGCGAGAATGGTGCAGGCGGCGCAGTTCCCGTTGCACCTCCAATCGCACCTCTTGCACAGTCCGCTACAGCAGAACAACCGACGCGTCTTCTCGCCTCACCGATTCTTCGCCGCGCCCTCGCCCTTCTCGCGGTCTCTGCCTCCGAATTGGGCCCCGGCAGCTCCAGGCGCAGCTTCAGCTTCTGCCGGCAGGAGCTCCAGCGACGACGGGACTTTGCAGCGCGGCGCCGCAGACCCATGTTCGTCTGCGAGTCGGATTGTAAAAGAGATTCGGAGCTCGTCTGAGCCGACGACGACAATGGCGTTTGGATTCAACGCTTCGAACAACACCATGAATGGGGGCGCCGGAAATGTCATTGCAGGCCCTGACCTGGAAACCATTCAGACGGAGGTGAGTAACAATATCTTTCTTTGTTGCTTGGCTGCTTGATTTACTGCAATTTTTTTTTTCCTTTTGTTGTCTTTCTGTTGAATGGGCAACCAAAAGTGACGATCGAACCATTGACACGCAAGTTCTTATACATGTAGGCCCTCGGCTTCCTGGCCATTGCTGGCGATGCCAAAGTGCGCCTCACTTCTCCCTGGGAGTCGCTTCCTACTCCCACATCCTCGCTCCTAAGCGTTGCCTCGAAGAGAGGCCTGGTTGCCGCCGCCGGCCCTGACCAGGTCATCATCGCCACCACTGAGTCGATTCGGAAAGCCTTCGAGGGACCCAAAAATGGCGATTCGGATATTCGAAGCTTCGAGCCGCAGCTCAAGATCCCCATGCCCATGCGGGTGTCGCAGCTCGTGTTTACCGCCGACGAGAATTACTTGGTGCTATCAGCGGAATCTGGTGGCGGCCTTGCCGTTTACGAGGTGCAGAGCCTTCTGCAGGGATCTTCCAATTCCGCGTTTGAGTTATCGACGAATGGGGAGGCATTGAGGTCGCTGGTACCAAATCCCATGGTGCCAGAGCTCTTTGCTATTGTCACCAGCGGTGGCAATCTCCATATCGCAAACCTCCAGGAGCGGAAAATCAGCAACGCGCTGAAGAGCCAGGTTAGCTGTACTGCTTGGAGCTCCAAAGGCAAACAGCTTTGCGCCGGATTGGCTGATGGAACTATTCACCAAATGACGCCTGAGGGAGAGGGCAAGGCCGATATCCCCAAGCCTCCCAATATGGGCGACTGCCATGGTAAAATCATTAGTCCCGAAGGAATGAAAAGAAGTATTAATGCTAACAACTGAGTAGTATCATCACTCACCTGGCTTGAGAATAACCTCTTCCTTGCCATTCATACAACTAACGACACTTCTCCCTCTTCAGTCTACCACATCATTACACGCCAACTCCCCTCAACCTTCACCTTCCAGAAGCTGATGGATCCTGTTGACCCGTTTGGAGCTGAGAAGATGCCCCACCATACCATACTGAGACTGAGAGACTTCCCTCCCGATCTTCAGGATCTCCTCATTGTTTCATCTAAAGCAACAGCTGATATCGGTCTGTTGACTCGATCCAAAAGCCCTCTTGCAAGCGATAAGCCTGCCGAATCTATCACAGGCGTCTTTACGACTACCGAACTACTCGATGACTCTAAGCGACCAACCCTTCCATTGACTGAAAGCATGGATGATTCAACCACCATTGGAATTGCCCTGGACCTATCTAGCAAGGACAAAGTCTATAAGCCTATACCGTCGGATGAGGAGCTTGAAGAATCGCCAACGCCTTTACCAGGATTCTGGGTTCTGACTCACGAAGGTGTACTCTGCTCTTGGTGGATCATCTATAATGACTCTATCAAGAAAGGCACCGCCTATCCGGGGTTGACGGCAATTCAAGGCGATGCGGTCCCCATGTCAGCATCAACGCCAGCCGCAGCCGCAACCGCAGCTGCAGCCTCACCCTTTGCCAGCTCACCCTCACCCTTTTCCCAGCCCACTTCAGCTGCTCCTTCTTTTGGATCTTCGGCACAGCTGGGCCAAAAAGCCTCTCCGTGGGGATCAGGGGGGGCAGCCGCTGCTACTACGCCAAGTGGCGGAGGAGCTTTTGGATCAAGCACGTTTGGCTCAGCAGCACCGGCCGCTGCATTTGGAAAGTCGAGCGCTTTTGGTCAATCGGGCCAGCTAGGCATGCGAGCCAGTCCTTGGGCCTCTGCTGGCGCCGGCGTGGGAGCAGGAGCAGCAGCAGCCTCCACCCCAGCTTTTGGCCAGTCAGGCTTTTCCAGCTTTGCGAACAAAGCCCCTCAAAGTCCATTTGGAAGTACTGCTGCAAGCGCTGCTCAACCCTCTGCGCCCGCTTCATCGGGAGGATTCGCCGGGTTCGCCTCTCAAGGAGGATTTGCCTCTCTTGGTGGTAGCAATACTAATACTACAGGATCTAGTGTTTTTGGCAGCGGTGGTAAGCTGGCTGGAACTGGAAGCGCATTCGGAACTGGAGGCGCGTTTGGATCTGGTTCAGAAGACACGGCCTTCTCAGCAAAGCCCTCGGAAAGTGCCTTTGGAACTACCCAAGACAAGTCAGCCGGCAGTGTTTTTGGATCCACTCCATTTAAACTAGAAAGTTCATTCAAGCCTGATCCATCTGCTCAAGAAGATAACAAAACACCTGTACCCTCTGGATCGTCAATGTTCGGGTCGGCCTTTGGATCAGCCCTCAACGATGCCGAAAACAAGGTCCCTGACGAAGACATGGATACTGGCGAACCTTCCGAGTCTGCGCAAGCTGAATCTACAACCCCTTTAACAACACCCGCACCGGCAAGATTCGGTGCGCCGTCCTCAGCCACTGGGACGACTTCAGTTTTCGGTCAACCAAGCAAACCTGCCGCTACACCTGGACTTTTTGGTGCCAATACGGGTGCTCCACAACCTACAGCGACCGGACTATTTGGATCAGGAGGCACCACCCCCAAACCAGCAACTGGCGGCTTATTTGGAGCCAAAACTGAGCCAGCCAAATCTGCATTTGGATCAACATCTTTTGGAAAGCCTGCGGCTGAGGCTCCTGCAAACAAAGGTGGGGACACAGACGAGACACCTCTTCCTCCAGATGCAACGAGCAAGTCATCTTATCTAATCGGTGATTCTTCAGATTCATCCGCCACATCGGCCGCTTCTAGCCCTTTCGGAAACGGCACAGCCTCGAAGCAAAGTAGCCTATTTCCTTCAGATAAAACTGCAACGGTAAAGGAAAACCCTTTTGCCACTACTACGTCAAAGAATACGGCAACAAGACCCAATCCTTTCTTGACTGGCACCAAGCCTTCGGAGGAGAAACCAACAGTAATCGAAGACGCCCCTCTACCCCCTGATCCAACTAAGGCAAGCATTTTCTCCAAAGTAGCACCTTCGGCATCACCGGCGAGCTTCGCGCTCCCTACATCTAAGAATGGAGCTCCTATTCCAGAGTCCGATGAAGAGGATGAAGAGGATGAAGAGGGTGAAGAGGATGAGGAAGAAGAGGAAGACTTAGAGGAAGAAGAAGCGGAAGAAGAAGAAGAAGAGGAGGAGGAGGAGGAGGAAGAGGAAGAAGAGAGCGAGTTGGATGACAATGCATCTGAGGGTAGCGGCATTGATGTAGCTGAAGACCTTAGCCCTACACATACTCCGGAACAGCAACGATCACGACCACTCTTTGGGGAGCTCAGCCAGAGCGCATCCGCGGTTCCCCAACTAGGCACCCCGAACGTTCGAGTACCCGGCGCCTTGCAAGGCGGATTGGGCAACCGCGCACTTTTGTCGGATGCCACTAGATCCACCAGCGCACCGGGCGTGGCTCCTCAGGCACAGGGTCCTAAGCGTGCGCAGCTCGTTGCATCAACAACTGCAGGTAAAGCCAAGACTGCCACTGAAGACTCATTCGTCAAGCAGTCAAGAAAATTACGAGAGCGACAACAGGCCGAAGAGGGTCGAGTATTGATTGACGAAGAGGATGAAAGTGTACAAAGACTCCTCGCATCTGAGGTTGAAGGTAAACTAGTACTGGATGAATTCATTGCTCACTCAAATGTTGCGCCTCCTGCCCAGGAGAGCATTCCTGCGCAGGTCGAGGCTGTTTACCGAGACATCAACTCAATGATTGATACCCTTGGACTCAATGCTCGGTCTGTAAGAGCCTTTACAAAAGGCCATATCGATAACCGCATTCCAGATGGAAGAACGCCGGACGACCTCGAAGATCCAGACGATTGGGTTCTATGTGAAATTGGTGACCTTGGGGAGATTCTCGATATTGAGCTTATGGGCGACTTGGAGGATGGTCGGGTACAGGACTTGAGCGATAAACTCGAGGCCTGCCAAGACCTAGCCAGGGATATGCACCGGCTCCGAGCCAAGCAAGAGGATCTGAAGAGGATTATCATGACGAGAGTAGATCCAAATCAGGCTGACGCCGCGCGGTCGCTCCCTCTTAGTGCAGAACAGCAAGCACAGCAGAATGACCTGAGGCGGGAGTATACGAAATTCTCAAAACTACTCGCTGAAGCAGAGGAGGCCTTGACTCTTCTCAAGACTCGCATGGCGTCGATCTCAAGCGCCTCAGGCAGGGGATCTACGAATGTTCCTACTGTGGAAGCTGTGATGAAGACTATCACCAAAATGACGAGCATGGTAGAGAAGCGCAGTGGAGATGTCGATGTTTTGGAAACACAGCTGCGAAGGATGCGACTGGAGTCTCCTAGTAGGGATGGGTCTCCTTTCCGAACGTCGCAAGCAAGGAGGAGTTTGCTCGCTCCAGACGCGACACCATCTCGCAACTTCCGCCAGAGCTTTTCTGGTAGTCTATCCGGGAGCGTCATGTCTTTGTCCAGTTCGATGCATACACCGCGAAAGAAGGTCAGCGGTTTCAGCAGGGAGGAAAAGGGAGATCTTATGGATAAGAGAACCAAGCGGCAGGCGGTGCTTTCCAGATTGAAAGACAGCGTGCAGAAGAAGGGCGTCAGTGTATGGAATATGGAAGACATCGAGTGAATGGAAAACGAGGGGAAAAAAAGGGATTAAAGCAAATAGCCACTACCAATGCAGTAGTGATGCTTGATATGGAGTGTGAACATTTGGGTTAATTCAAACGGTTTATCAGGTTAGATAGCATGACATGGAAGCTTGACTTTGGTATAGCTAAAGCAATGTATTATGGGTTATGAATTTTGCACATATAAACATGGTAGCATCGGGCGATGTTGGCATTTGCCATTCGACTACGTGTATATCAGGTACGAAGACGCTCTTTACAGGGAATTTCTAGTTTTGGTGAGACTATACCTGTATCATGCTCGCCAAGTTCCTTTCTGGTTGATAGAAGCTTGTTTCAGTCATGGCGAAGATGATGTAACAAAAGGTACCAATACAAAAAGGGCTTAGTGGACGCTGCCATCTCCTTCACCTTGGCTCACCGTGGCGGGGCTCGCGCTTCCGCTATCTATCGCCAATTCGTTATCGCATCCAAAAAATTTCCCTGGGATCACTCAGCAGAAGCACCTTCTTGCGATTGCAAACTCGCCCAATTCCCTCGACACACGCAAAATGGCGCCTTCACGACATGCTGCTCCCAGTGCGGAGGAGCATTTACGCCGAAATGTAAGACTTCTTTTGCTACTAGCTTTTCCATAAGCTGTTGCTAACAGAGGAAATCTTTTTCAAAGACCGTCGGCATCAACAAAGAGACAGTCTCCAACGTCTCCTCCACAGATTTCCCCGGCCACTTCCCCGGCGAAGACCACGCCTTCTCCATCGAGCACTTCCAATCCGCCTTTTCCATCCAGTTCCACCGTAACGAGGCCAACGACGCTTCCTTCTCCCTCATCGGCATCGACGCCTCCCTCGCAAACGCCTTTCGCCGCATCCTCATCGCCGAGATCCCAACCCTCGCCATCGAAGACGTCTTCATAGAGAACAACACCTCCGTCATTCAAGATGAGGTTCTCGCGCACAGATTGGGCCTCGTGCCCTTCAACGGCGGCCGCGAGGGCATCCACAACTTCTTGAAGTGGTACAAGAAGCCAGCAGCTGGCGAGGACCAGTACGCAAACAGCTTCGACTGGAACACGGTGCGCCTCGAGCTCAACATCACATGCACCGTCAACCAGGACGCCGCGCCGACGGAGAACGACCCGCTCAAGGCGTACCACCACGCGCACGTCTACGCAAAGGACATTGTCTTTGTGCCGACGGGCAGGCAGGCCGAGTATTTCAGCGGCGAAAACGCCATCCGGCCCGTCAACCCAGACATCCTCATCGCCAAGCTGCGGCCCAAGCAGACCATCAACCTGGCCATGCACATGCACAAGGGCATCGGCGCAGACCACTCCAAGTTTTCGCCCGTCGCCACCGCCTCCTACCGCCTCCTGCCGCTCATCCACATCACCCGGCCCATCCTCGGCGCCGACGCCGAAAAGTTCCAAAAGTGCTTCCCCGAGGGCGTCATTGGCCTGGAACAAGTCACGAGGGAGGACGTCAGCAAGGCCGGCAGCGGCTACGAGGGCCATCTGGGCGAGGTAAAGGCCGTGGTCAAGGACTCGATGAAGGACACCGTCAGCAGAGAGGCGCTGCGCCATGCCGAGTTTGAGGGCAAGGTGAAGCTCGGCCGGAGGAGAGACCACTTCATCTTTTCGATTGAGAGCACGGGCCAGTGGGATAGCGACGAGCTGTTCCTCGAGTCGGTGAAGCATTTGAAGCTCAAGTGCAAAAAGCTAGAGCAGCAGGTGATTAACATGGTTCAGTGATTTTGGTCTTGTTTTTGGTTCAAGGCGTTTTGTATATAAACCGGGGGCATGGTAATAGCTGCATTCTACATATGTTTTGACGCATTCTTGCGTGTTTGTCTCTCATGAGCAATAAAGTAAAAAAGAATAAAAGATCTAGGATCCATCCGTATATTTGCTATTTGCTTTGCTTTCTTTTGAATCGTTGCGCCCATGTACAAAGATGCAATGATACGGCCCATCATGTCTCCAACGCCAGGAAAATGCCCAAGAGAAAAACCCCCACTCCGTAAATAAACACCCAAAGTGTCGTAAAATTGAACGGAAAAAAATAAAAAAGACCTGTAAAGATAATGACGAGCTCCTCTTAAGGGCTCTCCGTCTTGAATCTGAAATAAAAGTTGAATTCCAGAGGAAACGCAGGATCTGTAACCACAACTTCCTGTCCATTCTCGAGCCCAAGATCTTGGAGAGACTTGCTTAGGTTCGGTCTGGTCTGCTCTTCCAAGCTTTGCGGTACTTGCATGTATAGCGTCTTTCCCTCTGCACGTATGGATGGTTTCTTAAGCTGAGCCTCGGGACGAATGGCCAAAGAATCCAATAAGTCTTGGAGCGTCATATTGGGATCAGCTTCCAATGGGCGAGCCTCTCGGCCACAGACGGGGCAGTCGTCTTTCTTCTCATGCTTGAACGTGTAGGTGTATATGCTGTCGTTACCAGAATACATCATGTAGTTGTTCTCAAAGCCCAAGCATGGCGCCGAGTTGGTGGCAATCTTGAATGCCTCATTACAGCAGGCAGCGGCAATGATGGCGTTTGTTGAAGCAATGGCCGGAATGATATTCTTGATTGTTCCCTGTGTAAGTGCGTATGTGATTCCTGGGATGTCAAACTCCTCTGCGCGCTTCAAAGCCTTCTGGTAGATCCAGGTGACGTGCTCGGGGTCGTCCTTGTCGAGCTTCGGAAAGGGCTTCTCTTCTTCCCAAGCAATGACATGGGCCCATTCGACGCAATGCTCCGGCTGTCGTGGAATGGAAGCAATAGTGCAAAGAGGGACAGCAGCTCTGGGAGCGTGCATGTCGAGCTGGCACTCTATACATGAAGTAATTGAGGGGAGGATAACTCGCGCCTGTCCCTTGAAGCCCTCGGTGCCGCCGTCGATCAACGGTTTGATTCCATCGGGATCTTCTGCCTCTTCAGCGATAGAGACGAGCATAGCGTTGATCCATCGTCGAGCTTCGATGCTGTCCAAGCCGCAAATAACTAGCTGAAACTGCTTGTAAAACTCATCATCAAAGTCCTGGATCCTGTTATTATGAGCAGTAATTTTAACGCCCTTGACTCTTTGCTCGACGAATTTCGCTGCCACTTCGGCCTTGAACTTGCCCACGTCAGACTTTCGGAAGAGGAATTGTCGGTTCAGATTGGAAATGTCGATGGTGTCTTGTTCACCGTGATCCGCGTTAGCTCGAGTGACAGTAGCGACATGTGCATCAATTCGCCTCACCCATATCAATTACATGGATGTCCTTGAACTTGGACATGGCCAAATTCTTCAAAATCTCGCATCCTAGACCGCCTGCACCACTGCAGCCGCCGTCAGCCTGAAGCAGGAATATCCGTGCGAGGTAGGACAAACATCACCCTATGCCTGGTCAGTCAAACGTCTGCTTCTGCTTCTACTCTGCGTGGCTCGCTTGTACTACATACAAGATCTTGAATTTCTCAAACTGGGCCAGAAATTCTTCTTCCACGGCCATCGGATCCGTCAAGGGGCCCGGATTGCGTCTGATCTGGTCGAGATACTTCCTGCATCTGCCTGTCAGCTCGGCGCATGGCGCATCACCGGGTTTCGGGCACTGACCATCGTATCGTCTCGCTGTCAGCAGCAATGTCCGCTGCCCTCTGGGTTTCGACACTCATACTGAAGCAAATGGCGATCGACTCGGGATTGTGGAGAAAGACAGGAAACAAGGAGAGGCGTGTCAGGCTCGCAGGTGGTTTGGAGGAAGCATTAGTGCAGGATGACGGCAAGCTGTAGCTGCTAGGTAAGGTGGGAGGAGCTGCCTTGGCCGAGGCTCGGTGAGTCGGTGAGGTCAGGTGAAGGTGGGGTTCTCAGGCTTCCAATCGGCCAGAGCTCTTGGATCTTTCTAAGCGGCCATCGTCTCCTTTGCATATCCAGCATATGATGTCGCGACATTTTGTTCTTCGCCAACAATTTGATTTTCGTGCTCCGTAGATGTCGCTATCAAAAGCATTCTACGGCTATTCAATACAGGCAAGGTAGCAGCCATGGACGAGCTACTGACCCCGGTTAGCACCACGTACCTAAAGCCCCGAAAGGACTCTCAACCGCTATCTGAAGTTGGCTCGACGAAGAGGGTGATCGAAGTATTACCGATATCACAGGTTGAATCACCTGACGGAGCGTTGGAGCTTCTTCGAAATCAGCCAGACTACGATTCGCTTATCCAGGCTCTGAAATATCTAACACAGGATGAGAAGCGGCCAGGCAGTTTCCAAGTCCACGAGCCTGGCCCCAAAAGCGCGGCGATAATTCACGTCTTGGTGACGGAAATCGCTTCAAATTACTGGCCGTTGTTAAAAGAAGGTGGACAGAGTGATGGCGCTGAGGACGCTTATAACGACGCACAGGTGTTTGTTAGATGCTTACAAAGTGTTGCCGGACTGAACGCTGTTCTTACTCATCTCAGAGCTCTCATTCAAGAGCACAAGTTGGGGAGTAAAGATTCCAAGCGCCCAGATCTAGTGCTCCATATCAGCATCTTCCTCGATCTACTGGCATCAGCTTTAGACGGCGATAATGCTATCCGGACCCTGTGGACAGCTTCAGCGGGACGACTAAGCTCCGAGACTTCAAAGAAAGTACAATCTCAGGCACTGCTTTCTTTGCTCACCAGTGGCCGTATAATATCCACAGCTGCCGAAGCAACTGAGATTGTTGGATCAGAAACCATTCACACCGGCGTAATATGGATAACGGATGGAACCAAATATTCTCAATGGGTGGCCTTTAATCTGATAGCCTGGGCTAGACAAACAAAAAGCGAAAGCGAATTGCACTTTTGTTCAGACCTCTTCCAGCGAAGCATGTCACTGGGCTATTCAGGTATGTTCTTTTTTAATGCCATTGTCACGACTCATCACTTACCCGCTATAGAATCCCTCGTGAAGACGGTTATCGACGGTCTACTCCTCCTAAGAGGAAGTAATCCAGGTGACTTTGCCAAAGTTTGCCTCTCTCACCCCCATAGCGCCAAAAAGGCTATGAATACACTGCTGCAATACCTTGCCCAGCACCTCAATGGACTCGACCTGGACGAGCCGTCTTCAAAAGCAACTGTCTCTGCCGCTGCTGGCATCATTGACACCCTCATCAAGGGCAACGAGGCTCTCTATAATTACCTCGTTGCTTGGTGCGCTTCATCTTCTGGCGCCGGTCTGGGTGACTCTGTAGGCATCAGGAGAGCAATTCTTGCAGTTCTGGCTCAAAATAAAGATGGCATCACAACCGTATTCGAAAAGAGCTTGTCTCAGTTTGGAGATCAGCTATACATCAAGCACGCAGCCATACTGCAACAAAATGGTATAACCACTTCAAATAGCCAAGGTTTCAAATACATACTAATATTTTATCAGTTCACACAGAAGTGCTGCTTCTTAGTGCCGGATACATCTCCAGGCTGTCCCCTATCAAACTGAGAATCATTGTGAGATCAGGCTCATACTTGTCCGCAATCTCAAATCGGATAGCTTCAACTCAGGCCAGAGCTCGTTTCTTGGGTTTAGTTGTTGGAGAATCTCTTTCGACTCTCATGGACGATAAGTCTCGAAAGCTCGATTTCCACATGGACGAAACGGAAAGCGAAGAAGCTAAATGGCTAAAATCTCTTACTGGTGTTTTTGACGAGGTCGGATCTATCGAGCCCATCCTCAAGACAGAAACTTCAGGACTTCCAGTACGAAAAGAGAATCGACCACGTCAAAATCGAATCCAAAAACAAAAGCCCAAACCAAAGCCAAAATCCGAACCCAGCATCTCAACCATCAAGCCTATAGCCATCATTGAAGAGATTAACTCTTCAGACGACAGTGAAGAAGACCTTGTTCCATATGCCAAAGACTCCGATCCAGAAGACTCTGATGATGACGCTACATTGGTTCAACGCAACAAGCCAAAAGCTCCAGTCTACATCCGAGACCTAATATTATATCTCCGCGACACAGAATCATACGACAAGCAGAAACTGGCCCTGCAGAACGCACCCGTCCTGATTCGAAGAAAGGCAAACTTCGGCACGGAAGTGAGTTCACACGCAGATGAACTCGCCGGTCTCTTCGTCGGTCTCCAAGACAAATTCGACATTGAAGAATTCAACGATTTGAAATTGCAAGGCATGATGGCCTTGATCGTCGCTCAGCCAAAATCCATGGCCCCATGGTTTTCACGGACCTTCTTCGAAGGCGATTACTCCCTGTCACAGCGAACGCAGGTCCTCGTCGCCATTGGACTATCAGCCAGAGAACTCGCCGGGTTTGATACTTCTGAATATCAATCCAGTGCATCTTTCCCTTCAAAAAGACTGCCAGAGAAGATTGAACAGCTCTACCTAGACTCAACAACCAACCAAAGCCAAACCAATCCCTCATCCCAGCTAAAAGCCCTACCCTCAACAGCACTCGACACAATAACGCAATCCCTCACATCTTCCTTTCTAGAGCCATTAGCCGCAAAGGCAGCCGACGCAACCACCGGCCCAGACATTCTCAAACTCCAAACCTTTACAAGCCGTTACAAATCCAAGTCAAAAGCAAAGCCCCGAGTCCGCTCAATCCCAAACACCACCGCCGCCCTCATCGCAGACTCCTTCTTCTACCCTCTCACCGCGCACTTCCAAGTCGCCCTCCGATCCTCCAAACCCCTCATCCTAAACCCCGCCCTATTAGCACTCTATCTCCAAACTCTAGGCGTCATCATCCACGCGGCAGGCCCTTCAACGCTCTCGCTCCCGCAGCTCACCTCCGAACTGTGGAATCTGCTCCTCGCCGTGAGAACACATACCCAAGACGACATGGGCGCCCTAAAAGGCTGGCTCGTGGCCATGGCGTCGCTGCTGGAGGTCAATGACGGCGATATGCGCAGATTGTGCGAAACCCAAGGGCGGGAGGTCGTGGAGACGCGAGAATGGGCTTCGGCTGTGTTTGGCAGGATAAGAGGCGAGGATGGGGGAGAGGAGAACGAGGTCAAGATGCTTTCGGCGGGTGTTCTGATTAAGCTTGGAGAGGCAATTGAACAATACCAGGCTCTGTTGATGGGCAATATGATTGGTTTCTGATGATGGGGTGCACAATATACGAGGAGAGCATGTATCGCAGCAGCAACTTGCAACAAGACACACATCAAGAATCTATCGTTGAGCATCCATTGTGGCATCTTTATAAATTTGCCAATTGCAGCAAAAGAATACGCTTTTCTTGTTCAACCGTAAAGCAAATAAGTACTGTCTAATATACATCTTTCAAAAAGAGTAAATAAATCATGTCTCTAGCATATAAATACTTTCTTTTTTTCTTTTCTTTCTGCTTCTTCTTCTTCCAGAGATGGTGACTGGTTGCATCACCAAACATCGTAAACCTCAAATCGCACCTCCATCTGGGTCTAGCGAATAGTGTATACTCTTTCTTCTGACCGGCAGTGTAGAGATATACGAGTTGACATAAGTCAAATGATCTCCAAGGCTCATAGCCATGCGCCGTAACTCGTTTCGTATTTCTTCGGGCGAAGCTTGGCCAAGCATGACTTTTGACGAAGGTGTTGCTGGGAGAGGTGGGAGAGATGAATCGAGATTGCGCAATGGTGGCCGGGGACGCTGCACAGGAGGAGATTGGCTATGCGGAGACCGACTGCGCGGAGAGTAGTCTCGCAACGATGGCGGATACTGCGGTGTGCTTGGAGCAGGAGTTGGCTCTGGTGGCAGTTCGGGGTCCATGTCAGCAAAGTCGCTCAGAGAATATGGTCGGCCTTCGCTGAAGGCTGAGACATTGCTCTCTCTGCTGATATGAGACTCGTCGTGTTTTGATCCTTCATCCAAAGAAAGATCTGGGATGCTTGCAAGCACGTGCGAATATTCAGAGTCATCTGAAATATAGATAGAGGGCTCGCGGTTTGTAGCATTCATCACATAGAGCGAAGCATGTTTCTCTAACTCGAAAGGATTGGTGCCACCAATCTCTGAACCGCTAATAGAGCCGACATCTGAATAGGATGTGGAGGGCCGGGTTAAGTCTGTTGATGAATCGGCGAAGCTCATATCGAGATCTATCAGGCTCCCAACGGAAGCTCGATGGTCAACTGAAGGGGTCGGCGCAAGGTCGCTGAAACTAGAAGAATGTTGATAGGGTTCGGTAGTGTGATGAAGAAGTGAGGGCCGACCATCATCAGGTGGGGGGAGCGTAGTAGTGAGCGGCGGAAATTTGAAATCCCCCGGGTTTATTGTCGCAGGAGGAGCCATTGAAGGAAACTTCCAATCCTGAGTGCGCCTATTATCTTTGAGGTCAATTGGGTCGCTCATGGGCGCCCTAGAGAAGTTTGTATCATCAAAGTCGTAGTCAAATGATGCTTGTGAGTCGTTTGGCTTGATGGTGTCCATGTCGACATACTGTGAGAGCTCTCCGCCATGCAACGATACATCCAGATCGATTAATGATTCCCGCACGTCAGAAGGCTGTGAAGCCTCATCTCGAAGGGGGAGGTCTGATACAGGGGCCTGGAAAAGTTGGCTATAATATGCTCTGGAATTCTCTTCATAAGTCGATATGGTATTAGGATCAAAAATCTTTTCCAGAGGTGCTTTGACCGACGGCAATTGTGGCGGAGGTCTTCTCCGCGATTTGGGCTTCTGTGGGCGCGAAGTCTCATCATAGCCCTCTGGGCTGAAGTCTATCTTTGATCCGTACACGTCGTAAACTTCCTGAGCATCTCCTTGGTCCAAGACCTGCTGGTCAAATGCTGCAGTTGTGCTAAAGTTCCATTCGTCATTGGAGACTGCAATTTGGAGGTCAGCAAGGCCTTGAGCGCCACCAGCGGAGAAGAGCGACCTGCGATCTCCTCCCTGTGCCTCCCAGAGTTTGAAGGCTCGAACAAGATGGACGAGTGACGACGTTGGATGCGATTCTTCCGTATTACGGACATATCTATGGAGCTGCACCTGCTCAATCGTTGGTCGTTTAGCAACGTCGTGTTGAAGACAGTACGAGACCAAATCTCTAAGTCCAGCCGAATACTGGTCGCCCTCCAGCCGAGGCGTGTGATGCTTTAGATGCGAGCCCAATCTCGAGAAGTCGATCCCAGCAGTGACGTTGGGCGGTAAGCCAGACGCAATTTCGTATACCATGGCGCCAAACGCCCATATGTCGACCTCGGTCCCATAAGACGCCTCCTTGTCAAACAACTCCGGCGCCATCCAATGCGGAGTCCCAATAAATGTCGACCGTTTGTCAAACTTTGTTTCAATAACGCCAGCAACGCCAAAATCGCACAGCTGAACATCGCCCGTCTCGGTAATCAGCACATTGGCGCACTTGAGATCGCGATGGATGATGCCTTGGCCGTGAACCCAGTGAATGGCCTCGGCAACCTCGCGCACAATGGGAATGATCCATTTCTCCAGCAGCCCGCCGGGGGCCGTTGGCCGCATCAGAGTCGCAACGCTGCCGCCTGCGCAGTACTCTGTCACCATCCACATGGACTGGCCGACGGGCAGGGCCTCGATGACATGGTTGATGTTTCGGGCCCCGCTGTCGCTCAGCAGCTGCAGGGCGTTGATCTCCTTGAGCAGGTCGGTGTAAGTGTCGGCCAGCTTGGGGTTGACAGTGTCGCTCTCCTCGATGTCGATGATCTTGACGGCAACCAGCTGGCCCGTCTTGATGGCCGTCGCTTTATACACCCGTCCAAAGCTGCCCTTGCCGACGAGCTCTTGAAGCTGATACTGCGGGGCTTGCTTGCCGGCCTTGGAGCAGCTCTCGACGACGGCATTCTGCATCTTCTTTGCATCTTCCAGCGCCTTCTGCTTGGTGCCGGACACGTCGGGCCATCTTACTTGAAGCGACATGTTGCAGGCGAGGCCCACTTGGGCCTTGGATGAGGGTGTCGATCTCCAGGAAGCGCAAGATTTGGCATGAATGTATTTTTGGCAGCCGAGCACGGATCTCGCATTGATCTCGATCTCGCACTAATCGTCCAGTCCAGACGCTCGCTGAGCTCACTCGTCAGGATATTCCACGCGTGCTGCAGCCATCCTTGTCCGGATCCCCCAGCCGCAGATGACGATAACAGAGCGAAAACGGGACGAGATGACAAGATTAAAGTCTCGAGAGATGCCCGACAAGCCCAAGGGAGCGGGCGTGAGGCGCAGTTCTGACGCGGAGTTTAGCCGCGGGAAACCACAGCCATTCGTTTGCTGGCGCAACGCGACTACCGATTTTAGCAGTTTTAGCAGTTTTAGCACGGATGAATGGCGCTCTCTCCGCGTTTGCTTCAGGTGGCTGGCCTGAGGTGGCTGAATAGGTAGGTGGTAGTTGTGATAAGGGCAGGTGATGGGGTGTAAGCAAGACAACAAATCAGTATCCAAGGAAGAGTTCCGTCTCAGCTTTCTCTAGATACCTATGATTAAAAAGACAGTCATATTAGTTCTACTGTTGCTCTCATTCATGTCGATATACCAGTATCATCCCTTATTGTGACGGGGCCTCCTTCATCATGTCCACTATCTTGCCGTGAAACGTTGTCCAGTTCGTATTGCACATGTTCTTGATCGTGCCCACCAGCAGGCGGGACGCTTTGATCACCACGTCCTCGATCAGATCTACCCCGCCATTGCCGTTTTCTCTCACGGTCCAGACCGTCTCCATCACCACATTGAGAGGGCTGTAAAGCCTCACAAAAACACCCTTTTCCAGCGTCACGAATTCGTTTATGCTCTCAACGTTGGAGTCCCAGAGGCCCGCAGGGAGCGTGTGTACCTTGTCCGTCACCGAGTAGTACGCAGCCTCTCCCACGGCGACGATTCCTCGGTCCGTTGGAACGGTGGGAGTCACAACCTTTGATGGCTGGGGAACGGATTCGAATTTGACCATGTGAGGATCGCACTGCATGTGAATTTGGTGATTCTGTATGACTTCCAGGGCTCTGGCGAGTGACACTCCTGGAGGTAGAGTGGTTATATTTTGCAGTGTTGCGGTAGTAGTGAGCCACGCTGTGGGATGTGTCAATAACAAGTACTGGTTCTCTAACTTGGATCTATCTTGGGCGGCTCACAAGACATTATGGTTACTGTACGATTGAATTTCTTTGGAAAAAAACAAACAGATCAGAGTCGTTTTATAGCATCTAGCTTCACAAATGATGGCGACAAAAAAAACAAAAGCAATTCGCTGGTGTTGTTGTCAAGTTGACTTAGACTTCCAGGTAGCGAGGCGCAGTGGTACTTGTAGAAAGATGGCAGCACCTTTTCTTACGCTGGAGCAAACCATGTGTGAGGCCTTGGACGGGCGCTACCAGCTGAAACAAGGAATCACAGGGCGTATTATGGCGTATTACTATCACTGAATTCGACCTTTAAAATTGATAGAGTAGAGTTGAATGATATAAGCTACATGTAATCCACGTCGTCATCATCGCCGTGGCTTATTCTGGATTCGGGTTGTCTGCAGTTCCAGCGTCGGGACATCTTTTGCACCGGGGCCTATTATCAGTTCAGCTCAGTTCAGCAGATTGGTACTATACGCTTATGCCAGCGATGTATCTATCGCGTAACTCATAATGATCTGTTTTGGCATTACAATTCGAAGCCACTCTTCAATGCATTTATGAACCTAATATTAAAATTACTGCTAGAGTTAAACACTATTTCCTCTATCAAGCTCTTTGCCATCTGCTCTCCGGGTAAGAGACAAGTCGAGATCGTATTGGAGATCAAACCCCGCCATCAATCTAGCACGCACGTGACTACGCGCAGTCCCTCCAGCCCTTTAACGCGAATCGTGAATGTACGTGTCCCGTCTTGTATGACGGCACGTTCAAAAATTATGGTGCTTCAGTCTTGTCGCAGCATCAGCCATTATGGTCGCCTCTACCAAAGTCAACAGGTCTCATACGCCGAGAAAATCAACGGCAAGCTCTGGCCTTGCTAAGAAGCCTGCTGCCAAGCCAAATACCAGCATCCTCAACTTTTTCCAGAAAACGGCAAAGCCTGAAGATTCGTTATTCGTCGGTGCGGTACCTGCGGAATCCGCTGCTAAGGAGGATCTCTATGGACGTGACGATGACGCCCGGTACAATGAAGTTGAAGCTCCAAGTAAAAAGAGAAGGATTAGCAAAGATGTTCCTACCGAGCCAGCAGCAAAGAAGGAAACGGCAGATGCATTAGACAAACCATCCACCAATAATACAACGCCACCAATCAAGTCTGAAAACGAAAACGAGTCGAAGAAGCCCAAGCCCCGGATTAAGACTCCGTTCGTCATGGACTCCGACAGCGAAGATGAGGATGGCGACGACAACAGCATCAACAACAACAGCAGCAGTGGCAACAGCAGCAACAGCAACAGCAACAGTAACAGCAACAGTAACACCACCATTCCATCAGACGCACCATCCCACCACTTGAAAGACGCCGCACCGTTGTCTCCCTCTGCCCGGCTAGAACCACTTCGTGATATTACACAGGCCGAAGACACCAATGAAAAGTATAAACCACCACTGCTGGAGCAAGAAACCTCGGTTGATGCCCAATTTAATCAACTGGGCGATTTCGCTGACATGGACGATTTCGACTTAGACGAGTTTGAAGGTGAAGAGTTACGGGAGATGCGATTCATGCGGGAGCAGGCAAGGCTTGAAGCTGAAGAGGCCGGAATCCCTAGTGACGATCTCGATGAACTTCTGGATAATCACTCAATGGTAGAGAGCTGCCCGATATGTTCTGGAAGCCTACTCGGTATATCTGCAGACGAAGCTTCGCGGCATGTCAACTCATGTCTTGATGGCGATCCTATTCCACTACCTACCAAGGACATAACTGTGACCGATGTTCAACCTGAGGTAGAGGCTGCGGAGATCGGCAAACGCTTTGCTCGAGCTGCTGTCCCCAGGCCGGGTCAAGCAAATCCTCTTGAGATGAAAGCGGAAAACAAAACAACGAGCGCCTTTTCTAAGCTAATGTCTGGCAATGCGGAAGATTCGGCTTGGGCTACGGCGGCAGCGGCAGAAACTGCGTCTCGAGGCCGGCCGGCGTACGAGCGGACTTGCCCCTTTTATAAAATCATGCCTGGATTCTCAATATGTGTTGATGCATTCCGTTACGGCGCTGTTGAAGGATGTCAGGCCTATTTCTTGAGCCACTTCCACAGTGACCATTACATCGGCCTGACAGCAAGCTGGAGACATGGTCCAATCTACTGCAGTAAGGTCACCGGGAGCTTGGTTAAGCAGCAGCTCCGGACTGCTGCCAAGTGGGTTGTTGAGCTAGAATTTGAAAAGCCTTACGATATACCTGGAACTGAAGGTGCAACGGTTACCATGATGCCCGCCAATCACTGTCCTGGGAGCTCCTTATTCCTCTTTCAAAAGTCGTTTGGAAATGGGCCAAACAAACGAACTAAGCGGATACTACACTGCGGCGACTTCCGAGCCTGTCCTGAACATGTTCGACATCCGTTACTCAAATCCGATGTGATAGATTCGATATCCGGCAAATCAAGGCAGCAGCGAATTGATATCTGCTATCTTGATACGACTTACTTGAATCCACGATACTCTTTCCCTCCCCAAGGCGATGTCATCCAAGCGTGTGCTGACCTCATCGCATCAATGTCTCCTGACCCCAATTGTGCAGACGATGTTTGGCAGAGGTCAGAGAATTCCGCTGGAACGGGTACCGTGAGCAAGTATTTTCACAGTGATAAGCCATCGGACGATGCTGCACAGTCAAAATTAAAATCCCAGCGTAAACAGCGTCTCCTAGTAATATGCGGTACCTACTCTATTGGAAAAGAGAGGATATGTGTGGCTATAGCAAAAGCTCTGGGCTCCAAAATCTTTGCGTCAGCGGCGAAGATTAAGATATGCAAGCAGCTCGATGATCCGGAACTAACTGCGCTGCTGACTTCTGATCCCATCGAGGCCCAAGTCCACATGCAAATGCTCATGGAGATTCGCGCAGAAACTTTGCAGGATTATCTAGACAGCTACAGGCCACATTTCAGCCGCATCGTTGGCTTTCGACCAAGCGGCTGGAACTTTCGGCCGGGCAATGGCAAGGTTATTGGAGCCAATACTCCCCCGAGCAGTATCTCTACTCAACAGCTTCTTCATGGCAAGGGCTGGAGGACAAGATTCGGGGCAAAGGATCTTGTAGCCCAGAGAGGTAGCACCAAGGAGGCCATGTGTTTTGGCGTTCCGTACTCTGAGCACAGCAGTTTCCGAGAGCTTGCCATGTTCGTCATGGGTCTGAGAATAGACAAGATAATCCCCACTGTCAATGTCGGTAGCGACCAATCAAGAAAAAGAATGAAGGGCTGGATAGATAGATGGATGACAGAGAGGAGGAAAGGAGGGCTAGTGAGACCATTAGTAGAGGGTGAAGACGACGAACAGAAAGGCAATTCTCTACTCTGGGAGGGCAAAGCTGGCGAAGGAGGCGGAGCCTGGTGGTAGCCTAGAGAACCCAACTTGGATATTATAAACTTTTATTAAAACGTCCAAAAAAAAGATGCCAGGGGACAGATAATTTGATGGTCCGTTGCCCATGCCATGAGAAACGCCAAATGACTGCTTTATACTTGCAACAAACCCCCAGCGATCCTGCACCATAAGTGTGTAAAACTTATTACCATTCTCCGATGCTCCCGATCCAGAATTATATGATTTATCGTATGTCAACGCCAACCATCTCTTTCTTTAGCTGATAAAATAACGCCTCTCTATCCAAGGTCTATTTATTTCGCCTTGGCTTGCTGAGCAGCAGCTTCTGCGGACTTGGTTAGAAAAAAAAAACACTACCGATTTAAAGAATACTTGCCTCTCCGTGTAGCATCCTCCAGCAACTGGGTGTCGACTGAAGCGGCTGGAAGGTGGACATATCGAACGACAGATCCACGAATGAAGACGTTCTTGACAGAGCTCTACGACAAGAGGTTAGCCAAGAAGAGGGGAGAGCAAGTAGATGACTGTTTCCCATACCAGATGAGGGTATTTTAGCTCTTCGACGACTTGAATGTCGTCCAGCTTGATGTTGAGGTACTGGTCCACGCTTTTTAGCTTGCCCTTGAGCTGGATGTCATTTTTGAGCTCGACGGTGACCTCGTGGTCGATGAGCGTCTTGAAGAAGCTGTTGGAATTCACCGCATACAGATTAGCAGTTCATCTCCCCGTATGAGAATTGATCCTCATGAAATTGATTTCCATGACATGGCAGCATAGCTCACCTGAAGAAGAGCATTATGAACAGTAGAATTCTCAACAGTCCCTCAAACTGGATTTGGGTAGCGGGGCAAATATTTTGAAGAAAAGTTGCGGAGAGGGCGTAAAGTCGCTTCGAGATGAGTCGTATTCGTCTCAAGAATGGCAGCAGAAAATAGTATCCTCTTGGGTTCTTTGATTCGAGTTCCAGATCGGGATGCTTATATCTTTGGTGTTTCCTGAGTGAAAGCGTCACAGCTCATCGTGACCAGCTCCCCACTGAGGTGAAGGCGGCGTTTGGGCGCTGGGTCACGTGATGCTGAATTGAAGCGCGCATCGTTAGTGAGACTCAAAGAAATTGAGCTTCATGAATATTACAATTGGGAGGTCAAAAAGTTGTAAATAAAAGAATTTTGATGCCTTGAAGAAATTTATACAAATGATAATCTACAAAACTCAAGATCATTCCTACACTCTCGGTCTTGTTATTTATCTGGTCATATTGCATGCCCAGTTATTGCAAGCACTGGGCGACTTAGACTTGAGTATCTTGGGAATATCAAGTCTCTGCTCCAAAAGGACAAAAAATTAAAGACGTCTACTCGTTTGTCACGATCATCTGGAACGATTGTGAAGATTAATGAATTTGTTATTGTATCAATATTTAAACCATTGAACCAAGAAAAATGACTCCCCGTATCCCCGCAACATAGCCCAAGCTTCACGGTGAATCTATATATGCAAAAACTATCCTCTGTTCTTTTTTTATCGACCAGAACCTCGATTCCTCTTATGCGACATGTACAAAGGCCCGCTTCTTCGCGCTCTTCTCCCGGCTCTCTTCCTCCCACGTCTCGTCCACGTACTCCTTGACGCTCTTATCCCGGATCTGCATGCCCACCACCTTCAACGCAGCAATGTTCACTCCCATTTCGTCCTTTTGTTTCTTCAATGTGGCTCGCAGGTTCGCCCGGATGCCGTCCATCATAACCTTCATCGTACGGCTGGCAACAATCTGCTTGTGATGCGTCTTCAGCATAAAGAACAGGATTCGGCATGTGAGAGGAATGTTCATTGACCGCATAGCGAAAATGTTGATGAAGGTGAAGAGGATGGGGACCGAGGCGAATGGAAGTACCAGCAGAGCATCGTGTAAAGCAGAGGCTTTGATGCGCTGGAGGACAGACATGACGTAGGCCTCAGCGGTAATATTTCCAAGAGCAATGAAGACGGGATTCCTCTGCGGAGGCATGGCGTGAGGATTCGTAAGCTTGGCCTCCTCGTACTCTTTCATCAAGTTCAAATCGGCCATGCCCATCTCCAGAGCTTCTGCTATCCTCTCACCAGCCATCAATGTCTCTGTAGTCTGCTTTCCTGCGGCGGCAATTTCGCCGTTTTCGTCGCCTCCCTCCTGGTCTTTCTCCAGAGAAGCCGTCAAAGTGCTCTCGTACAGTTCTTCCATTTCCTTTTCTCGTTCTTCTTCGAGGAAAATTTGCTCATCCGTCTCATCCCATACGCGAATGCTCTTGTCATGACTAGCAGTAACAAGGAAATTGCCGCTATGGCTCATAGCTATTGCCCACACTTCGCCGTGGTGGCCATCCAGTCTCTGAATTTGTTCGAATTTGTCTCCATCCCAGTATCGAATGGTTCGGTCTTTGCCGGTGCTGAAGAAATGGTGTCCATTGCCGTCAGAGTTGTGGGGGACGAATGCGACCTGCAGGATACTGTCCTGATGTCCAAACAAAGCCTTGTGGCAGTCGCCAAAGTCGAGGCCCCATATTCTAATATTTTTATCTGCCGAGCTTGTAACAATAAGCTTGCTATCGTAGGAGATATCCATGCTTAGCACAGGTAACTTGTGTCCGTAAAGGTTGAGATATAATTTGAGGGAGTCGACGAAGAACACTTTCACTGTGCTATCCAGGAGTGATACTGCCAGCAACTTGGAATCAGGCGAGAATCGGAGACTGAGAATGTCATCTGAGACCTTGAGCGCCCTGGACTGAACAAGCTTAAGCTTAGGTGTTGTCCTCCGTGTTCCAAGAACCTGCTCCTGGACAATCTTGAAGTCCCAGAATTTGGCGCTTTTATCAGCGCTTCCTGAAACAACCGACTTACCATCAGGGTGAACTTGCAGCGCCCAGATAGCTCCCTCATGTGCCTCAACGCTGTCCAAGAGGGATGCAGACGCAACGTCAAATAATTGCAGTTCGCCATTCTTTGTGCCCACAACAACGACCTTGTCTCCGGGGAGGAAGGCACAGCAGAGCGCATACCCACACTCAAATGTTCTGATGCAAGTCTGAGTCTTGATATTCCAGACCTTTAGCAAGCCATTGGATGCTGATGCCAACATCTTGTCGTCTGAGCTCAGTGAGAGAGCGCGAATGTCAGCTCTGTGTCCTGGGATCTCGACTGAAAACGCCTTTGTATAATCTGGGATGTCGTCTTTTTGCTTCTTATCGCTCTTCTCCTTGGGATTTACGCTGTAGTACTCCAGCTGGTTGTTAGTGGTTCCAACTACCAGGTAGATTTGCTTTTGTCCTGCAGGCAGAGCCCAATCAATCGAGCGGACTTTGCCGCCAGTTCTCAGGATGACATATTGAACAAAGACGTCGCTGATATCGGCTTTTGATACATCATCAAGGTTATCATCTCCGTTTTCCATGTCTTCATCCTGAGGCTTGGCATCCTTCTGCTTTTCACGTCTTCGCCGTCTCTTTCGGGCCAGGCCTTTTCGAACTTCAGATTCTGATCTGATGCGCCACACATCGACACTCTTGTCGGAGCCGTGGACGGCAAAATAGTCTTTTTGAGGATGGAAAATAACCTCGGTCGCTCGATCCTTGTTTTGTCGAAAAAGGGTTCCTCGGTTTTGCAAAAATTGTGCAGAGGCGACAACTTCTACTCGCTGAGCAGATGAGCTTAATCCATCCGCATCCAGTGACCACACCTTCAGTTCTCCGTCGTTGCCTGCAGTTATGCAGCCGCTCAAATCTGGAGACACACCTAGTGCCCAGCATTCGCCGTTCGTCTGTGAGATGTGCGTCTCTATGCAGTGCTTCGAAGAGAGATCCCAGAGCTTCAAGAGAGAGTCCTTTCCGGTAGACAAAAGAAATCCATCCGATAGCTCTTCGCTGTTCAGAACCATGGCATTATTTCCGTCTTCGTCTTGCAGCTTGGCCTCAGGCTCCAAAAATTTTATCCCCGTGATCTGATCTTTGTGTCCTCGAAGCTTGTACAGGCCGACTTCTGCAACAAGATCCCAGACAATGATGTCGGTGTCCTTTGAACCACTTGCAAGCCGCACTCCAGACTTGTCAAAGGTAAGATGTGTGATTGCTGATTTGTGGCCATTGAAATTGACTATGACAGTGGCGATTTTGCTGTCCCAGATACGAATGCTGCCATCTTCGTATCCCACGGCAAACATGTCCTTATCCACGCCGCTCTGCGCGATGGCAGTGGCGGAATAAGAGCATCTTTCATCTTTCCATCGGCTGATTAGCTCGCCCTTTTTGATATCCCAGCATAGAACCTCCTCGTTGGCGGCTGTGATGGCCTGACCTGCGCCGGTCCCCGTTCGATCCTTGGAAGTCCAGATGAGATTCGATGAGCCGGAGAGAATAGAGCCGAACGATTTGGCGTGCTCGTATTTACTGCAGTCAATGGTCAAAACATGTTTTTCTGGGCTCGCACTTGCCAATAAAATAGACTCACAGGTATGATTTGACCATGGCTGCCGTCTCTCAACCTCCAAGCCGGCTTCTGCTCGTACAAGGAAACTTGCATTTACATGCCGCTGCTAGCCAATTGCGCAGATGGGATATTTTTTTTTCGAGAGTTTATCGATAATGGGCTTGAGCAGGCACTAGCGCTAGCTTTATCTTAGCCTAGCTTGGTTATCACGTGGTGCGCTGCCCCCCAGCTTGACGTCTACAGCAACGTAGCTTAGCCCCACCACGGGGGTCGGAGTCGTCAACCAAGCTCCAGGACGATCCGGAGAGAACACAGCAGCTTCCACGACTCCAGCCTTGACAATGCTTCTCCTCGACTATCAGAACGCTCTCATCCAGTCGGTGCTCACCGAGAGGTTCTCAGGGTATATACAAACCCAATCCCATTTTCCCAAGACAGACCAAGCTAACAGCAGCATAGTGCCCCGCCCGTCCATATCGACCAGACCGTATCCGACTTCGATGGCGTTACGTTCCATATCTCGACTCCTGAAGTAAAGACGAAGATTCTACTGTCTCTCCAGATTCGATGCTTCAAAGACTTGGCCAAGTATGGCGCTGAGCAGGTCCTCCAACGGGAATATGGACAATATGTTGTTCCAGCTGAAGTTGGATACGACTTCTCGGTGCTGATCGACCTCGAGAACCTACCAGAGTCCAAGGGTACGATTCAATCTCAACTTTCAGCGACAATGTCCCCGAATCAGAAAGCTTACTTTGGAGTATAGAGGAACGCGACGCGTTGGCGATGCAGTTCGCTCTACTGAAGCGCCATGCCATGGCTGCCCCGTTCGAGCAAGCATACGAAGAGCACTACAAGCTGAAAGAGGAGGCATCCAAATTTAGCTCAGAGGAGGCGCCCAAGGGTGTCATGGAGGGAGGAGAGGTCAAAGCCATCCACTACCGAGAGGAGGAGGCCATTTATGTAAAGGCCAGCCACGATCGTGTTACCGTCATCTTCAGCACCATCTTCCGAGAAGAAACCGATAGAGTGTATGGAAAGGTCTTTATTCAGGAGTTTGTCGATGCCCGACGACGAGCTATCCAGAATGCTCCCCAGGTGCTGTTCCGAAACGACCCCCCACTGGAGCTGCAGGGCGTTCCTGGAGTACGAGATACCGGCTCCGGAGAAATCGGATATGTTACTTTCGGTAAGAAGGTCGTGCATTCAATTGATTCGCTGTACTAACTTGCGCACAGTTCTCTTCCCAAGACACCTGACTCCCCAGCGAATGGCTGCCGTAATCTCCCACATCCAGACATTCCGAGACAACTTCCACTACCACATCAAAGCCTCCAAGGCATACATCCACTCTCGAATGAGGAAGCGAACCGCGGATTTCCTGCAAGGTGAGTTTGATACTCTATGTCAATGTAGTGGAGGTATGTGCTAACGTCTCCAAAGTGCTGCGTCGTGCGCGTCCCGATAACGAGGAACGAGAGAGAAAGACGGCTAGCGGCAGAACATTCAAGGTGCAAAGCAGCTGAAGCGACTCGCAGTCTGTAGATTTTTTTTTCTCCCTATCTAGCCAAATTAGAATTGGGCATCATCTGTTGAGCGGATGCGGCCTCTGACATGGATGAGGCGGCGAGTGGTGAGGTTCATAAGTGTACGCAATGAATTTTATGATAGGAGCCATATAGTCCATAACTCTAGTTTTTACAATAAACAAAATCAATATTTATTTTTATCTTCTACTATCATGCATGAATTTGCCAAAGGTGCAATCGACACAGTCTCCAAGTTGTGCTTCTGATTTGTTGATACCGGGCATTTAAATGTCACTGTGCAGAGCGTACCTGTAGTGTGCGGCGCTACAGTAACAGTGAACAGGCCGCTATAAACCGATTTTACCCAAGCCAGCAGCTCGGCCTCTAAACTTGGACCCTAAACCAAACACTCTCGAGGCCGAAGTCGACCTACGGGTCGCAAATACAATGGTATGGCCATTTGGAGCCTCAGCACCCAAAAAAGACACGGATCATGAGGATCGGCCCAAGAAGAGACCTGTTTCCTGGTCAGATTCTTTAAGAAGTAGCGAGGCTGGGCCCCTGGAAGCCGCCAAAGCATGGGCACCCATGGTTGGATTTTCCTTGGTAGGCCTCGCCGCACTGCAGCTATATGCGAACTACCTGAGGCGTATCCCAGGAGCAGCCTATGTACGGCCAAACTTTTTTCGCAATCGGAGCTTGTACGGCAAAGTTACGAGTGTTGGCGATGGCGACAACTTCCATCTGTTCCACACACCTGGCGGGAAAGCTGTGGGCTGGGGATGGCTTAGAAAGGTCCCTGAGTCAAGAAAGGAGCTCAAGGGACGGACTGTAAGGACCATTCTCTCTTCCCTCTTGCCACCAGATATACTTGAGAATTTACTAACATAGAGGCGTCTCTACTTGTAGATACCAATCCGCATTGCCGCGGTTGATGCGCCAGAGGGAGCGCATTTTGGAAAGCCAGCACAACCCTACTCTGACGAGGCCCTGCAGTGGCTCCGAAGCTACATCTTGCACCGAAATGTGCGCGCATACATCTACAAGACGGACCAATACGAGCGGATCGTGGCTACTGTCTACGTCCGCAGGTTTCTCTTCCGTAGGAATGTCGGACTCGAGATGATCAAGAGTGGACTGGCCACCGTATACGAAGCCAAGAGCGGCGCCGAGTTTGGGGGTCTGAAAGAACGATATGAGAGGGCAGAGGCCAAGGCAAAGAGAAAACGCAAGGGAATGTGGGCGGGGGATCCAAAGGCCTATGAGAGTCCAAGGGAGTACAAGACAAAGTGGGCGTCGCAGCAAGGCAAAGAATAAGGTAGGCCATCGCGGTGGTAAGTAGTTTGCACTCCGCAAAAATAACTAGAGGTCTCACTGGTTGTCATGGCACACAGTTGTTTGTTTTGGGGCTGTCCATCTATAGATGGCGTCTGCGGCGACGGGTGTTTCGTGACTTTAGCCAACCCCATGCTAAAGCTTCCCATGACCGCGATGCTTTCACACGATACACAATTCACCTGTATGCAAATCGCAATCGCCGGGACTAGAATGGAGGTCGAAAAATTTCTTCGTAGACAATTAGCCAGGACGATGTGAGACACTAATCCACGGAGCGTGGAGGGAGACTCGGTCGAGGGATTCGCCGGTTGGTGGGAGCATCAACGGATCCGAGCTGTCATCGTATGGTATGATGAACGGCTTGGTGTTGACGCAGCGGCATGCACAGACTTGGCTTTGCAACAGCAAACAAAGAAAAAAAGTCAAGATATGGAGAGCCAGTGGTGACATGAACACGCGACGGAGGTAGCCATAGCTTCTGAGCTTTGGCCAACCAACAGCAGGGACGCAGAAGCGATGGCGGGCGTGATGACTTTGACAGCTGGGCACTTTTAATAGTAGCATTTTCGATCAAAGGCATCTGGTGATCTCAGCGAGTGCTCCAGACTCTGGTGCTACGACTATCTTTGGCTGTCTTCCGCAGACTTCTTTGTCTAATACTGGTCCCCAGGAGGAAACTTGTTCACTTTTAATGGTGCCGTTTCAGCTTAAACTAATAATAGTTTATCTGCCAAATTCTTGTGTGTTCTCATGGTTAGTTTCAACAGCTTCGCAGCTAGCCTGTACATAAAACAAAGCTTCACATCATTCCCCATTGGTAGGTAAGCTGTTGTTTCGTCTTTTGGGGGGTTCCTGAGCCAAGCAAGAGTGGACCGACGCTTTGTGCCCCTGGCATGATATGAACGAAGCATCCCGCGAATAGGAACGCAGGGCGGCACGGCGAGCCGTAGACAGAGCCGTGCTCCGATGCATCTCGCAATCACAAATGCCGCCAGGGGTATCGCTCCGCCAGAGGTTTTGATCTTCTCTCTTTGATCATCTCTCTCTTTCTCTTGTCTGAGAAGAAACATCACAAAAGGGCTGTCTTTTGCGAAGCTGAGGGGAACCGTCCATCTTTTTGATTGTTTGTTGCTTATTTCGAAGCTCGCCCATACAGCTTCTGCCATTCCTTTCTTGCTCCCCCTGTAATACTTCATATACCCACATTTTCATCGCACGATACCGTACAGTAGCACCTTGTACCTTGCATTCGCTTCGTCAGTCACGAAGCGCTCGACTTCAGTGATACTCTGCACGACGCACCGGCCCAAAGACAGCGCCCGATTGGCCGCGGCAATCTCATTCACCAGCGACGATTCGGAGTGTTGCACCACGCCGTACCTTGCCGTGGCATCACTCGAAGCCTTCAACGGCCCTCGCACACGCGGCCACTTCAGCGGACTCAGCCTCGCTCACGCCGTGCTCAGTCAGACCAGCACCGTCTCGTCGAGCACAATCTCGCTTGGCTTCCGGTCCACCACACCGCCCAACACTGGCGTTTTTGTCGCATTATCTTTTCAATTTTCGCTGCACTTGCTGTGCCACCGCAGAGATTCACTGCGCAGCCTCGAGTCCAGAAAACAGGAACCGTTCCTGGCGCCGATTTATAGCACCTGAAGGCTAAAACTGCCCTGGAGCCACCACGCTGTCGGCGCCCAATGCCACTAACCTTATAAGGCTAAGCCCCCCTTCGCAGCTGCTCCATCACAGCGGCGGCCAGCAATTTCCCGCATTCTTGGTGCTTTTCATGCTTCTGCCCAACCAGCCACTTTCGCCTTTGCTCCATCGAAAACTCAGTCCATCATCACTCATCGCCGGCGACGAGATACCGCTACAGCATTTAACTATACAGGATACCCGGCCCTGCTGATTCGGCTTGAAATTAATTGTTACGCTCGTTTGCTTCCTGCGATACCCGAATTCTTTTTTTAAATAGTATAATCCGTCATCAGCCTCGCCGATCTTTCGCGATCGATTACTTCATTCCGCGATCATCGAGCATCGAAACGTCGAAAAAGTTGTGATGCGATAGCCTCAATCCGCTTCCGCCCCTCTGCACCCCAGATGCTCGTTTGCATTCCATCGAAACCGACGTCTCGATCATCGCCCGCGCCGCCTGTCGCCCGGAATCTGCGACTTTCCGCCTCTCCTTTGTCCTTTTATCGATTTGACGTCTCCCCCTAGCGCGGCGCGATCCCTCACCATGCGATTATCTTCACAACGACGCCGACCGGCGCGACGCCCTCGGCTGATCAATTCGGCTGTTGCGACTCTGGCATTTTTTGCCCCCTCAAGTACATCCGCCTTTAATATTACTGCAGCTCCTGCCGCGGACCTCGATTTCTCACAGCTGGGCAGCATAGGCATTGCCGGAGACTTCAACGGAATCTCACTCTATCAGTTCCAGGAGCAAATCGCACAACCTTTGAGCACAAATGGCAGCGAATACCTGCTCACACAGCTGCCGAATGGCGTCCTTGCTCCCATTGCCGCAACCGACGCGTCTATTCTGGCCATGTGCTCACTGACACTCAAAGATGGCGCCGAGGGCGTGGTGCTTGGAGGAAATTTTACGAGCATGGACGGCATCAAGTCAACGGCCATCGCCATCTATAATGCGAACACAACAACTTTTACGCCACTCACGGGACTGGAAGGCGAAGTCAACGCTCTATTGTGTGATGATTCCAAGGGAACTGTGTATATTGGTGGAAATCTGAAAGGGGGTAACTCGACAAATGCCATTGCATGGAAAGTGGACGGTGGCTGGGCAAACCTACCCTTTGCCGGCTTCAATGCCCCTGTGAGCTCCATCACAAAAGCCAGCAACGGGCATGTTATTTTTGGCGGAAGCTTCACTGGTCTAGGCAACGTGACTGCACCAAATAAGCTTGATGGCCAGGCTATCAATCTGTCCACGGCAAATATCTCGGCTGAGAATACCGCAGTCACGAAAGGTTTCGACGACCCCAAGAGTGTTGTCTGTTCTGATGGGTCTACCGGTTCCGGTAAGACCTGGTTGCTGCAGGACGAGACTCCTGGCACATGGCAGGCGACTTTCGACTTTGGATTTGAGCCCACGAAGCTGCGGCTTTGGAATACGCATCAAGATGGACGGGGCACAAAAACATTCCGCTTCGTCGCTTTACCGCTCGACGGCATCATGAACTTTACCTACATCGATCCTGCGACTGGCAAAAACTCTAGTTGTACAAGCGAGTGCCCGCTAAGCAACGACCCCAAAGTGAAATTCCAAGACTTCCATTTTGTCAATAGGATTGGCATGGACTCTTTCCAGATTGACATTTCAGCCTGGTACGGAAAAGGAGCCGGTCTTAACAGCGTGCAGTTGTTTGAAGATGACATCTTCTCCTTCGCCGTCAACTCATTCAACCAGCCGTCCTGCAACACCACTTTCCCTTCCAGCGCCACCTCCACAGGGCCTTTCAAGCAGTCGGCTTCTCTACAAAGCGATTCAAAGTATCTGACAGCACAGCTTTCAAGCCCCATCACATCGAAATCTGCATCCGTTGTTTTCGTGCCCAACATTATCGAATCTGGCAACTATTCCGTCAACATGTATACTCCTGGCTGCATAGCAGATAACTCGTGCCAGACTAGAGGTCGCGTTAACATTACCGGCCTCATGTCGACTGGCACTATTCAATCAGACTTCACTACTTCAATCTTCCAAACCAACGACTTTGATAAATATGACCAAATCTATTTCGGTTACATTGAAAAGACCTCGGATACGTTCAAGCCAAAAGTCACACTTACCCCCCTTGATGGACAAGATTTGAGCGAAATGACCTTCGTTGCTCAAAAGGTTGGATTCACCCTTCTTAACTCGACGGGGAATCTCAACGGCCTCTTTGATTTCGACCCGAGCAAGACAAAGATTAGTGCGGACAGCTTGGACGATTCGCCGGTCAACCAACTTGGCGCAAGCTTCGATCAGAACACTGGCGTTAACTCCCTAGCAACAGCGGGAAATGTAACCTTTATCGGCGGTAACTTCACTTCGGATGCGCACCAGAATTTCGTCGCCATCGATACCAGCGGCAAGATTATGGACATCAATGGCGGTCTCAATGGCCAAGTGCTGGACATGTATCTTCAAGACACGCAGTTATTTGTGGGAGGAGACTTTACAGACCTGCGAATCAAGGGGAAAAGCGGCCTTAACCACGTCGCTGTGTATGACACCAAAAGTCAGGCTTGGAACCCATTGGGCGCGGGTGTGAACGGCAGAGTCGAGCAGGTTGTGGCATTCCAAGTTAATATTAGCAGCGTTACCGAAAATGCCATTGCCCTAACAGGTTCCTTCACTGAGTGTGAAGCTTTTGGCAATTTCGAGGCGTTGTCTGTTGACGGCTTTGCGGTTTGGATGCTATCGGAAGGGAACTGGCTACAGAATCTGCAAGGCGAAACCCCCAATTTTGGTGGCATGCTCACTGCTTCTCAATTGAATCTCACCACTGGCAATTCCCTCTTTGCAGGCTCCATGGAGTCTTCACAACTGGGAGCAAATGGCGCTGTCACCTTGGCTGATAAAGGCATTGGCCATTTTCCAGTCAACATTCAGCCCAGAGTGCAGTCATCGAGCAACAAGCGACGACGTGATCTCTCTCCTGAACCCACGTCAGGTGTTCTCGCAGGCACGTTTTATACCGGAAACAGCACCAATATCACAGTCCTCGCGGGCCACTTCTCAGCTCGATCTCCCAACGGCACTACAATTAACAACCTGGTACTCATCGATGGCTCAAACAATGGCACCATTAGTGGGCTCGGATCCGGAATATCCTCCGAGTCGGTGTTCACCTCTGTTGCTCTTCTCGGGAGCGTCCTTTACGCTGGCGGCAACGTCACTGGCACTGTTGATGGCAGCGGTATTGGTGGACTCATCGCTTATGATATTGAAGCCAAGTCCTTCTCCAAGCAGCAACCTGCGTCACTACAAGGTGGAAACCACACAGTCTCCGTCGTCACTGTTCGACCGGATACTACAGACGTCTATGCAGGTGGCTCATTTCAGAAAGCAGGCGCGCTAGACTGCCCTGGTGTTTGTACGTATGATACCAACACTGCTCAGTGGTCCAGGCCCGGCACCACTTTGGCTGGGCGAGTTAGCAGCTTCCTGTGGTACAGCAAGAGTCAATTGATTGCTGGCGGTGATCTCCGTACCAACGGTAGCGACACAAGATTCCTTGCCCTATACGACGCCGAGAAGCAGACTTGGACGGACTTTGCAGGTGCTACTCAGATCCCCGGCCCTGTCAACGCCATCACGGCCGGCTCAAACGACAATAGTCAGATCTGGGTCTCGGGCAACTCACCGAATGGATCCGCCTTTATCATGAAGTATGACGGCAAACAATGGCAGAGCCCTGATGTGCCACCTCCTCAGGGCAGCATTATACAGAGTCTGCAGGTTTTTACGGTCACCAAAGCTCATGCCTCGTCGAATCTTCTTGACGATCAGCAAGTATTGATGCTCACCGGTTCTATGCCCTTTGCCAATGTTGGAATGGCTTCGGCCGTCATTTACAACGGCACCGACTACCTCCCTTTTGCTCTGACCAGCACTGATACTGGAGCTGGAAGTATTGCCAGGATATTTTCGCAAAAAGATAACTTCTTTACACATAGCAGTATGTTCATTCTCTCTTCTATTGTCACATTCATATATCACGATGTAAATTCTGATGTTCCTTGCTAACACGCTGCTCAACAGAAAAACACTTGGCACTTGTCTTCGTCGTTCTAATCGGCCTTGCCATTGCACTGGCACTCATTCTTATCCTGGTCGCTTCAGGAATCATTCTTGATCGGATACGCAAGAAGCGCGAAGGATATACGCCAGCACCAACCTCCATGTATGATCGTGGAAGCGGCATTCAACGGGTCCCGCCGCGTGAACTGCTGGAGCAACTCGAGAGGAGCCGACCTGGCGAGGCCCCGCACGTATGAGGCAAAGATTGCTCAGAAGCGAATTTAATTTTTTAGCATACATTTCTGATTCAGCGTCTGGCGTTTGGATAGGACTCAAGAATACGTCCAAAAGACTTATAAAAGAAAGAGAATATTTAATTGGACGATAGGAGAGAGGGTCAGTCAGCGAGCTACCATCATCATGGCTCGTTAACACAAGGAAAAACGATTGATCGCCCACATCTACCTCCCGCAACAGCCCCTCAATAATCTGTTACATCTTTTCAAAAACTTTCGTTTTCACATTTACGACATTATGACCACTGGTTAATGTTTATTAACCCATCTACTTTTTTTCACTCATCCCTCATAGACGCTTCCTGCGTCCGACCTTATTTCCCGGATTCGTTCCACATTATTATATCTGTTGACTCTCTTTTTTACTTACACATTTTATTCTATGTATCATAAATTTCAGACAGTCTCCGACACAGAGCCTGTCATAGTTCGATATTGTGTCATCTTGCCTTTTTTTCACTCTCATTTTGGAATGGAGCTACGAGGAAAGTCAATGGATTTTTTTTTTCTTCACCGAGTCAGGAAATGAGATGGGTAGTTGTCGTGAGGTCGGAGATGGTGGAAGATGGCCGTCTGTGAAGAGTTTTCACGGGGAGGGATAGAATAGGAGCTACTTGATGTCAGCAAAGATGATTTGGTTGACGATGAATAGAATTATTAAATAGTAATGCGTCTCGCGAGAGGTGTTGAGAAGACAATGTTATTCGAATGTTTGAAATGAGTCTTTGACTTCATGATAATCTTTGGCCTGTAGAATCGTGACATGCACTTCCAGTGGTCTTCCTATGTGTCACGAGTAGCGGTTTCATGCTTTTATCGCAGCCTTTTTGAAGAGTATTTTGATCGTATTTATAAGATTATACGGGAACCTGGTACATGTGCATAGAGTAAGGCATAGCTAGATGCTCAATCTTGAAATACGATGACAATCTGAAAGATACTTGAAGCAGTACGCATGCGAGTACTCAAATTTCCAAGAAAAATAGCGTATAGCCATCTCTCTCGTCGTACGGGCTCTTCTTAGCAAGCCATGATCATGCAGTCTAGTTCTTTAAGAGAGAAGTTATCCAGCATCCCAGTTTCATTATCCTACGCCCCAACTATAGCTTAATAAGGCAGCTAGTCCATATATTAAAGTTCACAATTGCTAAACTCACTTGAATTAGTAGCGGTAATAGCGATAATAGCAGTAGCAGTAGCAGATGTAGCAGATGTAGCAGATGTAGCAGATGTAGCAGATGTAGCAGATGTAGCAGATGTAGCAGATGTAGCAGATGTAGCAGATGTAGCAGATGTAGCAGATGTAGCAGATGTAGCAGATGTGGCAGATGTAGGAGATGTAGCAGATGTAGCAGATGCAGTACTTGATAATAACCTACATGCACGTATAGATGATGGCTAGAGTGCTGCATAGTAGAATTGGGTTGCTAGATAACTTTTCCCTTTTTCTAATCGTCCCAACGAACGTACATTAACACATCTGCACAGCACCAGCTCTGCCTGTAACTTCATAGACTCTCTCGATATTCGTACATCGTATGCCTACCGACTCCGTATCGTGCCTAGTCAGACATATCCTTTTTCGTCTTCATCTGGCATGATGATCGACGCCAAAGCAACGACTTTAGCATTATCAACGACGAAGTCCCCCCTCCTTCATCTCTAAACAAAAATGTTAAAAGGGAGAGCATTCGTTTCAAGAAGAGACAACTCAGCTCCGCAAATAAGCAAAGCAAAAGGGAAAAAAAAATATGAATATTTTCTTCGGAATGAAAGCAAAAAAGAATGCCCCATTAGCCTACGTCATGAGACATTCTTTGTCTTGCCTCACTTTGTCTCATCGGATAGCCCATATTTCCGTATGTGCAGTTGTCGTCGTCATTTACATTTCATCAGCGGTCGCTGCAAGAACTTACCCTAAAACTCATTCCAACGCACGGAATAGAGGGAGGATAGAGAAATCTTGTATGCATCGAGAGAGTTTATGTGAGACAGATGTGTAATAAGATGATAAAGACTGAAAAAATATCGCGAAGAAACAGCCATGTAACAACATCTCTCTCCAATGTACTTCGTATTTCGTTGATTGTTGTTGTATAGGTGACGAATCTACTACAGCCACATAGCAGCACTGTTGAAAGACTCTTGTGTCAACTTCGGGCCGATAAAGGGTCAAGTCCACCGCAAGAGCTCGAAAAAGAAAAAGAAAGGGAACCTCTATCAGGCGACCACCTACCTCTCTATAGCAGGCAATTAAGAAACCAGGTCTTTGTAGCTCTAGGTCGCTCACAGTACTCTCTACAATTACAGGAACATATACCACTGACTCTAGCCATAACACCTGAACCTAGCCACTAACCCTAACCACTAACCAGCGCTGTCTTCTACTATAAGAGGCACCTGTAGGTACGCTCCTAGCCTCAGATTGATTACTAAGCGAGAGAGTCCAGAAAACCCACCTGATAGAGGATCCCACAAGACATCCACATCACGGTCAAAACACGCAAAAAGAGATGCCCACTATCAGAGTCGAACTGATCACCTTGTCATGTCAGAAATACTAGTGACACGCTATACCGCTTAGCCAAGCGGGCAGAGATACTGAAGTGACGATCGGGGCAGCACAACCAGATCATAAACGTTTTCAACCAAGCAACCGGCATTCGTTTCAACATCGCTCTGGCTACGGCTTCAATGCAACAGTGAATCTCAACAACAACAGCAGCAGCAGCAGCAGCAGTCTTGCATCTGTAAAGGCTTCCATAACAGATGGATCAGCGAATGGTTGGTTGACGTCACGTCTGACCGCTCGTCTGAGTCTCCCATACCAACTGAATGCTCCGTGAAGCTCTTGTCTGTATCGTAGACGAACAATCTGCCGTGCTTCATCAAAGTCATTCTTGGCTCGGTCGCCCAAAAAGTCTCACTCGCCTGGTAAGCGTGAGCAGCTCTCTCAGCTCAGCCCTTGGAATACTTTGCCCGGCAATGAACTAGCGAAATACTAATTTCACCACCGGGATGGATTTCAAAGAAGAAGAAAAACAAACAAGCCAAGCCAAGACATGCGTGCGTGCGTGCGTGGGCGCATGCGCATAAGCACACAATGTCACACAACAAGACAACGCTAGGATGCAAGACCAAAAGCCTACTGCCGCAAGATCGAAACGCGATCTTTGCTCTCTCGCTATATACGGGTCCTTGTTCGCCTTCTCGCTCTCGCGTTCTCTTTGGGTCAATGGCGCCCAACCCACTCCTGTGCAGTGTGCAAGCTGCGATGCATGCGTTAAAAAGTGATTCGTACCTCCGTCGTGCAGTAGTGTGCGGCAGGCCCCCCGATGGAATAAGCAGTGCGCGCAGCTAGATATGCAGGTCTGAGTTCGCACCAAAGAACTCAAGCAGCCATTTCCCTTGCCAATGATTTCGTTGGCTGGATGCTCTGTGGGATGGTGTTAGTGCAAGCACTTCGTATATGATCCCGGCAAAATCACAAGCTCAAAAAATGAAAAGGCCAACGGAAAAGGCGGTCGGATGCCCTGAGCCGTGCAAGACGGAATCTAAAAGGCTCGGCGGCACATATGGCAAAATCGTACTTGTAGCATCGCGCACACTCCATGCAGTTGCTGTTGCTTAGCACGGCCGCGGATAGTGCATGTACTTGTAGGCTGTGCAAAAGCCCTCGTGTTTCACTGCAATATCCGAAAAGATGATATTTATCCTTTCCCATACGGGAACCGAAAGGGAAAAGAAATCATATGTGCTCCATAACCAAGCGACCGAAGAGCCAACGGCATCTTGACACCTCTCTCGATAGCTGGAATAGCCAATTTCTTGGGCGCAGGGATCAATGGTATTGGTGTTAGTCCAGCGAGTTCTGATATGCTAATTCCACGGAGCTCGTCCATGGGATCTGTATTGTTTAGCACCATCGGGCCCCCAGCCCCTGGGTTTCCAAGCCCATGGCATTGGTTAGCAGGCTTGTGTCTTTTGGGGAGGGTCGAGTTATCAGTAGCACAGCATCGTCGTGGAAGCGGGCGGTCCAACGCCACGGTGACGGAGCAAGTGTTGTCAAAGCGTCTGGGAGGGATCAAGCTTGTAGCAACAGCAGCAAAGTCGCACAACAGTAATCAGCCACCTGCTGGAAGGAAAACCAACGACCAACCAAAAGGGACTGTCATGTCTCTCCAAGGATCCGGGACTAGGACAAGACAATGGCATGCTCCGGCAACGCTGCCCTGTATCATCCGAATCGGTGTGCTCGGAAATAGAGTGGTAAACCCTGTGTATCACGCTTCGAAAAGATCCGGCGCCATTCAGCGATATCTTTGCACCTCATTGGCCTGCCTTTGTCTTGTCCGTGGATTGTACAAGTAGTATATAGGTAAACATGCGGTTGTGCTTGAAGAGGTGATGGCCACATGTCATTCATGGGCAGTGCCCAAGTTAGACCGACTCCAACAATCGTCGTTTTTATGGCATCTCTTATGGATTCTGCATCCAAAAAATGGTCCCTATGGTCTTTGATAGAACCTAGGACAGCAAAATCATGCGCATAATGCTGGGTATTCAAGTACCTGCGGTTCGGCTCGACTCAAGTCAGATTTGTTCTCCTTGAAGCGCCATGCTTGGCTTCAGCACCAAAACTCACCTGCTTGGTCATATGGAAGAATTACCTCAGTATTTAGTATACTCTCTGTAGCAGATACGTGGACAGTTGCTGTTACTTGTAGTGCTTTACCGATGCATACCACCAGGCTTTCACAGCTTCCACACGTATAAGAAGCTTCGCCCAATGCACTGTGCCAAGAGTACAGACACAGCACTGGCATGCGTGTGCCATAGCATGTACCTCCCAACCCTCAACGAATACTGTGCACCGTGGTGGAATCGGAATGAGTGGGGCGGCTGTACAGTATGGACAGCAGGTGAGATGTGAGAGCGTAGCAAAAATCGACGTCATAAGG